TTAAGGGAGAAAACGGAACTGAGCGTGGCGCGTGTAACATCGACATCATCTGAAGCTAATTCCAGTAATAACACGCTACAAATATAGAAACTAACCGTTATATTTGTATAATTTACTATGACCTCAAATGCGAAAATCTAAAGTTATTCTTACGAGGACCTTGCGGCAGTGACGTACGACGCCGTAGTAAACGCTGCACATAAATTAGCAAGCGCCAATATAACAAACTATAAATAATATAAAAATGTAACAATCGTTTTGTGCATTATGTTGTGTACACCTAATACTACGCCGTAGCCTGCTACGACGAACTACTACAATCGCTACGCCTACTTTCTACGACGGGCGCTACGCGGACCTCGTAGTCGCTACGTGGACCTTGCTACGAAAATGGTACGGGTTCAACATTTTAAATGTGCTTTGAGGAAAGATAGGTCTTTTATGTATTAACATTTTTTTTTATTCTCGAATATTCAAAGATAGGAAATGATAAAATTACCAGAGAGTAAAAGTAAAGACCATAAAAAATACGTGACATTTGTATCTTTATTCAGGATTTTCTTTCGATGAAAACGTAAAGATTTAGGTTAGTTATATTTTGGTTAGTGTAATTAGGGTGCTAATTACAGAAGTACTTTAAAGAGTCTTTTTCGTCAACATTATATAGTATTTTGAGACATGTATTTCCTTGGTTTCAAAAAATTGTAATGTTGTTACTTGTTCATTATAGCGATGATAATAGTAAGTCGGTACTAAATGTCATATAAATATAGTACATACGAAAATACTTATGTGTCGTAAAAAAGTATAATAAAACTATTTTGTTTTCTGTTTTTCGTAATTATAATCAGGTAACATAATCAGCAATTTCTCAATTTTCAGTAATACAATAAATATTAAGTTAATGCCTATTTAAAACAATAATTAAACTGTCAAACACCGCGCGGTCACCGGTGACCGCAACCTCGTAATTAACGTAATTGTTCTTTAATTGTGTCTATAATGACGGTACTCAAAGAGTTAAGGCAACTATGTACAGAGAAATACCTATCCCTAATTAGATAGAGTTGAAACTCCGCTTTCGAGACGCAATAAAGTTACAATGTGACTTATTCCGTATAAAATTTAGACACGGTATTTACATATGCGTACATGGGATGAAGCAAACCATTCTGAATAAACTTCTAATAATAATAACAATAGTTTCGTAAGGTTGTAATTTATAATACTCTACTCTGATTATGAGAACTCTGGTTATGAGAAATTTGACTACAATAACGCTCGGCTTATGTTTTATTGTATTTACTAGCGACCCGCCCCGGCTTCGCACGGGTGCAATATGTATATACATACAAACCTTCCTTAAGAATCACTCTATCTATTAAAAAAATCCGCATCAAAATCCGTTGCGTAGTTTTAAAGATCTAAGCATACATACGGACATACAGCGAAAGCGACTTTGTTTTATACTATGTATTGATTAAGAAAATCAACAGCGTTACTGCGTTACATATAATTTACAATAGGTTACGTGAATTACAGAGATGTTAATGATAAGTTTTCCTTATTTCCTACATTTCGTAAACATGCGTTCGGATTAAATAAGTCCGAGGTTCCGTAAATAAATATCTACACTGACATTAAACGTTACACCGTAATACAGAATATTAAGATCCTTAAAAAAAATTATTGAAGAGGTGTACAGTGGTGTAGATCATATACAATTATTCATCGTACACATTATTGGAATCTCACAAACGGATAGTAATTTAACATATTTTCAAACGAAATGTGTAATATGTATAGAGCTAGCTGAATTATCAGATATTGTTTTTCAGTTTAATAAAATATTTAGGTACGTACATTATGTAGGTATGCGTCGACTTAGTAATATTTTAGGAGGCAGTTTAGGGAAACTGGTTATGTGTTGATTATCATTGTATTGTATTTCTATTGTTGATTTACCGCAATGTGTGCTCTGCGGTACACTAAACTACTAAACGAAGGCACGTATTGATTATTATTTTAGTACAATAATAAAAATTTCAAAGTCATTTACTTCAATTAGACCAGAAAGGTACTTTTGAACGTCAACAAAAAAAACTAGAAGAGAAACTATTTGCTCATTTAAAAATGTAGATTCCTATGGAGAAGAACAAGCAACACACTCCATACGTTACTAACACACTCCATACGTTACTCTTTTTCAATCAGGTTCACAATACAATTTAATATGGTTATGACAATAACAATTATTTTCTTTATTTCCCGCTAGGTGGACCGACGACGTCGTCAGAGTCGCGGGCAGCCAATGGATGCAAGTGGCGAGTTGTCGTTCGACACGGAAGACTAAGAGGGAACTCTTTGTTCAGTGGTAGACATCTTACGGCAGATTATTATGGCGATGGTGATGTTTTTTTTTTACAATGATCAGTAGCAATAAAGTTTACTTGTCGGCCTGATAGTAAGCAGTTACCATTGCCTAAGTAAATACAATTATAACTTCTGATCATGTATTAGAATATTTTGTTTCCTGCACCTTTTCGATTGAACTTTAAGTCCGTTAGGCTTAACGGATGTTTCTAAGCACACCTAACATCACTGGTGTTCGTTACGTAAGAAGGACCTGTTTGCAGGGTTTTCTATATTTTTATCAAAAATGAATTTACTAGGAAAGGAGTCAAATTGTCTATCCAGTTCTTGCTCCATTTCCTCAAATTCTACTAGCAGTTGATCAAGACATCGTTTTTTTTAGATGAAACGTTACATTTGACACAATATATTTGTAGAAAATTTATTTAAGTACCATTTACTTAACTTTTCGAAATTGCTTTTACTAAATACAGTATATAATACCGAGTTTAGAAATTAAAATTGTCATTGCAATAAGCAAGACTTGAAGACTAATAGAAATTAAGATTTAGTTAGTTAAAAGTAAGGTTCATAATAATAGAGAACCGCTTAATGGATTGGTTAGTTAAATTAATAAATAATTTTATACCGAAGCTAGAGAATTGTTAAAGTAACAATCAGCAAATAAAAATCAGTAGCAGCGCGACAGTCGCAGCGTCGCGGGTCGCGAAATGCTGCTCATGAATATGAGCAGAGGCTCAGTAGTTTCTTGCTCTCTAGCATGGCTTGAAACTAGTCGAGTTCCTCGTCAAATTACTACGTGAGTAAGCCGAAAACATAATAATCAGCAAATTGTTAAACTAGTCCGACTATTCGCGTGTAAGATATTTGGAAAATTTCGATCGAGTTAGTGAGTGAAGCTTTAGTTTTTTAGAATAAGACTGATTGTAACGTCACATGTTTGACTAAATCTTTCCTTTTACATACACTTAATAGGTAACCGAACCAATGAAAACTTGACGCACTATCTGTACGACTCAAAAATGCAATTATATTTTCCCATTTTGCATGACAATCTTTTATTTTTGATCATCATCAAAATATAAAAAGTCGCGGAATTGGCTCTGAAACCGATCTCTTCATTTATTAGCTTAACATTCAACGTGTTTACTCGGAGCATGACTATTGCAATTGTGATAACGTAACATCGACAACAATCGAATTACATAATAGACTATTTGACTTAATTAAACACATCCCTAACTAGTGAATTATTGTTGGAAATGTAACAACGATTACGCGGAGTTGGGCGGAGTAGATGTAGAACGTATCCGACGCCGTTTCTCTTTGCCCAATCCCGTTGGGACGTGTCGTGAAGAGGTGGAGATCGATACGCTACACGAGCCACGAGCTACGCACCCAGAGATGTCGAATTACAACTTCTGTTACATTACTATACTAGCTTTCAAATTATTCTTACATTATCGATAACTTTCGTAAAATGTATCCATCTACTATATTATTATCACGGACTGTAAAATGTGGTTAGTTTAGTCACTACTTAATATTAGTTAACAATGCATAGTGACGTGACGTACCGGTCGATATTACGAGGAAAAGATCTAACAGGAACATTTTGTGATTTAATTATTATTAAGTTATGAAGGAAGTATATAAGTAGGGTATAGGTTGTACATATCCGAGTCCAAATATTTTTCTGTGGTTTTACGCAACTTAGGCTGTAGGTACCTGTCATACATAACCGAAAACTAAATATCTACAATGTACTGCTACGAACGTAGCCTGTAAGTTTGATCTCGTCGTAAGTTCACGTGCCGCGGCCGCCTAGCATGCAACGAACACAACTCTACCAGACTCGTAGTGAAAGCTTCAACAATGTAATAATCAAGAAGAAAGCGTTCATCGATTTTTAGTTGGACGTAATATTTCAATAAAGCAACTCCAGGGACCAAAACAAAATGCGCAAAAACAAGATGTCTTCTCATCTCGGAGGTAATTAACAAGTGAGTGTCGAGTAGAGGACACAGCACACACCCTGCGGCTAATGGTCACTTACCACCTCACAGAGCATGGGGACACGCTCGCATCGTGTTGCTTAGCCTAGGGATACACGAGCGGGGGATGCAGCGCCGCGCCCCGCCCCGCGCCACCGCTATGAAAAAACCTCTTACAAAACAGATCGATCGATATGCTCCCGAATGCTTACTCGCTTTGCCACCGTCACCCTCAGCTTTCAGCTGGTCTGTTGGCTCCCCACCATATCCCTCCCCAGAACTTACAACCGCGGCAGCCTACAGGGGGCGCCACGCGTGGAGCACGACCAGCTAATGGGGGAGCCACATGCGCGATGCGCCATCTTACGTCCTTGAAATTTCAAGTGCAAGGCGATACAGGGCTGGCACGCGACGTGTGCACGTGAACTCGAGCGAGGATAGTCCGGGAGCGAGGCCGGGCGGGCGCTGGGCGCCGGGCGCCGGGGCGGTATCGATCGGGGCGGGCGGCCGGGCCGGGGCGGACACGCCCGGGGCCAGTCGCGGGCTCCGGGTTGCATAACGCGCTGGTCGTGCCGGCGGCGGCCGCGCGCCGAGCCGGTATCGACGCGCACGGGGCGCATGCGCGACGCGTACCTTCGCAGCCGTAGCCCTGCCCGATGAGGCCCCACAGCAGGTCCGAGCAGTGGTGGCAGTACGTCGGCTTGTGGAAGGTCTTCTTCGCGAAGGAGTGGGTGCGATGGGGCGCGGGCGCGGCCTGCGCCATGGCGGGCGCGCGGGCCGGGCCGGCGGGCGCGCGGGCCGGGCCGGGCGCCCAGGGGCGCGCCGCGCTCTCCGAGCGGCTGTCGCGGCCCACCATCGCGGCGCGTCTGCCGCCCGCGCCCCGGCCGGCCCGCGCACGCGCTCCGCGCCCCCCGCGCTCCGCCCGCGCCACGCGCAGCGCCGCACGCAGCCTCGACCTCGTGCCGGCGGCCGGCGGCAACACCGCACACCACAATCGATTTCCACTCTTATCTCTGGAAACGTTCCTCAACTTACAATAGCCTACTTTGAAGCTTTTCATCTCTTAGCAAATATCACATATCGCTCTGTGCCGATGACTGCACTTTGTGAATGCACACAAACAGCCAACACACATTCAGTTACTGTTCTGTAGTAACGCGTTTTACATTGGAAGTATACAACAGTAGAGTTTAGATATAGAAGTTGAACTAAAAATGTCTATCATCATTGACTTACCAATTCAATTCCATAATGATAGATTTACTGTTCTTCTCGATGTTGTGACTATTTAAGCTCCTGAATCAGCTGACTCTACACGGTGCTTACCGCTAGTTGTAACCATGTTTATGATACTGTTTATTATATCCGCGTGTGTTTACCCGGATATTTTTGTTTTCTGGAAGCTGAACAGTCACAGTTCACCTTTAAGACTTTAACTTTTTTAAATCAAATAAACTAATAATTTGTACGAAATTCTCAAAATATTGTTGAAAAATTAAATAAAGACGACGTCGCTACAAGTAGACGTCGTGCGACGCCTGCGCGGTGCCGCCCACCAATCGAAAAAGCTCTTGTTTACAATTTTAAGAGGCGCAGCATCCTCGCGGCGCGGCCCGACACCCAGACGCCACTCGCGCGTACCACACCGACGTACCACTCCGCTCACATCAACACACACTCACTCAACCAATCTACTAAAAATCATCTTCGACTAATGATTCCAACACTCGATGTTTGAAATCCAATGAGAATCAGCCATCATGCTGGTGTACTGAATTTGTTATAGGAAATTAAAAATAAAGAGAACAAATTAGGAAAACTCATATTTTCGATTCGTAGTCTGTAACGTTGGCTAATCTTCAAGCCTACACTGAACTACTAGACTAATTACTAGATTCTTGCAACAAGCCTACACTGAACTGACTGCAAAATACGTGTCTAATATGAAACCAAACAGAAAGCTACGCTAATAGATCTTCGACATCAAAATCGAATGAGTTTATATAATAAACAACATGCAATTGTAACTCTGCGCCATTTCAATGGTCTCGGAGGCTGCTACTATGCTGTTCCATGATTATCCGTGTCCGTACCTAACCTATGTTACCAATATATAGACCCATATAGAACAATGGTAATTGTGGTATAATACATTAAATATGTTAATTTTTTTGTTTTTATTTAATTTATGTGTAGCTTGCTCATTGAACAAAGATTCTTTAGTAATAGGGATATGGTAAAATAAATAGAGACTATATTATGTTACGAATTGCGTCTGTTCTTAACTGTATTTATATATTTTTGCACCATAAACTGATGAGTATTCTCTTTTTTCTTTCTTTTTAAAAAAAACGTTGCCCCACACTAGGATTTTCTCCTGTGTCGTGGGTGCGTTTACAAACATACAAGGTCACATACACAATGACACCCAGACCCGGAACAACACATCACACAAAGTGTTGTTCCGTGCGGGAATCGAACCCGCGACACGTTGCACGGCAGCCGGTTGCCCAGCCACCGCACCAACCGTGCAGTCAAAGTTATTGAATGTTCCGTCAGTGTAACTCTGTCTTCTCCTTTGATAACATACATACGTGATATTACTAAGTTTGTAATGACAACTTTCACACATTTTCTATACTTTTTTTCTCTAAAAATCTTGCGTAATATTATGTAAAAGCTGAGTCAAGGACGATGTTAGATAGTCTGTGCCGATGTACGTAAAAACTGTATGCTAGTCTAGGTCGCCATTATAACTGTTGAGCATGAAGTCCTGGACTTGATCCACAGGTAACGTAGTGGGTACAGTGGGTAGCAGGCCATTTCGAGACTATAGGTGTTATATATAATATATTTTGTTCATTGTTGTTAGTAATCTCCATGCTAGACAAGGTGCATTGGAGGTCGCAGTTTAAAAGATTCAGGTTAATCAGAGAGCACTGCTGCCAGTTTCTTTCTAATGTGTAGTCCCTTTGCCAAATGGCCATGTCATATTGAGTGCAATTCGGAAAAAAATACCTACAAACAAAAACATTTAATACTTTTTCCGAAATGGAAAAGCTTCTTAATTCCGCCGGTACGGTTTTGTTTTATGTGTAGGTACTATTTTGCTTAACCTCTGTTTAGAGTCCCAGATGTAATAATTAGTTACGTCATAACTATTCTTTTTTAAAGAAATTAAATGGTACGATATCGTCGTAGGCTCGTAGCACGAGGCTACGGGTCTGTAGAAAGTGCTACGACTTTGCTACACCGTAGCAAGTTACAAGTTGTCATGTCACATTACATATTTTAAATTTCCTTTCGTAAGGAGTGTAATCTTTACTTTTTGTGTATATGTTATTATAATTATAAAAGTATTAATTTTCGGATCTATGTGAGAAATATGGATTCCATCCCAGCTCTAAAAATATTATGGTCGGGTACATATACATATAAAATCCTAGTTCCTCTTAAAATTGCGTTCAAATTCAATGTAAAAGTTCACTGTGAACATTAACTAGTGCACACAGATGCTGGAAATGGCGAAAAACAAAAAAGGACGCGAAATAACGCGAGCAGCGCTCGATCAACGCCACCTGTTGCGTTTGGCACGAACTAACGGCAGATTACAAGCGCTGCCAAATAAATGTTCAGCAAACTGAATAATCTCCAAGTATTTGTGAATTGCACGTGGTTTTCCTCTCTTTTTATATATTTTACCTGTTGTTTTAACTGTGGTGCGATCATGAGAGGACCCAAATGTGTTTTCTGTTTATATGAATGTTTTTATTTTCTAATAATATAATTATGAGGAACAAATTAATTTTAATTACAAACAAAGTATAACTACTGTCTAGTCTTTGTATAAGATTTTAGTAAGTACTTATATAGGTACCTACATATCTTATGTACTATACTTAATCCGTGTTACATAGGTATTAACTATAAATTTTCTCAATACAAATCGAATAAGTAGGTACTTTTCTGTTTTGCTTGAGTCTTCCAACAATCAGGCAGAACCTATGTATTTGAGGTATAAATTGTTTGTTTGCAGGATAAAGAAAACACAAGTTCACAATATTTGTACTGTGGCAAGTATGTACCTAATAACCCATACTATTGGCTAGGTAGGTACAGCGCTACAGGAATTTGGGCCAACGCTGTATCCCAAAAACCTCACCAAGTTACGCCATCATCGTTTGATTTTGACAGCGGTTTAAAAAAAGAACGCCGCACCAAAAGGCTGCGTTCCACTAATATTATCTTGATCAAACGTTCGCAAAGTGACACGTATTTGAAGTTTAAAGGCGTAAACGTTCGTCCCACCGCGCACCGCGTCCAAGCAGTCCCCGGTGGGGTGGCACAGATAAATATAGACGTCGAAAGCGCGCCTCGCCACCCGTGTAGGTTTTCCATGCGATTAGTTTCGTTACATGCCACCCTTGTAAGCATACACGGAAACCTGTGTGTGTTTGGCTATGTATGTGTGGGTGCTACCTTTTTGGTCAGCTAGCTACGTTGTGGAAGATTTTTAGAGAAACGTAGTTTGCTGTAGATGATGGAAATGGTACTCCCTGTTCCTCAACTCAAAGTGCCTGGTCACCTTACTAGATACGCGTGCTTACGTTTTAAATAAAAGAGACGATGCACAAACATTATAAAGGTCACTTGCCCACTAACATATAGGTACACACCTACATAGTGATAGGGATAAGTAGCTATAGATACTACATACCGATTTTACCACTGAAATGACAGTGAATTGAAACAATAGGTGCAGTCTTATTTTTTTACTGAACATAGACATAAACAGCCTATAAGTGGTCACTTTCTTTTTTTTTAAGGGGGGAAAATTATCGAATGACTGCTCCCGCCTGGGTGAGGTGGAAGGGAGTGTCAGACTCTTACTGACTAAAAACCACCCCGTTCCTTCTCCTGCACGTCGAGCCGGAGCCCCGGTTACCCGTTAGGTTCTCCGCGACTCCGAATCGGCATCGGCCCTATTGGGCCCCATCTGTGGTGGTCTGATGGCTCTTTGAGGCGCGCGCGGAACGCGACGCGCCGTACGCTCGGGTCTGTTTCTGGTCGGACGGGGAGCCACCCATGCTCGCCGTCCGCAGGCCCGCGCTTACGGTGGCCGGAGATCGTATAAGTGGTCACTACTGACCAAAGGCGTCTTCTCACACGGAGAAGGTTTGGCGATTTCAGACTTATAATTAGAAATTATAAGGTTTCCTCATGATTTCCTCATGATGTTTTCCTTCACCGTTTTTCAGTGGTGTCTAGATAATCTTATATCTTAGAAAATTCACACTGGTACTTGCCGTTGGTAAGTTCAGAACCCGCGTCTTGATGCATGAAAAGTGGGCGTCTAAACCTCCGGACCACTACAACGTAAAGCTTGATTACTAGAAAGAACAAAATTTTAATTTACATATTTTTGGTGGTCACGCCAGTAGGAGCCACTCTAAAAAATGTATGCAGCGAACATAGGATGATAGGAGGGAAGGGATACTAGCAAGCCACCAGGTGCACCTTTTCATCGACAGCGCTTGTACATGGAAGAAGGGTGGCCAAAAACTTATAGGTCGGGATTTGCACAATGGGTGTTATTTACCTACCACCAATTGAACATCTGAATATCTGTTAGGGCCGGTATTTTTATAATACAGCCTTAAGACTCATGTCACTATGGAATTACCTAATTAGAATTTTTACAATTTTGTGAACGCAATGTATACCATTACAACGCTGTTACAGTGCCTATTAAAAGATTGATAGCAATATACTACTTTAAACAACTGTTATACAAAAGCTTAGGCGCTGAAATCTATCTCGCGGAATTTACGTTAAATCTAAGAGGTTAAAGTTATTTATGTGTTGTATTCGATTGGACTTCTTTCGAACCAACGATTTTGCTGCATACTGCATAATCATTATGGTACATTTACCTACATTAAAATTGTATGGACGTACAATTAACTTCTTATGAAATTTAACAAATACTTAGTGTAGTTCAGTTCAGCCACAGCTTGAAACTTAGCAACTATTAAGTTATTACCCACAAAAAGATTAACCTACTTTGACCACAGGTAAAAACTAGCTGACCAGACCAGGTAATTTAAAAAAATATACATAAGCTAATATTAGGCGCTTTGTTCAATTAAGCATGTGTACCCACACGCCGGTCATTAGTTGAAGCTATATAGGTCAGTGAACCCGCTCTACCTACCTGTGAGGTAAGCCTCCATGGCCCCCGCGCTATGATTCATACTACCATGTTGCTTAAAAAGGCCAACAATGCAACATAACTGTTTTATTGTGTGTTGATCTGCTTCGCTGCTCTCCTGTTAGCTTGTTAAAATATGAAATCCGTTCACAAATCATATTTTTTTCTAATTTAAAGTATGTATGTTTTTTCATGTGTTGTAGGTATGTTCTCTTTATGGTTACTTTTATCAGTAGTTACTTACTTTATAAAATACGCTAATTTAATCCAAACGAATATTCTATTATTTCAACTCTAGATGGTTCTTTATATTATCGTGTTCAAACGTCGTTCTATGTGCTTTACGATCTCAGATACCTATATTGTATTTTCTTCTTGCGTTTATCAGATGACTATGACGAAAGATTTGTACTTAATTTTTCAAAAATTATGATGTTTATAAGAAATAAACCAACGGGGAAAACAAGTTAGTCGGAAATGTAAAAGTCAATCGGTTACTTAACTGCTTACTGAAAGTGCCTTGAAATAAGTGAAAGAAAAAAACGGTGTGTAATAAAAATATGGCCAGTATAATATATAGATCAGATGGAACATAGTACCTATATGTAGGTATGCAAATGTATTATGATAATCTCCAAAACAAGCAAAAGTGGGTGCGGATTGCGTAATACATGAATGAGATAATAGCGATACTACTGGTGCTTCTTTATCGAATAGTAACAAACATACGACTGAGCGATTAATTTGTGTGCTGAGACTAATAAAATACTATAATGATATCGTGAAATCGCGTTGGAATTTTACAAAACGGCATTCAGTCACGAAAGCTAAGTCGATATCGCGTTCCTGAACGCACCTCAGAGCTGTGTCACTGCCCGGCCGTGCTGTCAAAATATAAAAATGACCGAGGATTCAAGAAAAAGAACTTTTTTGGGATTCGATTTTAGTACACAAAGGGTACGTAAACTTTTTTTAAAGTTTTTTTTAAATGTCGTGTTGACTGTATTGTTCTAAATGTTTTTATCAGCTTTATGTTTGCCTCACCCACATTTTTACACGCGCTAATTAATTCCGTAAAATTAGATAAACAAGGCGATAAGATTTTAATTAATCAAGTTGGTTATTTTAATTCTTATTATTGATTGATGAGTTTTATTTGACTAAAAAGTATAGAAATCAATAAGCATTCGACGAAAATTGAACAAGTAATTTATTGTATTAGTATGAATTATTGAAACTTTTTTATTATTTCAGCAAAATGGGAATTATAAATAAAAACTGCAATGAAATACTCCAGATTTCGTTTTAAAACTTCACCATCAAGTTATCATTACCTATATAAACACTGTTTGTTAAATTCATCAAATTTTTTTCAAAGGAATTTTAAATATTTTCTCATTTAATTTCTCCATTAACTTTTGTCTTGTTTTATGTGTGTTTTAGCTAAAAGCCATAGTTATTGGTGAAGACTTTGGTGTACTGCATGAGGCTGATGTGGAATTTGATGTGGACCTGCCCGAATTTAGGTGACTTCCTACTTAAAGTTTAACATTTATTATAAACATATTTGAAATAAATACCCAAAAACCTTAATTTCAAGTGATAAACTTCTGGCCACCTAAAGCATTTTTCACACAACTGTAATTAATTGATAACTATTTAAAAATGTCCAAAACTGGTTAACCTTTAGTACACACACATACTTGTTAACATTTTAATAAATCCTTTATTCATGATTGTATAAATATTTGATAAGTCTTAATCTGTCAAATAAACCAAGTTTTATAAGTATTCTTCAAAGTACAATTTTACATTATTTTGCTCTTCTAGGACGGCCGGAGGTGTGGTACGTGGAACGGACCGAGGAGAGGTGATCGCTCCTCCGTTACTATGGGTAAAAGCATTAGACATGGTGATGGACCGCCTCGTTGTGGCTGGAGTTGACTTCTCTATAATTGAAGCGGTGTCTGGAGCGGGACAGGTAAGCCCAAACTAAATTTAGTTAGGGTTTAGATTTTTTGTTAATTCTAGTTACAGCCTGATGCCTGGAATTGTGTATAGGAACAGTTCTATCTAACATAGGATTCATACTGGCATATTTAGTCAGGCATAATAAACATCCACATGTTGAACATTATATTCTGGGGAATTTTCAGCCATAAAATATTATTATAATTATAATTTATAATGCTATCCTTGAAACAGGTGGGAAAATATGAACAATGGCATAATTTAGAAATTTTAATATATGTATGTATGACAATACAAAAGGTATTATTTAATTAAAATATAATAATGATGTTTGATTACAAAATGCTATTGTAAGTAATTTCAATGTAACTCTCAATTAGACACTGTAAAATTAGACCCATAGTAGTCAGTGAATATAATTATTGTTTATAACACATAACTTCACACATTTATTCCTGAAGGGAAAGGCAGAGGTGCACATTACTGTATTTAATGTCACTGTACAATGTAACACCCACTTTTCGCTATATGTTATGAGTCCCATGTAATAGGGGGTGAGCCTATTGTTAATTATTATAATGATAGTGTAATTTTCTTGCTAAATATTTATTTTGATATAAAATCTTGACAATATACCATTGCCTTCCAGCAACATGGCTCAGTGTGGTGGTCTAAAGATGCGGAGTCAAAGCTTGGCAAACTGTCTCCAGATGAGTTCCTACACACTCAGCTGGCAACGGCCTTTGTGTCTGATTCTCCTGTGTGGATGGATTCCAGCACCACAGTAGACTGTAAGGAGCTGGAGGAGGCTATAGGAGCTGAGGTGAGTGGAGTCTTGCTGCCTATCAGCTTAATATGTTGATATATCATACCCAAAATTTGTTAATACAAAAGTAGTCTCTAATCATCGGAAATAAGGTTTATAATGGAGTTAGTGGAGAGTGTTGAGCAGTTAAAAGATTTTCTTTGATCCTTGATTAAGTAATCTTATAATGTAATATACTTGTTGTAAAACACTTACTATTAATTTAGAAATAACATTATTTTTTATATCTTATTGTGCTATTTTGTTGCATTTACACTCAAAACTACTAACTAGTGTTCGATGAGATTTACCATTATGTATTATGAGAAATATTATGAGAAAAATGCAGAACAAATGGCTCTTACTTAATTTTTTAGCAAACTATTAATACAAACAAATTGCGGTTGTTTTATTTAGTAATTTAGATAAGTTTTGCTTTCATTTAACAATCGTTTACCTACTTCTCATAACTTCTTTCTGCAGGAGCTCGCAAAGATCACGGGATCTCGTGCATACGAGAGGTTCACAGGTCCTCAGATCCGTAAGATGTTCAGGAAACGGCCGCGGGTGTACCAGGCGGCTGCCAGGATCTCACTGGTATCGTCCTTCGCTTGCTCGTTACTGGCCGGCAAGATAGCTCCCATAGACCTTTCTGATGGCTCGGGCATGAACCTCCTTGATATCAGAACTATGCAGTGGGATGAAAAGTGTTTACAGGTTAGTACTCTTAGTACAATGTTTTTTTTTATACGATAAGACGGTAAACGAGCAGACCAGTCCACGGATAGTAAGCAATCTGTTCCGCTCATCGATGGATATCTAACATCAGAAGTTATCCACTTTTTTTGCTTTTGGAGAATTGGATAGTTTCCAGGGCATCAAAATTAAAAATCTAATTAGTCCGTCAGTTAGATAATAAAAAAATATTAGACACGTATTTTTTATTTTCTTGTATTAAGTTGCAATACTTAGATAAAATGGCGCTAAGTTTAGGAGTGGGAGGTCGTTACGTCATAACGTGCTACAAAATGTGACACACTATGACGTAACACGATATTTCAAATTGGAAAAAATACGTGTCTAAAGTTTAAAATTAGTGTACCAAACGGACATTAAAATAAAATTTAGGAAACTACCCTATTGAGCATTAGCTATTGACAGTCAAGAACACCTTACAAAAAGATTTGTTTCATTATAAAAGTTGGTAAATTAACTAATTTATTTGTAAGTTTGTACTATTGTTTCCAGGCATGTGGTGATGAATCTCTCTCTACTAAGTTGGGTGCCCCAGTGCCCAGTGCCACAGTGGTGGGCTCCATCAGTCCCTACTTCGTGGGCCGCTACGCGTTCAAACCTGACTGCAAAGTAGTCGCCTTCACTGGGGATAACTGTTCAGCTCTTGCAGGTGACATAATAGTGAATACCTGCGGTTTAACGAGATAAAGCTACCCTATTTGTTATTAAAGAGTATAATTTAGCTCAGTGTAAAATTTTATCCATTTCCCTTCAGTAGTTTTTGCGTATTATATTATATTCATAAACTTTGGCACTTAAACATTTTTTTCTTATTTGTAAACCTACCTACCAAATCGAAATATCATATCTCTCTGATCAAATAGAATATCTACATAATCTACATTTAGCCACCCACGAGCCATAATGTAAATAACTAAAAACGTCTTCAAGAGCTACAACTACAATCTACATACACACATATGACAAACAGACAGTCAAACAAACAAATCTCACACTGTAATATAATAAGATAAGACGTCAAAGTTATCAGTAGTTCTCAAGTTGTTGATAAGTCCCAGTTATCAGTAACTACGGTTTAATGTATAGTTTATCCAGCTGAGATAACTTATCATACTTATTATGGCTGTGTTTACGAACTGGCAAATTGTTTTGTAACATTTCTAATGGAGTTAGTATGTTGAGTATAAAATACATTTTAAATGCACTTTTTTAACTTAAATGATGAATTGTGTTGCTATATCTTGGTATTAGAAAATTGCATTATGTTAATATTGTTTATCTTAACAACAAAGTCCTACTTTCAACTGTCCAATTAGAATGTATCAAGAATTCTTGAAATCTTTATGACTTTTGTTGGTCACTAGAGCCAAGAGCCCGGAACTCGGGCTGGATCCCCGACTTGGGTAAAATATGATTATTTTGTAATGCGTAATAAAAGTACAGAGTACTGTAATACTACCCAGTACGTGACTAAGACAGAATATGCACATCCCCCATGAAAGTAGTACTTAATCTAGTAACTACAGAAGTACAGACTCAGGTTTAATCTAACCTAATGCTTCTTGGAATAAAGTACATAACAATATTGTCCCAGGTCTCCGGCTCCGCTCCGGTTGGGTGGGTCTGTCCCTGGGTACGAGCGACACGCTGCTCCTGGGGCTGCAGGCCCCCGCGGCCCCGCCGGCCGGGCACGTGCTGGTGGGCCCCACTCCCGACGCCCCCTACATGGCACTGTTGTGCTTCGCCAACGGGTCCCTGACCAGACAGAACCATCGTGACAGATTAGCTGGCACCAGCTGGGACGCCTTCAACGAACTGCTTCGAGCTACCGTTCGAGGAAATATGGGGTATATGGGTGAGTTAATGTAACTAACATTATCAATAGTCGAATTGAAATTGATGAATAGCGTAATTTTTCATTTATCCTTTATAAATAATTACTGCTTCGTGGTACATGGTTGCAAATACTACTGCTGACCAAGTCCAGCCACCGCGCCGGTTTCCAGTTTAAATAATCGATTTCCAAGTTCAGCGAAATTGATACCGATGTTGTTTTAAAACTCTCAGTAATAGAACTAAAGATAGATTTAGTTACGATATTTATTTCAATCTTCTGTATAATAAGTACCTGTCAAACACTCGTGATTCGTGCAAAAACCTCGCTCCTACAGTAAACTCAGTCAAATTTATTGTAAATTATTTCCTAAACTAAATAAAACTCTGTCTAAATCTGCAGGTATATACTACGACACAGCGGAGATAGTTCCCCGCGCGGGCGTGGGTCGCTGGCTGGTGGACGCGGCGGGGCGGGGACTCGACAGACCGGCGCCGCAGTTTGAGGCACGCGCGCTACTAGAGGGACAGGCACTCGCGCGCCGGGCGCATGCCGAGGATATGGGCTTCAAACTAGGTATACTACACTATTCTTTGTTTTGAAACCACGGTCTAACTGGTGGATTAGCCTATGGATGCAGGGGGGAAGTTGTCTTTCAACGTCGGGGACAACAGCAGTGGACGTCTGTCGGCTGTTGATGATGACGATGACGATCTAACCGTGCATAGTAGACTACTATCTTCTGCTAGCCACTTGGAAAGTGTGGGAGAGCCATGGCGGATGGCCAGACTCGCACGAAGATATGCCAAGGCATCACAGAAAGTTGGCGTGAAACAAGCAAAGCGTTGTTCTTCGTCATGTGATTCAAGTTACCGGACACTTAATCCTCCCAAAACTCCAAAGGCCAGCAATAAACACAACGCACTTGTAACGCTGATGATGCTGCTTTAAGAAAGAAAGAAAACACTTTATTTCATACGGTAAAAACAGGAGACACATACGGTCTTATTAATAAACTAAATAAAAATAAATTCCAAACTTAATCACATGATAGTCTTGGACTAGCTAATCCCGGACTAACAAAGTATTAACTTCAGAATTGAATTCCTATTAATGAACATGGAATAACCTCGGAGTAACAATACCATCCTTACACTACATTTAATCCGTTTATTATGGTAACCCAGAAATTTTAAAAGTAAAAGAGGGATACAGATTATACACATACATTTCATACATAGATAGATAGATAGATTCATTTATTTGCCTGAAATATGGTGGTTTACAGATGTTATGACATAACAATAGTTCATCATATCTCGCCTATAAATTTGGCATGCAAATATTTTAACAAAACTAAATCACGATTTTCAAACAGGATTCTAAGTTAGAACAAACAATCAAAACAACCCTTGCTAATGATTCCAAATCAAAGTACGACAAACTAAGTTACAATTTCTAATAATCAATAATGACTCCAGTTCAAAACAAAATAAAATTAAACTACAATGTTGTTGAATATCAATAATTGAAAAAGCGGAGAAATAGAAATAATTAATAAATTAAATTCTCAAATTGAAATCCAGAGTTATTAAATTAAAAATGTCAAAGACAACAATTTTAGTTTTTAATACTAATGGGTATATTATCATGTTCCAAGTCTGCGGTGAAATGCAACCAATTCAGCATACGCAAGACCGGGCCTTGCGCTGATATTCTACTGGCCCCTTAATTGATTTACTGACTTATTCCAAAAAATAACTTAAACTCTTTAAAAGTTCCAATCAGCTATAGTTTGGTGGTATCTATAATTGTCATACATTTCCAGACAAGTCTTCCCGCGTGATAGCGACGGGCGGTGCGTCAGTCAACAAGGAGTTGCTGCAGATATTCGCTGACGTCTTCGACACACCCGTCTACGTGCAGGTAACCAAATAACTTGCCTTGCCTTACACCATATACCATGTGTTATGTGTTCAAGATAGAGAAAGATTGCCTCGTTGGCCGGGCCGAGTGGTCGCAAGTGCAATTGCCGGGCAAGGGGTCTCGGGTTCGTTTCCAGGGTCGGGCAAAGTATTACTGGGTTTAAAAAAATTATCAGTAGTAGCACGGAGTCTGAAATTGTGCCCGGTATATGGTGGTTGGTGCTTACGTTGCGCGCCCATCTCCAACCTGTCTGCCATGCGTGACGAATATGGCAATTCCTCATGTGCAGAAGTCAATAGTCCAGCAGTGGCCCATAACAGGCTGTTGATGATAATGTATTCTAATAGTTTACCATCATACAATTCATTCTACATATATATATTTGACTGCACGGTTGGTGTGGTGGCTGGGCAACCGACTGCCGTGCAATGTGTCGCGGGTTCGATTCCCGCACGGAACAAAACTTTGTGTGATCCACAAATTGTTGTTTCGGGTCTGGGTGTCATTGTGTATGTGAACTTGTATGTTTGTAAACGCACCCACGACACAAGAGAAATAACTAACGTGGGGCAACGTTTAAAAAAAATATAGGTTGAGATCCACATTATAAAAATCAAAGGTCTAGTTTTTAATTAAATGAATCTTTTTTTATCATATGACTTATAGGATCAGCACGCTAACGCCGCGTTGCTAGGAGCAGCTATCCGCGCCGCCGAGGTATGGAGCAAGGAGACCGGCATAGCTTTACCTGGTTAGTGCATGTTTATTTCTACATCGTAATTATTTATCAGTCCAGTAATTTCAGAGCAAACAAACAATCAAATCTTTGCGGTTTATAGCATGGATAAATTTCATAAAACCTGAGCACTGAGCCTGTATATAAAATAGTTCCAAAAAAACTTATCAACACTTTGTTACAATCAAACCCTATAGAAATGCCTATCAAGGATTTTTTAATGTGACAAGCCCAAAACCGCTACAAATCCTGCAAGCACGATTCAACCATGAAAACACTCCAATGTCCTATGAAATCCTATGAAAAAAGTCCTGAAAGGGACATAAATAATGTCCCAGTGTCTGTCCTATTAAGGATTAGTAATATTTAACACAATGCACTTTTTTATCTACTATTCTTTTTAAATTCCAGGGTCCGAGCTAAAAGTATCACCAGTGGCGACCCCATACCCAGATCACGACAAGATCTACACTCCAATGCTAGCTCGCTACAGGCAGATCATTGAAACCATCCCCAAACTCGGATAATACACGGAGAGGCCAACCACCATCTTCCAAATAACTGCTGGACTTCGCTTGGACTGTATACTTAACCGAATACATATCACATTTTTTACGCAAACAATTTAGTACATGGGACTCGAAAATAGGTGCTACATGTAATGTGCACCTCTGCTGATCGCCTTTCCGGGGCACTAAAATATATAATATGTAACTTGGTGCTAAATAAAGTGCCTATAGGTATAATCCCAATTGCTGCTTAAGGATCTGTAGGTCTGCATTTAATAGCTAATGTTATAATGTTCAGAAATTTTCTATATTTTTAAATATTGATATTAAAATTTCCATTGTTCAACATTCCGCTATCAGTGATCTCGGCCTGTTCCTTCGAGGTTTAAAAGGCGTGATGTTATTTAACATTCCATTTTATTATACATCTTTTTCGTACACTTGTTGATATTTTTATTGTTGATTTTTTTATTAAAATATTTCAGAATCTTGATGTTTGTGATCATAGGGATAAGCGATGTATTTATATAGACGTTTTTTTATATTTATTTACTTGACAATCTCATGGTGCTTGCTGTGCAATATTCCAATTTACATTCCATTATAATGTAACCACAATATTGTTTTCAGTTACTAAAATAAAATCATGTAACTCTATAATTGTGAGCAGTGCATTTGCTTTTAAATCTGTTTAACATTGGAGTATGCTTTTGTTACATTATATGATTTTTTGTTAATTTTTATACATTTTTATAAATAAATGTTTGCTATTATCAATTTGTATTATTTTGGGGCATTACAACTAAAAAACGCACGCCACGATTGGTCCCGTCCATCCGTAGCCGAAATAAAATACTTTAATGGTACTGAACTTCAGAACCATTATGACGTATTTTTGTAGCATCTCAATACACTTCTTACTATGTTTTTTTTTTAATAAATATTTATAAAGTACATAGTTATAAACTGCAATTAACCACATCTATAATTACATACAGCGCCACCGACTGTAGAACATTTATGTGTGCATGACGCCTCAGCCCTTGCTACGTTGGCTTATTCAGATAGAGCTTACAATGCAATAGTCCAAAAGTTAATTGGTTAGTTTCTGTATCTAACTACAGATTTCTGCATACACATTTCCTCATGTTGCATTCGTTTTATCACAAGGAACACTCCCCGCCCAAAAGAGCACCCATAACCGCCGCGTCCCTGTGTTTGATGGCCAATCTCAGGTTGTAGTCTTTAATCCCTTGCTCACTCTCATCTGCCGCCTTCCTGATTAGTTTGCTTATCGCGTCTTCACTGTCTGTGTAATAGATACAACCATGCGTGTGACGCGATATTGCTACTACTGCGTGTGGTACGCTATCATGAATTTCATGCTTCTTCGTAGCTGTGCTCACAACAACCACATTCGCGCACGAAAGCCCTGTGCCTCGTGTATTGTGAAGACGCGTGATCCCACGCACGACTCGTTTCCCCGGTTCTTAAGGGATTCCTTTTCTGCCTGAGTGTGTACCAGGTTAAAGTGTCGGGGAGTGATTTTGGGATCTTCGCTCCCGAGAACCTTCTTATCTCGAGGGATCTCACGAACGACTTGGACGAGTTGGCCCTGTGTGCTGAGGTTATTTATTAATTATTTATCATTGACAGCTTCCGCTGATTTATGTCACCAATTAGAAGGACTTCCTTGGCTTGAGTTATTCGGGCGGCCATCACAACGGCTCCAAAGTGGTTGATGGCAGCTCTCTCGCTTCCTCATGCTGTTTAGTAAGATGGACGCCATTGTTCAAATCCTAGATTTGATTCTGCAGAATAGTTTGCCTCTGAGGTCATTTGCTGCTTCAGTGGTTGTAGTGACTTAGATCTTTGTCCGCTTCAAATTGATCTACTGTCCAAGTCTCGTCCAGTGAAACCTCGGAGCATGCCAGTCCCCAAAGACTACGCCGTCCGGTCCAGATTCTGAAATGGATCTTGCCATCTCTAATATTCCATCGTCCAGCATTATTCTGGTGCATTTGACAACCACTATTACGAAATCCCCAGGACTTTTAAACTTTACTACTCAGCCTCGATCGGATTCCATTTCTTCCAGAGACACAAATCCTACAGTTGCGTAATAAGCAACCATACTTCGAGTTATAGAGGATCCTCTCAGTACCGTCTATGACTCGAAGTATGTACCCTACCCTACCCTATATGTCTATATACGAGAACAACACATCGAGAGTACCTACTGCTTCGAGTCTATCGTTCAGTATTAGCTCGTTCCCTGCAGGATGGATTCGCATTTCCGCAAGTTTACCTGCGTCGTTGTCTCATTTCAAAGCGTTTACGACATGGTCTCCGGTCACTACCAGAGTCCACTGACGCTTGACCCATAGCTGCCCTTGTTGGTGATGACCTGGAGGGAGCAGATTGTATTAGAGCGCCATAGCCTTCCGATCCTTGAGTAAATTTGGCTATATTTTTCCTGAAGGGTGACGAAATGAGTCCGATTACTGAGCATACGGTCGCTGTTATTGCCCACATTCTACCTAGTGATTCTAATTTTTTATTTTCCTTCTCAGTGTTTCGTTGGTGTTGTTGCAGAGCGCTTTGTTGCCAATATCATTATTATAGACGCTCTGAGCCGCTTTGAGAACCCACCTTTAGCGGGTACATAACTGGTTTTTTGAGGAAACTCAAGTCATCACCCCTGTCCTCGTAAACGATGACTTCATGATGTTCTGAATCCTTGATACATCCTATAACGTCTGCCGTTCCCACCACGGCAGCGTCCACGTTAATTATTCTAGATTTATAACCTCCAGTTCTCCCCGTCCCCGCCCAGTGCCCACCCATGCCTGAACAGCGGGGTGCTGTCAAAACTTGTTTGTTTGCATTGCGATTGTTTTATTACGTGTTCGCAAAAGTCGACAGCTCCGACCCAACTTTTGAATTTCTGGCAGTGCATCATACGTTCTGCGCTGCATACTTGTCTTGGATGTGCTGCGATACATTAGGGAGGCCCGGTGAAATCGCTTGGTGAAATTCTATGTTATCAGGTCCTAGTACTTCCGGAGAAACCTAACGTATTTTTGTTGTAACAGTAGTGGAGCTCTACCTATTAGTTTATTTAGTAGTACTTAGCAAAATATTTTGATTTACTTTTGTCACATCTTAATTTTATCGATAATTTAAGTTCATACAGAGTTCATTAAATTAAAAACAAAATTTTGTCATAAATTCATTTATTTAATAATAAACTTGACTTCTATGAAACAAATGACAAAACGTTCACATTTAACATGGTATATAGAAATCAAGCATAAGATAATGAAGAAAATATTGATGTTTATTATAAAGATAGAGTCATAATTGTCTACTTCTTCCGTCCACCTCTCTCCTTGACCTGCAGATGTAGGATGGCTCCGGGCGGGACGTTGTAGAATGCTAGTGTGTTTGTATCCTTGAAGAACAGACCCTGTAACATAATGCATGGTTTAGTCACGAGTTTTATGATTTAGCTGGTACATTTAGATGTAAGACGACAGATGACTGCCTCGTTGATCGAGTTCGAACGGTCGCAAGTGGGACTAGCATAGCAAGGGGTCTTAGGTTCGCTTGCTAGGTTGGGAATTAAATTTTAACGTTTTTAAAGAGCAAAGAAAAAATTCTTTAGTAATAACAGGAAGCCTGGAATATTTTCAGTATTATGACATAATGAATATACATTAAAGAGCACTTGTAAATAACTGGCAAAACATGGCTGTTGCTAACGCAAGGATCTTTCCATGTAATATTTATGTTGAATAGAACAATTGAATAGTAACAAAATGTAATAATATCATATGAATAAGTTACCTCGTACTGCAGCTTCTGCTTGGCAATGGGCATGTTGGTGGAGCGCTGCAGAATGTTCTTGAGCTCCGCGACCGTCGTCGACAGCGCCACGCTCAGCGGCAGCGCGCGCCCGTCCAGCCGCCACTCTGTACGCTCCGGGAGGGATGGTAGTGCCACCTGCATATGTAATATATAAATCGTTAAAATGCTAGTGTATGTGATCTGTACTAGATAATATGAGATTATAATTCCAAATCAAAGTACGACAAACTAAGTTACAATTTCTAATAATCAATAATGACTCCAGTTCAAAACAAAATAAAATTAAACTACAATGTTGTTGAATATCAATAATTGAAAAAGCGGAGAAATAGAAATAATTAATAAATTAAATTCTCAAATTGAAATCCAGAGTTATTAAATTAAAAATGTCAAAAACAAAAATTTTAGTTTTTAATACCAATGGGTATATTATCATGTTCCAAGTCTGCGGTGAAATGGGACCAGTTCAGCATACGCAAGACCGGGCCTTGCGCTGGTATTCTACTGGCCCATAAAGTGGTTTACTGACATATTCCAAAAAATAACATATTCTCATTAAATGTTAATTCACCAATCAGCTTACAGTTTGGTGGTTATCTATAATTGTTCTACATTTCCAGACAAGTCTTCCCGCGTGATAGCGACGGGCGGTGCGTCAGTCAACAAGGAGCTGCTGCAGATATTCGCTGACGTCTTCGACACACCCGTCTACGTGCAGGTAACCAAATAACTTGCCTTGCCTTATACCATATACCATGTGTTATGTGTTCAAGATAGAGAAAGATTGCCTCGTTGGCCGGGCCGAGTGGTCGCAAGTGCAATTGCCGGGCAAGGGGTCTCGGGTTCGTTTCCAGGGTCGGGCAAAGTATTACTGGGTTTTAAAAAATTCTCAGTAGTAGCACGGAGTCTGAAATTGTGCCCGGTATATGGTGGTTGGTGCTTACGTTGCGCGCCCATCTCCAACCTGTCTGCCATGCGTGACGAATATGGCAATTCCTCATGTGCAGAAGTCGATAGACCAGCAGTGGACTGTGACGAGCTGTTGATGGTAATCTATTCGAATAGTTTACCATCATACCATTCATTCTACATATATATATTTGACTGCACGGTTGGTGCGGTGGCTGGGCTGCCGTGCAATGTGTGGGTTCGATTCCCGCACGGAACAAAACTTTGTGTGATCCACTTATTGTTGTTTCGGGTCTGGGTGTCATTGTGTATGTGAACTTGTATGTTTGTAAACGCACCCACGACACAGGAGAAATAACTAACGTGGGGCAACGTTAAAAAAAATTATGGGTCAAGATCCACATTATAAAAATCAAAGGTCTAGTTTTTAATTAAATGAATCTTTTTTTATCATATGACTTATAGGATCAGCACGGTAACGCCGCGTTGCTAGGAGCAGCTATCCGCGCCGCCGAGGTATGGAGCAAGGAGACCGGCATAGCTTTACCTGGTTAGTGCATGTTTATTTCTACATCGTAATTATTTATCAGTCCAGTAATTTCAGAGCAAACAAACAATCAAATCTTTGCGGTTTATAGCATGGATAAATTTCATAAAACCTGAGCACTGAGCCTGTATATAAAATAGTTCCAAAAAAACTTATCAACACTTTGTTACAATCAAACCCTATAGAAATGCCTATCAAAGATTTTTTAATTTGACAAGCTCAAAACCGCTACAAATCGTGTAAGCCAGGATTTACAACCATGAAAACACTCCAATGTCCTATGAAATCCTATGAAAAAATGTCCTGAAAGGAAAGAAAGAAAGAAAAACTTTATTTCACACGCTAAAACAGGTGACACGTACAGATTTTAGACATTTTACACATAAGTACATCTACTAATGTCCCAAGTCTGCGGTGAAATGGGACCAGTTCAGCATGTGCAAGACAGGGCCTCGCGCTGGTATTCTACTGGCCCCTTAAGTGACTCGCGGACGAACAAGACACCAATCAGATAAAAACACAAAATAAAATGCACAAAACAAAACAAATATATAACAACAAAAAAGGAAATTAAAAAAACGTAAAACAAAAAACAAAGTGAAATTGGAGCATCCTACCGCCCCCGCTACCCCAGCGACCGCATAAGTCATGCCATGGGATTGAGATGGCGACAGCAAGCAGGCAAAACCGCGACACTACGCCATACGCCGGCGACCATTGAACACATGTGAATGTGATCAATTGTGTTGTGATGTGATGTGATGTGACAGGCATCAGTGAGCGATATTGAGCACGCACGAGACCGAGCACAGCTGCGGCGCCCAGTCGAGATGGAACCAGTGACATTGAAGTCGACACATTTCCCAGCCAAACAGTTATATTAATGATGTGTTGACAATCGCCATTCCTATCTTTCTCTGTGCGTCCATCAAATATCGACGTACGTGTGTTCTGAAAGTACCAATGGCGTAAAGGGACATTAATAATAATTCAGTGTCTGTCCTATTAAGGTTTGGTAATATTTAACCACCTTTTTATCTACTATTCTTTTTAAATTCCAGGTTCCGAGCTAAAAGTGTCACCAGTGGCGACCCCATACCCAGATCACGACAAGATCTACACTCCAATGCTAGCTCGCTACAGGCAGATCATTGAAACCATCCCCAAACTCGGATAATACACGGAGAGGCCAGCCACCATCTTCCAAATAACTGCTGGACTTCGCTTGGACTGTATACTTAACCGAATACATATCACATTTTTTACGCAAACAATTTAGTACATGGGACTCGAAAATAGGTGCTACATGTAATGCGCACCTCTGCTGATCGCCTTTCCGGGGCACTAAAATATATAATATGTAACTTGGTGCTAAATAAAGTGCCTATAGGTATAATCCCAATTGCTGCTTAAGGATCTGTAGGTCTGCATTTAATAGCTAATGTTATAATGTTCAGAAATTTTCTATATTTTTAAATATTGATATTAAAATTTCCATTGTTCAACATTCCGCTATCAGTGATCTCGGCCTGTTCCTTCGAGGTTTAAAAGGCGTGATGTTATTTAACATTCCATTTTATTATACATCTTTTTCGTACACTTGTTGATATTTTTATTGTTGATTTTTTTATTAAAATATTTCAGAATCTTGATGTTTGTGATCATAGGGATAAGCGATGTATTTATATAGACGTTTTTTTATATTTATTTACGTGACAATCTCATGGTGCTTGCTGTGCAATATTCCAATTTACATTCCATTATAATGTAACCACAATATTGTTTTCAGTTTCTAAAATAAAATCATGTAACTCTATAATTGTGAGCAGTGCATTTGCTTTTAAATCTGTTTAACATTGGAGTATGCTTTTGTTACATTATATGATTTTTTGTTAATTTTTATACATTTTTATAAATAAATGTTTGCTATTATCAATTTGTATTATTTTGGGGCATTACAACTAAAAAACGCACGTCACGATTGGTCCCGTCCATCCGTAGCCGAAATAAAATACTTTAATGGTACTGAACTTCAGAACCATTATGACGTATTTTTGCACTCTTCAATACACTTCTTACTATGTTTTTTTTAATCAATATTTATAAAGTACATAGTTATAAACATATAATTATTACTACAATAATAAAATATACAAAAATTAACCATTATCAATTTACTTCTATTTCTACGGTCCTACGAAATCAGCCCACCAACAAGATGGAAGAGCCGACCTGACCCAGCAGAAGGCACCCATCCACGAGTATGTGTCAGCAGTTGATCCGGGCAATCTTTTTATTGGGAACGGAACAACCCAACATACAGCGCCACCGACTGTAGGACATTTATGTGTGCATGACGCCTCAGCCCTTGCTACGTTGGCTTATTCAGATAGAGCTTACAATGCAATAGTCCAAAAGTTAATTGGTTAGTTTCTGTATCTAACTACAGATTTCTGCATACACATTTCCTCATGTTGCATTCGTTTTATCACAAGGAACACTCCCCGCCCAAAAGAGCACCCATAACCGCCGCGTCCCTGTGTTTGATGGCCAATCTCAGGTTGTAGTCTTTAATCCCTTGCTCACTCTCATCTGCCGCCTTCCTGATTAGTTTGCTTATCGCGTCTTCACTGTCTGTGTAATAGATACAACCATGCGTGTGACGCGATATTGCTACTACTGCGTGTGGTACGCTGTCATGAATTTCATGCTTCTTCGTAGCTGTGCTCACAACAACCACATTCGCGCACGAAAGCCCTGTGCCTCGTGTATTGTGAAGACGCGTGATCCCACGCACGACTCGTTTCCCTGGTTCTTAAGGGATTCCTTTTCTGCCTGAGTGTGTACCAGGTATAAAGTGTCGGGGAGTGATTTTGGGATCTTCGCTCCCGAGAACCTTCTTATCTCGAGGGATCTCACGAACGACTTGGACGAGTTGGCCCTGTGTGCTGAGGTTATTTATTAATTATTTATCATTGACAGCTTCCGCTGATTTATGTCACCAATTAGAAGGACTTCCTTGGCTTGAGTTATTCGGGCGGCCACCACAACGACTCTTTAGGAGCTAGGTAGGAGAGCCTAGTGTCCTAGAGGAGGTTTCTTCTTATCTTCTAGTAGTAGTAAAACTCCGATGAGAGGTGTTGACAAGAATGATTTTATTTCGCCAAACTACGCTACTTATATTTCTATTTACATATTTACAACTAGACAAGTTCGGATATAGTTAGGTGATAGTTTCGACCAATAGCGGCGCGCCGGCGTGCGCGGGGCGCGCGGGGTGCGGGGCGCCGCTTTGCACACGGCACTATCGGTTCCTTCCGTATAAGTATGACCGCGCGGCGCGAGCGCGCGCATTTCTCCGAGAGCCGGCGTCGAGTGAAGACTGAAGACTACCTACAGGTGAATGAAGAATGAAGATGAATGCAAGTACTCCGGCCTCCGGCTCCGCTTGCGCTGCTTGGCTGCTTGCTTTACCAAACCGCTTCTTTCGAAGCGATCGCTCGCGGCACGGTGTGATAACGCTGTTGCCGCAGTGATGATTATCGTTTCTATGCAAGAAAGTCGAAAACTGTCTTTTTCAAGACAATTGGTTTCTGGTTTCTTAAAACGGAGTCAAAACGTAAACTGTCTTTTTCAAGACAATTGGTTTCTTGTTTCTTTAAACGAAGTAAGTCTATAACTTTGGTAAAGGTATTGTGGAAGGTATCTGGTATATGGAAAGGTATTCGGTAGTACTGGTAACTGGTAGGTATGTAGTCGTGCGGTGCGGCTACAACTCCAAAGTGGTTCGTGAGAGTCTCATCTACCATTAGTCGATGGCAGTTCTCGCTCCCCCAAGCTGTATACTAAGATGGACGCCATTGTTCGAATCCTAGATTTGACCAGCCCCCCGATTCTGCAGAATAGTTTGCCTCTGAGGTCATTTGCTGCTTCAGTGGTTGTAGTGACTTAGATCTTTGTCCGCTTCAAATTGATCTACTGTCCAAGTCTCGTCCAGTAAAACCTCGGAGCATGCCAGTCCCCAAAGACTACGCCGTCCGGTCCAGATTCTGAAATGGATCTTGCCATCTCTAATATTCCATCGTCCAGCATTATTCTGGTGCATTTGGCAACCACTATTACGAAATCCCCAGGACTTTTAAACTTTACTACTCAGCATCGATCGGATTCCATCTCTTCCAGAGACACAAATCCTACAGTTGCGTAATAAGCAGCCATACTTCGAGTTATAGAGGTTCCTCTCAGTACCGTCTATGACTCGAAGTATGTACCCTACCCTACCCTATATGTCTATATACGAGAACAACACATCGAGAATACCTACTGCTTCGAGTCTATCGTTCAGTATTAGCTCGTTACCCTGCAGGATGGATTCGCATTTCCGCAAGTTTACCTGCGTCGTTGCCTCATTTCAAAGCGTTTACGACATGGTCTCCGGTCACTACCAGAGTCCACTGACGCTTGACCCATAGCCGCCCTTGTTGGTGATGACCTGGAGGGAGCAGATTGTATTAGAGCGCCATAGCCTTCCGATCCTTCAGTAAATTTGGCTATATTTTTCCTGAAGGGTGACGAAATAAGTCCGATTGCTGAGCATACGGTCGCTGTTATTGCCCACATTCTACTACCTCGTGATTCTAATTTTTTATTTTCCTTCTCAGTGTTTCGTTGGTGTTGTTGCAGAGCGCTTTGTTGCCAATATCATTATTATAGACGCTCTGAGCCGCTTTGAGAACCCACCTTTAGCGGGTACATAACTGGTTTTTTGAGGAAACTCAAGTCATCACCCCTGTCCTCGTAAACGATGACTTCATGATGTTCTGAATCCTTGATACATCCTATAACGTCTGCCGTGCCCACCACGGCAGCGTCCACGTTAATTATTCTGGATTTATACCCTCCAGTTCTCCCCGTCCCCGCCCAGTGCCCACCCATGCCTGAACAGCGGGGTGCTGTCAAAACTTGTTTGTTTGCATTGCGATTGTTTTATTACGTGTTCGCAAAAGTCGACAGCTCCGACCCAACTTTTGAATTTCTGGCAGTGCATACGTTCTGCGCTGCATACTTGTCTTGGATGTGCTGCGATACATTAGGGAGGCCCGGTGAAATCGCTTGGTGAAATTCTATGTTATCAGGTCCTAGTACTTCCGGACAAACCTAACGTATTTTTGTTGTAACAGTAGTGGAACTCTACCTCTACCTATTAGTTTATTTAGTAGTACTTAGCAAAATATTTTGATTTACTTTTGTCACATCTTAATTTTATCGATAATTTAAGTTCATACAGAGTTCATTAAATTAAAAACAAAATTTTGTCATAAATTCATTTATTTAATAATAAACTTGACTTCTATGAAACAAATGACAAAACGTTCACATTTAACATGGTATATAGAAATCAAGCATAAGATAATGAAGAAAATATTGATGTTTATTAGAAAGAGTCATAATTGTCTACTTCTTCCGTCCACCTCTCTCCTTGACCTGCAGATGTAGGATGGCTCCGGGCGGGACGTTGTAGAATGCTAGTGTGTTTGTATCCTTGAAGAACAGACCCTGTAACATAATGCATGGTTTAGTCACGAGTTTTATGATTTAGCTGGTACATTTAGATGTAAGACGACAGATGACTGCCTCGTTGATCGAGTTCGAACGGTCGCAAGTGGGACTAGCATAGCAAGGGGTCTTAGGTTCGCTTGCTAGGTTGGGAATTAAATTTTAACGTTTTTAAAGAGCAAAGAAAAAATTCTTTAGTAATAACAGGAAGCCTGGAATATTTTCAGTATTATGACATAATGAATATACATTAAAGAACACTTGTAAATAACTGGCAAAACATGGCTGTTGCTAACGCAAGGATCTTTCCATGTAATATTTATGTTGAATAGAACAATTGAATAGTAACAAAATGTAATAATATCATATGAATAAGTTACCTCGTACTGCAGCTTCTGCTTGGCAATGGGCATGTTGGTGGAGCGCTGCAGAATGTTCTTGAGCTCCGCGACCGTCGTCGACAGCGCCACGCTCAGCGGCAGCGCGCGCCCGTCCAGCCGCCACTCTGTACGCTCCGGGAGGGATGGTAGTGCCACCTGCAATGTAATATATAAATCGTTAAAATGCTAGTGTATGTGATCTGTACTAGATAATATGAGATTATACATAACACTTTTCGTTATATGAGAAGGTACGAATTTATATCTTTTACATGAAAAACGTAAGCAAAAGCAAAATTTGCTAGGAATAGCAAAACTGAAGGTTTATTAACAGAATATGGCAAAGTGTTAAACAAAGTAAACGAGGTGAATTAATAACATTGTAAAATATAACTGACCTGTAGTGGTACTGGCCCGGGATGCCTGGCCATCCAGGAGTGCTCAGGTTCCAGTGCGTCCTCAGTGCGCGGTCGCTTGGCGGCCGGACCCTCCTCCTCCTCCACGGGGGCCACCGCGCCGAACGGGAACCCTCCCGCACTCACCGCAGCTGTCGAAAGCATAAAATATGTTACTTATATAATGCTATTTAAAACTAAATCCTAAGATCAACAAACTCCTACTCTTCCGCCTGATGTCATAAGCGACGACAAAAGGGACCATACAATTGGTAAAACTGTGCAACAGCACTCTATGATAAGCCCTTTAAAATGTGATCTATTATTCAGGATGTAAGTTTCTGACAACCCTCTTGTGAAGAAGCGGCCCATAGTACACAAGTGGATTAATGAAGGGCTGTTAAAGTTATTAATTCGAAAGTTAGGTGTAAGTATGTAGTAGTTAGGTGAACTAACCTACAGCACCAACAGGACCAACCGCGGTGACGGCTCCAACAGGTGTGGGAATGAGTGGTGGTCGGGGAGCCATCGGTGGCAACACCATCAGTGACGGCAGTGGCTGCAGCAGGACAGGCTGCGGGGCGGGGGGCGCGGGGGCGGCTGGCGGTGGGCGCGGGGGCGGGGCCGGAGCCACGCGTGGCGGGGCCACGCGGGTCACGCCCGGTGGACCTACTGGCTTCGGACCAATCTTTTCCTTTTCTTCGTCAGGGAGTAGACCCTTGACCTTTTAAAGCAAAATAAAAAAATGAAAAACTGAATTCCAACAAAACCCTGCAGACATTTAGCAACAGTTATCAATGAATAGTTTAATCAGTAAAAGTAGACAAAATGAATATTTACCTTGTGTATCTGTTGAATTTGGTCTTCGAGTGTGATGTGCGCCCGCGCGGCTCGTGTGGCAGCTTCCACACTAGAAGTGTGTCCATCCCAAGTGACCCGGTCGTCTCTCCTTCTCTCTTCCTCTCCGATCTTCTTACCGATGGCAGTTTCTTCGTCACCCACACCGAAGATATCCGTACGACGTTCCGCGAGCTATAGACATTAACATATGAAAATATACATTCTTGCATATTTGGAATTGAACTATAGAATAATTATGTCATTGTACACTGGTGTGATATTATTGATATGACATATGTATAACATTTATTTACCTGTTTAAGTGAAGCTTCAATAGCAGCTCCGGGTGCGAGGGCCTCGTCCCTGTCAGTACGTTCAGCAGCCGCGCGGTCTCGCTGCTCCAACCAGCGCGGGTCTAGCAGACCGATGCGCACGTGGTCAGCCACTTTGTTCGCCGGGATCTTCTCTCCGGTGATAGGCGACACCAGCCATTCTTCTGAAGCAGGTGTAGGTTGAGGTCTGGCGCGTTTGGGATCGTATTTCTTGACAACCACGCGATCTGGTCGTGGAGGTAATGGTGCCTCATCTCCAGGTGCCCGTGGCCCACTATCTGCAGGTCCTTCATCATCTGAAGACGAGCTCTCTTCTTCCATATCCTGCACACGGTTATCATCTGGCCGCTGTTGTTGTTGTGTTCGGTCTTCCATCTCTGCGAGCTCATCATCTGTCTCGGACTCCGACTCGGATTCCAGCTGCATCTCTGTATCATCATCTTCATTTCCATGTGTAATGTCTTCACCTCTCTCCTGTGCTAATACCCTAGCGCCTACTTCTAAAGGTGTCGTCGGAGGTGGGAAATCTCCAGGCTCACCTGCTGGATAGTCCACAGTTTCTACTACAACAAAGTCATGCCAATCAATGGAAGCATATGCGAGGCGTTCTTTCTCGATTTTGGCTTCATCAGCCGCCTTACGACGGGCTTGGTGAGAATGCCAGGCAGCTCTGCTGCGAGCTTGCTCCAATACTCCGCTTCGTACCTCAGCAGCTAGCTTCGATACTAGTTCTTTTGGTGGCAGTAAAACTTTCGTATACTGCTCTAGCAGCCGAGTAAAGTACTGAAACAGTGAGTGTTGCGGGCGAAGGAAATCAAACTGATGGTTCCTTTCTTCCTTCTTCATCAAGTCGGTAAGGAACTGACGCCCATTCCTAGCCACAAATTGTGCGGTCAGTTTAACTATGTCAAGCTCAAGTGCTGAGATAGAAGGAGGGTCTGCAATGAATTCAAACTCTGGTGGAGGGTCACGTGGTGGTGGGGGCTCAGCTGGCGCGGCGGCTTTCAATAGTTCTTGCTGACGAGCTGCAGTGGCAGGCGCAAGACCAGGGCGCTGGATGGCAGGCATACCCATCATCGCTGGGGCACCTGGGTCTGGACCTATTTACGTTTCAGCATTTTAATTTTTATGTTTTGGTAACATTTTGAAAAACAAAGTAGTATTATGTATTTGAGCACAAGCAAGACAGTTCATAGATGTTTTTGTGCTTGGATTTATATTCTGTACTCTGAATGCCATTTTAACAGCTACAATAAGGTTTGTACAATTTTGACATTGAATAATTATTGAGTTTTTATTGGATTGAAATTAAGATTGGTTTCAAGAGTTGATCACCGCACGGTTGGTGCGGTGGCTGGGCAACCGGCTGCCGTGCAACGTGTCGCGGGTTCGATTCGCACGGAACAACTGTGTGATCGGGTGTCGGTCGATTCCCGCACGGAACTGGGTGTCATTGTGTAGGTGAACTTGTATGTTTGTAAACGCAGCCACGACACAGGAGAAAATCCTAACGTGGGGCAATGTTTTTTTAAAAAAAAAAAAAAAAATAAAGGGTAAGGACCCTGGTGTTTAGTATAATTATGGACAACTATTTCGGCTAACTAAAATGATATTATTTTGTGTAGAAATAGGTAGGTAGACAATGTTTTAAAATTTGTTAGGAATTTCTATAATAGTAACTTGTAATTACGTAGTAAGTAAAGTGAATGAAATATGTTTAAATTTAAAATTATTAGTAAGGTGTGCACTTACCCTTCCCCTCCCTGATTTCTTTAACTTTGTGTTGATAGTAAGCATGGTACGGGTCTCCAGAGTTGAGGAAATTGAATTTAGGGTTTCCAAGCTCATTCTGTCTGATACGGGCTTCAAACTCCGGTCCATTTCGAGCTACGAAGCTAGCAGTTTTGTCCACAATATCTAAAGAGGTTGGTTAAGGAGATCAATCTATGTATGGCTGTAAATGAAATTGATTAAGTAATAAAATGACAGATACCTATTAATTTAAGAAGAAATTGAATCATAGGGTTATCATCCTCATACAATCACACTTTTCTTCTAATTGTCGTATTCAGGAATGAAGCTGAAATTGAAACGGAAATTAATAAATATGTTTCACTTCATAACACGATATTGAAAGTAGGTTGATTAAATGCAATAAGTATACAACAGTAAGCGCCAGTTTAAACTACCCAACTTTCTGGTGGTATTATTTTAACCTATTGCTTTACGATTAGTGTTGAATTTTGCTTTAATGTGCAATTAACAATCAAGAGAAACCTTTTAGGTTATGATGCATTCTGGTTATGATCATTAGACATTGAATATTAAATTGAATAATAAAACTTGTTACAGTAAAATAATAATATCAAATGACAATTAATGTTTAGTATTTATTATTTCAAAGGATACTCCTCACTTCTGGCGGAGGATAAATAATGCCAATGACGGGTGCAGAAGGAGCCTGGGGCTCCTCTATCGGCGGCTCCATCGGGATCCCCGGAGGGGGAAGCACGTCTATTGAAGGCATGGCCTGCCTTGGAAACTCCTCTTCAGTGAAATAAATAATTATTCTATCTCAAATCACTATTTTATTACGACAACAAACAAGAAACTGCAAATGACGCGCACAGCAAATGGCGAAGCGAAATTATGTATGTCAATGTCATTCATTTAATGACAGTTGACAGTTCATGACATTAGGGTTGCAAGGTTGCACAGATAAAACACAAGCTGTTATTCTCGACGCGTTAACGTATTCTGGGGCGTGGGAAGATGCGCCCTCGGGGCCGCGCTACTCTGGAAAAACCTTCTTACAGCTTTATTCAGCGCCTACGCTCCCATACTACCGAATACACATAATAATACCGATGTTTGATTAACAGTAACTTTTGAATATCTCTAAAGACTGTAAGAAAGACATACCTAATTTTTAACAAAAAAAGATCATGTGAACATGTAAGACCATATTGTTGTATCGTAGGATAAATATGCCCTTAAAAATAATGTTTTTATACAGGTGACATAATTATGACTTTAAAGTGAAATAAGAACAAGCCATTCATATAAAATTAATATCATATTTATTTTCAGAAAACCATAGTTTAAAAATTTGAGATAGGTATTTTACTATGAGTAGTAATATTATACCACTGTGTTGTTTCGGTGATACTTTCACCCGGTCGCAAGTTTTTGTCGAAGCACAATGTAAGAGTCATTATCAGCAGATATGTAAATATCCACAGCACTAAAGCAAATGTTAACATCAAAAAAATTGCTTGGGTCTTCCATTCTGGACTCGAAAGACGAACTTCACTTTGCTTAGGTTCAATCAATCCTAGTTCTTCAGAATAAACTTTGCGCTGAAATAATTTAAGTGGCTCATTAGGTAATAATATTAGGTACCTATAACTACTTCATTGGTCAAGTGGCAAACGCTACGACATAACAACGGATCCCGCTCGGGATTGATTCCCGCGCCTGGCACTGCTTATTATTATCTAACCTACTTAAAAGGAGGAGTTCTCAATTTAGCCATTTTCTTATGAAATACAAATTTTTGGGACTACCTAAATACCAGAAGACTTACATGATAGTAATTGATCCATGCTGATAAAAGGAAACTCACAATTGCAAATGAGTTTCAAGTGCACAAGTGGTTTAAAAAAAAAAGTAGGTAAATATTATTATTTCGAAAAATACACAATCATTCTGAACTGTAGCCAGGTAGGTAGGTTAGTTAGTTAGTAGGGTAATTGGTACATAATTATAGAAATCTCGTCTACTTTTGATTAAATAGTTACAAAATTAACTTACAAAATAATACACTTAAATGACATAATATTCGTATAATAATTTGTATTTACTTACAAAATACTCATGTTGAGGGTAATCTTTGAACAAATCATTTAAGTGCATTTTGTATATTTTGCCGTTTTAAAAATAACGGCTTCATAGAAAATTTTATAAAAAATAAGTTTAAAATATCATTTTAAAAAACACTTATCACAAGAGAATAGCTTCAGATTGTCGATATGACAGACAGAATGTCACAGAAGTTTCTAAAACCAGCATTTTTAAATGTTGAAAATGATTGTGTAAAAAGGATGAAAGGAAAAGTCGTAGAATCACCCTGTTGTTGTGGGATAGACCGATACACCAAACACATGAGAAAACATTTAAAATAATGATATGGAAATATACACGGGAACACAAATCATAAAATTGTAGGAATATAAAAATTTAATTTATTTATTTCAAATTTTCATGAGCCCCATGAAATGACTTACAAATATTTTAAAATGAATTTGTTTTAATCAGTAAATTAAACTTAAAATTACTTAATATAATATTCATCAATTTTATAAAAATATTATTATATTTAATTATTATTCGATTTATGAGAGATGATTATGTCGTATAGTTAGTGAAATCGAGGATGGATTTAAAAGAAAAATTAAAAGTAAGTAAAAATTCTCAGTCGAAAATATGTCCCAACTTAACTTACATGCTTTTGAGCAAATATTACATGAGAATATTTATTTAATTCTAAACCTAAACGCGATTTTTACGAGTTTTTTATGAATAGTGTCAATAGAGTATTAAATATGGTACAATAAGGTTTTACATAGACAATAGACATTACCAGTGCCGGATTAGGAATTAAACAGAAAGAGTATGTAGGCCATGTATTATAAGGCCGAGACCTTGATTCTAGCTGTAGAAAACAAGTCCAATCGAAGGCCTTTACTTTGCTATGGGCCCTGCACATGTTCATATCGGAAAGTAACAGTGTTCTTTTAAAAAAATAACTAGATAAAAAGTAACAAATAGGTACTACGGGCCCCCTGCAAAAGCGGGTCCTGTATACGTAAAAACATAATTATATTTTTGTATCAATGATGTCAGTTCGACGAGGCCTCTATGCTAAGGGGGGCCCTTACCATAGAGGCCTCTATGCTAAGGGGGGCCCTTACCATAGAGGCCATGTTCAATCCGGCTCTGGGTATTAATAACTTATTTAAAATAATGAAATAGTTAATCAGTTGAGGCCATTAAGGGCTGCTAAGGCATCTCGTTGTTCATAAGTTGACCGCGGAGCGATCTTCTCGCGTTCTTCATTGCCGGCAAGGAAGATCGCCAAGTGCTCCTGTAAAAGATTGAATATTATTAGGTTTTGTTTAGCAGATGGTGCTAGTGAGCCGTAAGGTCATTTAATTATCTTAATAGATGATGCCGACCGATACTGCGATGGTCATCCATGACAGCGGTCAGAAAAGGATTTCCCATCAACAGTTTCTGTCGGCAGTCAAAGACTTAACTGACAATGGTTTCCTAAATATTTGTTGGTCAGTAGATTGCTATCTATCCTCCACAAACAGTTAATTTGATGGGTTCTGGAGTAGCTTTAACGACTAACATAATAAACGTTTGAATGGCCACCGAGATTGACGGCTTATTCGACATGACTGTTTAATACAACTGTACTACAACGTATTATGGAACCCCAAACGTTAAATCCTTTTAAAAATAACTTAAGAAGTCCATCATCAAGCTACTACTTCAACCGTGGTGTATTTGATTCACGTAACACTTACCAGATAGGTTTTAGAAGCACTCTGCAGGTGTTGCAGGAGTGTCTCCAGCTTGCCGCGCCATTCCTTTACTTCAGACATTGCTGTCTCCACGGGCATAGTCTGCGAATGACGTCACATTAGTCATTGATAAATAAAGCCGTATTTTACATCTGATGATAGTAAAAATACATTTATTGCCATCCCTAATCTTCCTCCGGGAATGTATGAGTTCAAAAAGGCTAATGGCTGTCATACATATGGTCTATGGTCTATCGGGTGTGTGGGAATAGACCTGTGCAGATTTTTGAGCTTGTGCAGGCGACCGGCACAGAATTGAATATGAATTCTTTCTAGTGACACCGTACACCATTTCAAAAAGAAGTGAATACCGCTCCGGTACACAAGAATGTTCCATACATGCTACCAATGTTCTGTTCGGTCTACCTGTGCAGGCATACCTGCACAGATGACCTCTCCGGTACACTGCAGCGTGTATGACTTACATAAAGGACTGCTAATATAACAGGTTAGCTCTCTGATTAGCCTGAACCTGAATCCTGAATTGAGATCTCTACTTCGCCTGCCAGACGTGGAGATAATGGCAAACTCCTTTTATGTAGAGGAGACTCATAGTGCAATGGTGAACTGTCGCAGGCTTTTGGTGTGATTAGCCTATGATATGACAATGACTATTCATTAATAACGTATTTTTAATGTCGAATGTGGTGTCTTCTACATGAAAATAAAGCGGATTTTCAATTACCTTCATCAGCGCATCGGTTGCGGTGTTCAAAGTCTTCGTAATCAGTGCCATGCCTTGACGGACGTTCCTGAAACAATAACCATTGACTAAGTTCAGAAATTCATTAGACTATAATGTAAAGTCTCCATAAATTATGTTCTGAGGAAGGCAAGAAGAAAGACAGCAATAATTAAGTTTCCATACTTGGGTAGATCAGTGTGAGTGTAGTGGATGAGATGCACCATCTTCCTGGCAGTCTCCCTCGTCAGTAGGACGACCAGTTCCTCCAGGGTAGCAGGTCGGGCTTGGTTCTCTGGCTCCGGTTGACTCAGCTCTGCGAAAAGCTCCTTAGCCTTCTGCCAGGCCAAAACAGGATCTGTGGCTATCTGTAGGAGGGAGTGCCGATGATTGGTATTAACCTTTTTTGTGATCTTTGTGTAAGAGTGACTAAAGAACTTCATTTGACCTTCAAAGCTTTTATAAAATGTTATCTTGTCTTACTCTAAAGTTTTCCGCTGATGTTAATACTTTTATTACAAAGACATCTCATATATAGACCGTGAACAAAAAATGTGGTATAGCAGCTGCTTGCTATGTCATTGCAAAGTGAATAATATTTCCACGAGAGTGAAATGTATGAACACATTACAAACTACCTACAGTTAAATATGAACCTTCATATATGCCAAGAAGTAGCCAATTTCTCTAAGTTTAAGTTATGGGTTATTCATATTTCTTACCAATTCAGCAACATAAACGAGGACGTTGATTTGTTCCTTAATAGCTTTGGCCTCGGCGAGTGCCTGCCTGGTGAGCCGTCGCTGCAGCTTCCTGCCGAGGCGCGCGCCATGTTGCACGGCCTGCGCTGCGCGCGCGCGCCCACTGTCGCCGCCGTCCACCTCGTCCGCGCTCGTCACTATGATCACCACTATGGTAAGGACACTACGTTAGGATTCTACCCACACCGATGGTATTTAAAATAACTTACGAAATTAATCTGGAGTTATTGGAATAAAATACTTGCTACTCTTCTAAGTAGGTCACATTCAAAGCATTTTTTGAAACGTTCATAGACAAACAAAGAAATACCATAGGTGTCGGCGACATTTTAAAACCAGATAAAAAATGAGTAATCATGCATTTGCATTCATCAATTTGCATTCATCAACAATCTACCTGAATACATATCTATCTGTTTATTCTTGCACTCAATTATAACGGATATTATCACACAGTTCACTGTCCCGAAAATAAAGCAGACGACATCTAATTAATGCAATTAATCATATCGACATTTGAATGGGCGCAGAGTCCAACACAGTACCACGATCACATCTAATTTGTCAGTGGTTGAAAGTAACATTAATTGGTTCATTAATTAAGGAGTCCAATGATAAAATAGTCTTTATTGCTTTGGAATATGGCCTATTTATAGGACTGTAGGTGATATAAGTGCTTCCGTTAAGTCGGCCAGACAGGGTTCAGACTGGAGTTATCGTGTAACCTTGCGACCGATCGTTTATAGCTGTCTGGAATCTGAACACAGTTGCCAATGCAATGAATTGGTACAGGTTTGGATAAGTATAAGACCACCTACACACTAGCCTTTGTCCAGTGTAGACGTTCAATAGACGTATGCGCCGCGCAGGTGTCAAGTTTTCGCGGTGTCAATGCAAGACTAAATGAATACGCAGCGTTGGGGTCGCGTTAAGGCGGCGCACTTTGTCGCTTCTTTTCATACCAATATTAACACAGACTTATACAGGTAAATACCAAAATAAAATAAGTAATCAGGTAATTCATTTAAAATGCTTCAAAAGATTAAACAAAGAGCATTATGAGATCATTAAACTATTTAATTTATTTGTTATCATTTTGAGGCTATCGCCTCGATCTCGTTCGGTATCACTTGTGTTAATCTAATCATGAAAGAGTGCTCATTATTATGAAGATAAAAAGAGGATTTACTGAATATACTAACAATGAATAATATTTATTTTTGTCCAATTACGTTGCAAATGAGAATAATAAATAATTTCTCAAAAGTGAGTGCAATTTAAATGTAAGGCCTCCGCCGCACTACGAACCACGGTGGGTTTTATTAATTTTGGATTATCGGTAATTAAATAAAACAATACAATATTATCGAAATATACTGAGATAAAAGGCAACGATAACTACCTACTCGTGTTGTGATTGCACAAATAGAACACACTTGTTTTAAGTTTTTGTTGCATTTGAAATTAGGTACAATTTCCTAATCAATATGTGATTATGTTTCGTACTTATCAACCATCGACTGGAAGATTAGTTAGACACGTAGTATGCAAAGCCGTGCGGTCCGTGTATAGTATAATATATGTGAATGTATATTTATGTTAGCCGTTTTTTGACAAACTTTTATTATATTATTGAATCTTAATAAACGCGTTTGTACATTTTATGTATGTTATTTATTCACGATATTTATAAGGTAGGCAAAGCCTTTTTGCCTATATGGACTGCACGCCACTGGTTGTATGTCTAGGTATACAAGTAATGCTTTCTAAGTATTTCAAACTAGAATTTATGCTGTAGAAGTGGATCAAATTCATAGAGTACCCAAATGTGGGTTCTAACTAATATAAAACTAATTTAGATAAATGGTAGTATAGGTAGACGCGACGATATTATATACATACTCTTTTAATTATACATAGATATGTATATTTATGTGAATTTGCACCTAGGAATCTTTAAATGGAAAGTTCATGTACATTCCTTTAAACGATATCAGAGAAAAATAATGTCAATACGGGAGGTAGGGGTACCTAAGTATTTAATAAATTATTCTAACGTCTATTCAAATCTAATTATCATCTACTTACCATCCGACGCATCCTGTTGGTCAGGGGGCAAGTACTTATCGACATACTTGTCGGCCGTGGTCAGCGCTCGGTCTAGTGCTGTGACGGTGACGGCAGTGACCCTGGAGTCCAGCACTGCTGTTCCCAACTGCTTCACCGAGTCCGCTCGACGTACAACGAACCGACGGGTCTCGGAGTACATCTGTTGGGACAACGACATTTTGAGTAACGTCTCACATGGTTTGACATCTTTTTTTCTGTTCGAGTTTTGTGCTGACTTCGGCTGTACTTTTCATTAGCTACATAATGTTATTAATGTCATAAATTGCAATTAGTATCTAATTAATCACAAATTCCCGATTCAGGGCTACTGTTAAGAATTTCGAAATCAAACTAAATACCTTGCCTAACATGTAGCTTATACGGCGTGCTCACCGTAATTATAATGTTTCCTATATTCATTGCTTAATCAGCAGTCTTCGCCACTTTCATGTTCAACCATGTACAATTGTACAACTCCTATACATTATATACCTAAATAATTGACTTGATCAAAAGAAGCTGTGAAGTAACACCGCGAGATAATTACTACATGGACCTACATGACCCAAACCGGAGACGATGATAACTTTAGTATCGCAGTTGTTATGAAAACATCAACAAATGCACACCTAACCGGACATACAACCATTTCTTATGTAATACAGTGTCCTAATTTGTCAAGATTAACTGTGGGAAAGCTATGCTTCGGCACGAATGGGCCGGCTCGACCGGAGTGATACCACGGCCTCACAGAGAACCAACGTGAAGCAACGCTTGCGTTGTGTTTCGTCGTGTGAGTGAGGTTACCGAAAGTCCAATTATCCCCCTTTCCAACCTTTCCAATCCCTGAATCTCCAACAATCCTCAAATTCCTATTCCCAAAATCCGGCAACGCACTTGTAACGCCTCTGGTGTTTCGGGTGTCCATGGGCGCCGCCGATTGTTTACCATCAAGTGATCCATTTGGTCATTTACTGGCTTAACCTATAAAAAAGAAAATTATCTCACAAGCGCGATTAGCTTGAAAGTCGAACAAAATATGATTTCGGTATATCGATATAGTGGGTTATTATTATTGATATATTAAGTTTTCGATTAAGCTGGTGCACCTTTAGTTGCAGGCTAAACCCTTTTACATGGAAAACATAATACATCACGCCTTTTATTGTTACTTTCCATCTTCTTTAGATATTCCTTAAATGATACTGGTGATGAAAAGTGGGAATAAATGATTAATCTCTCTGTTTTTTAAATTTTCAAAACAACTAACCCTACTTCATTCAATGAACATAAGTCATTAAATACATTGAATACATTGCATCTTAGTCTTCAGGGAAAATAACACCAGACTAAATTGTTTTTAAATAAATTATCGTGAATCATACTTATCATTCATTGATTAGTTATCGCGGCTCAAAATGGAAGCTTTGACCAATAGTAGCAACTGCATTGTATTGTCTCTGATATGAAATGCGGAACTGATAAACGTAATGAAGAACGAATTGGTATCATGAAATAGGTAGCTGCACTTTTATATGTGAGTTTTAATTCCCATTATCGCTAAATATTTTGTTGAGGTGTTTGTGTCACAGATTTTAAAATTCAAATAAAAGTATCGTTAAATTAAACCCAAAATAATATAGGGGATCATAAACAAAACATAAAGTTTCCTTAATTCATGAGTACCTCTAGATAACATCTCACCTCCGAAGATATGACATTTATAAATAGTAGTAAGTACCTACATGTTAATGTTTGCTTTCTAAATAAAATTGCTAATTATCACTACTTAGTATAAAACAATGTCGCTATCCGCCGTCTGTCTGTCCCTATGTATGCTTTGATCTTTAAAACTACGCAACGGATTTTGATGCGGTTTTTTTTTAATAGATGATAGAGTGATTCTTAAAGATAGTTTATATGTATAATACATGATGACAAAAAAGCTGTGAACGTTGTGTATAAGGACATTCTGTAGTAGGTATATTTACATAAGCTTTGCACCTGTGCGAAGCCGGGGCGGGTCGCTAGTAAAATTATATAATAATCTGTATAATATCTAGGTTTACTTACAGCTTGTGGCGGTAGATTGATAGACGGCACGGTCTTCTCAACGACATCTAGTGACTTGCAGAGGAACTTGTCGAGCTGATGGATGGGAGTCTCAAACAATAGCACAGCTGGTAGTGCCAGCTGCACGCCCGTCGCCAAGGACTTCTCACCCAGCGACAAATACCAACGGATCAGCGGGTTTGACTCCTAGAGGAAGTGATTATATCGTCAGTATTTTCGAAATATTTTATGGTGTTTTTTTATCCTAATCAAATGTCCTGAAGTTATGCAAGGTTTTTTTAAGAAAGAAAGAAATTACATTAACAATTAAGCATTGAAAATAATAGTCGGGGTACTGAGAAGGAGTCATCACCCCTTCTACTACATCATACTACATACTACATCTAGTATCTAATGTAACTACAAATTGGTGTACTTAAGTCAATTTTGCCTGTTTAAAAACAATAATTGCTCAACTTTAACCCTTTCATCGATAAAAACTAGATCATTCATATTTACCCTGATCCTGTGGTAGACTTTCTCGGTGACTTCGATGCCAGAGCCGACGATAGGTATGGCAGCCACCCTCTGCACCACCTCCAACTTCGGTATACTCGGTCTTTGCTGAACCTTTGCCACTAGTGATAAAATATCAAAATTAATAATTTTAGAAAAGTCTACGACGTGCGCAGTACACTTGCGACACAATGATATTTTTTACTTTATGTCGCAATTACATTGTCAAGGAGTTAACTATGACTTTGTTGAAAATATTTTATACCTCTACAATACAAAAATATGACCCCCAAGTCACTCTCGCTCCTTCACTTCTCTACAAAAACTGGGTATTTTCCTAGGTCAAAAATACATTATTTTGATTTTTCAATCCAATTACATATTAAAAAATAAAATTTCATTCATATATTTGATGATATACTTAATTTTCGATTTATTATAGCTATTTTTCCAGAAATAAGTGTGCAATTTGACCCCAAAACATATTGACGTCATAAGTTAGTTTTTGGTACAAAATTCATAGAACAATATCGTTTTTGACGTTTCGTTAAAAGTATTGAATTTTATTAGTTGTAAAATACAGTAAACGTTTAACCGATTTTACAAAATTTTGGTTATCATTTTGATATGCATGTAAGGAAACATGTTCATTTTACTGATTCGTGATCGTGATACAATCTACTTACTACCGAACATAACACTTATCGCTACATGTATAATTATGCATTTCTTTCGACTTCGAATATTCGACAATAGTTTCGAAACATACCTACATAAAAAATTTAAGGTGCCCATTTCTTAGGTACTTATGACCACACCCACATTTTGGTTCCATGGGGTTAGCCAGAAACTGAATTATAACCATCCTCATATACATCGCAACCCAAACTTAATTTTACTTACGAATCCACTCTGTACATAATAGATGATATTTATTAGCCTTTCGTGTGTCTACTCTAAACGTGTCTCATATCGCAATCAAGCGGTTAAGAGGCAGGATTAAAGTCTAGTCTAAAAGTTATTGACGATGATCTCATTAGACGCTAATAATTAACTATTAAAAACTACGAAAAAGTCCGTAGTCCGTAGCACCGTAGACTCGCGTAGCGGTCAAACGTAGCATAGACCGGACTACGACCCGACTCAATTGCCATAACCTCTTTACTAGTCATGTTGGTGTTTTAAGGCAAGGACGTTGAAAAATAGAGTCCTTGCTTTATGAAAAAGATATTTATTAAACTTAGATGGAATACTATGTAAATGCATCTCATACTCAACCAACGTATTTTTGGGACATAAAATTGTAACGACTTCAATTACATAAATAGCGATTAATGAGTATTTTGTAATATGTTTGTAATATGAACTTTGCGTTTTTATATTAATTTGTATTATTATATCCCGAACACGTTAGTGTAACTCAGTATACCGACGTTTTCAGTTTCATATTACTCAAACTCAAAATCTAAACAAGTAGGTAAATTTTTTTTCTGTTCTATTGAGCTACCTACTAACTACTACTTTTATTTATTGTACCATATAGTTATCGTGTACATATTACATAGTAGCCACCTTTTAAAATCGTCTACAGCCAAATTTTCTAGAATTATCGAAAAATCAGGTTATCTGTCGTAAATTAATTAACAAACCTGGTGGTCCTAAACTTTCTTTGACTGCGTTTAAGTATGCTTCAGCTTTTTTAGCAATGGAACCGGTCGTCCGTTTGTTCACACCCAAAGTACATGTGCCGTTAAAACTTTTTTTATAAACGTCACCATTTTCCGCCATCTTTATCACCGTAATTTTCGCGGTATATTCGTATGACATTCGAATTTCAAATTGTTTTTTTTATTATAACTTTTTTTATTGAACTGTAATTTTGTTACACGAAATGATGTTGTGTGTGATTTTTCACGGCACTGACTGTCGATTAAGATTGGACTTTACAAGAATAATGATAGGTACTGTTTATTTTATTGCAAAGGTTATCAGTGGGTTTTAAAATAATAAGTCTATTGGTAATAAGATGTTACATGACTGTACTAAGAATAAGGTCATATTTATTAATGGAAATGATTAAATTACTCATCAATCTCAAGGGCGAATATCATTGAGAATGTGCATGACATATATCCATAAATCTTTGGAAGCTTAGGTTTCATGTTACTCTGTGAACTGGAGGCAGATACTTGATCTGCTTATCATAATGAGTGATTGTCTGATTGTAAACATTACGGTTGATTGCACGAATAACGCGTGATATTGCTGGAACATGTGAGTGAGAGTAGCCATCGCGTGATGTTTTGTATATTATTCATTATTATTTACAAGTCTCTTGGAGGAAAATCTCCATTATGTTGATTGATTGAGGGTACTAACTGCGACACTCTTATGGACATTTATCTAGTTTATAAATACTTATTTGAATAAAGGTTTTTAAAGGAAAGAAAGAAAAATAATTTAAATGTCATTAGACATGATGCACCATCTACGCAATAGTAAAATAACAATCAAAGGTGCAACATGAAAAAACAATAAATACGTAAAATAACAGTAAAAAACAATAAAAGCAAAAAAGATAAAAAATAACAATTAAAGAATATATAATAATGAAAAGAACACAAGCTGGCAACATTCTCATGACAAAGCTCGCCAACTCAGTATGAGCTGGGCACAGTAAGTACCCAACACTGGTTTTCAGTTGGCACATTATTTATTTATACACATTTTATATCTACAATATATGTTATTAGTTGACTATTTATAAACTCTTTGCGAATAAAAGGTTTGAAATAAACACAGTGGTTTTATTTTATTCGACCGGAGGCGACACAAACAAGTCAGCTGTTACCGGCGTCCGTCCGGTGACGTGACGTCACCACTTTGCCAACCCTGAGTCTAAAAAGTGTAGGTATACCTGATGATACTACTTGTATCCAATAGTGGTACCTTTAAATAAATTAATAAACCTACTAGAGCCGATTCAGTTAGATTTTGTGATGTTCTTTAAACAAAACTTTCTGCTTAACACATTAAACGCCATGGGGGTCACCGGTGGCCGAGGTTAGCGGACGATTTGCCTTCAACAGTTTTCAATTGGCATTCTAAACCGTAACTTCACAACCTCATTCCATAAATCGACCGAAACTGTCGTGCTCTCTCCCGGAATCTCTGTAATCTGTAAACTTTGTACGGTCGCGTAAAAAAATGTATGTAGTTCAATAGAGGTCAACATTTTACTATCTGATCCTTTTTCTTTTTTATATGTCCGTTTGGCCGCTATTATTATATTATGGTACTGAACTACACCAGCTAAGCTATTCTGTAACTATCAGTCAACCAGTCAGGCCTATTGACCCCCCCCCCCCCCCTACCCAATCCCTGAAACCCTGACAATACACAAATTCCTAATTCCCAGCCGAGTATTATATACCAGATAAAGGCCGGTAAAGCGCTTGTTACGCATCTGGTGTTCCGGGTGTCCGGGCGACGCCAATTGCTTACCATCAAATGATCGGTCTGCTCGTATACCGGCTTATCTCATAAAAAAACAATTCGAACTTCCGAAGTACGCTCGATGGCACTCTCGCCCATCATTGATCGAGATTATTATTCTCACAACCAATGACACAGTTAACTTCTATTTTTCGACTTGCAAGTTACAGAATAAAATAACCTAGCTGTTTTGAAGCGACTTTGAAAACAGAAACCCGGACCCGGAGGACGTCGAATACTGGTACATAATGGAAACATGATGATGACTCACACCATCCTTATCAGAGGCGATCGATGATCATTACTATCACTCACTCACACTACTAGAACTAATGATTTAGTTCAAGGGTGCACAATATGGACCTTGCGCCCTACCACAGATATAATAAAGAATATTTCTGTGCGCCCTACACACACCAGCCACGAATGCACGCGCTAATGCGACTCTTCTGACTAAAATGTGACGTCATACACATTGTTCCAAATTCAAAAATAGCTACAGCCTTATATAATGTTTTTATTATAACAGACTTTTAAACGTAAATGAAATTACCGTACGGCCGTAGAACAAAACTATTTTTCAAAGAATTCACATTTCAAATTATTTTATCTTTTTTTTATTTAACATACTTAAATCACAATCACATCTCAGAAGGTTTGCGTTCGGTTATCATCGCATGTGAAAAATTATGTTACTTAACTTGTATCGTGAAAAGCAGACAACTTTATGCATTGTAGACCTATTTTAAGCCCGAAATATCCGACACAACAATGAGATAAGTTACGAGTCATCATATTCCTTATCAGAGGGGATGATGAATACTTGGACCTTGCTCCCTTGCAGTGCCCACATGCAAGCGTGCGTTAAAGTCAGCGAAACTATCGCCGGGTGTTGACAGATCACACTTCAATGGATTCTATCTAAAGTTTATTTTATTGTACATAGCTTCATACATATGGAGCTACGCAAAACCAGAATTATATATTTTATTTATTTATTTTTGAACAGTCAGAACAGCAGAAAATCCAATTACAGTAACTGATATATTTACCTACAACAATAAAACATAACCAAAATAAAAAGAAAAGTAAAATTTAATTAAAACAAGCATTCTCTGCATCACCCTAAGGTTGACTGTTAGAGAATGCCACTAGGCATCAAGTCCGCCTTTGTATACCTACAAGAAGTGTAAATAAATAAATAAAAAAACAACAAGAGTTAACACCATTCATAAGTTTCTCTCGCAGTACTTCAAGCATTCTGATGAAATCTCCTTAATATAATCTACTTAAAGAATAAACTGACTGTGGATGTGCAGAAGAATCACACAAAAGAAGACCATAATAGTTCTGTCAGACCTTAACTCGTCGAGTACCGGTTTTACAGACACAATTAAAGAACAATAGGTCGCGGTCACCGGTGACCGCTTGGTATTTGACAGTTTAATATGAAGTATACCCCGTATGAGTCAAGGGATAAATATTTGTACAGATGTATAGTCAATGGAGATAAAAGCTAGATCTATGTCAAGGATGTTAAATAAAAAGCGGACACAGTCCCTTGAAACAACGATTGTGGCACCTGGTTACAATAGACCAGTGGTTCCCCACCTGTGGTCCGCATAAGAAGAAGAAATATTGTCCGCGAAATAAAAAAAAAACACGACTGAGATGTTGTCTTGTGTTTTCAATAAATACGCCGGTTAAAGCTCAAATTAAACTTATGTCAAAGGAGATAATGAGAGGATCAACTGATTTCAATAATTTAACAGTCACTATTTCTATGAGAACGAGCCTTACGACTTTGCAGAAAATTTTGATCCGGTCCAAATGAAAAAAGTAATAGTAAAATGGTCCTTAACCTAAGAAGTATGATGAAAAGTGGTCCTTGACCAAGAAAACGTTGGGAACCCCTGCTACAGACTAAAACGCAGAACATAAACACATTGACACTAAGGACATCTGCCATTTTCTTAAGTCTGGTAACGTGGTAACCCATTACACACGCACACATAAATAACCCACTGACATTTTGGTGCTTCAATCATGTCTAAGTGTTTTGTGTTAGATTTGTAATACATACAGATACAGACACAGGATTGTACGCACCGCAATACAACTTCCTTAAGTTTTTAAACTGCCTAACGCCCACTACCACTGCCCAATAGATACCTACTAACAACCGATCTAAATCAAATGTCTGAGTCGACCTGTGTTTATGACAGAAATTCCATAAAACTAATGTCAAATAACTATTAATTTCTGGCGACAGTCACTAACATAAAACTATCGTTATTTACATTACAAAGTTACGCTGAAATACTCAAAGACCACTCAATTTTGAGTTGCACTTATAAGTATTCATAGTTCTGTCACTACAAATACGGTAGTTGACAACTAGTCAAATTCAATACTTTTATCGAAACGTCAAAAACAATACTGTGAAATTGTTTACGAAATCCCTACTTATGACGTCGTCACGCTATTTGACGCGAAAATGTCGCGTCAAATAGCACACTAGTATCTAAAAAAAATGCCACAATTATTCGAAAATTAAATATATCGGCAAATCAATAAATGAAAGTGTAACTATTTTTCAATATTTAATTGGACTGAAAAATCAAATTAATTTATTTTTGACCCAGGAAACTACCCAAATGACAGAGATAGCACGATATTTGAGTACAACATAATATTGAGTAGCCTTTTAGTATTCGGCCCTGTGACTTACATTTTCGATATTATTTAGTTCTAAGTACCGATCTACTTATACTTAGCAGTTTTACCAAATATTTTAAGTTATAATGACAACTTCAGAAGAAATAATTACGAGAATATAATTAAACTAGCTGTGCCAGACTTCGTCCGCGTGAAAGAGTGATTCACAGCTCCTCTCCCGTAGGTGATAGCGTGATAATATGTAGCCTATATATTGACCCGATCTGTTAATAATATTAATGCAAAATTTGAAGTAAATCCGTGTAGTAGTTTATGAGTTTATCCCGGACAGACAAAAAGACATAAATTCTAAAAAACATATTTTTGCTTCGGTATCGATTGTAGATCACGCCCCAAGCATTGTTTTATGAAAATATCCAATGTATAGTTTACACTTTCCTACGATTTTATTATATATGTATTATAGATAGAATATAGATGGTGGACGGGCAAACAATAATAAACAGTCGTCGTTCTCATTTCATTCAACAGATATTCATATTAATGCTAATTATAAATGAAGTACCCTCACAATCTGTTATTGTGTACCTCATTGAGAGTAACAATGCAAAAATTACTTTATTTTTACACAATATTAAGTACAAAATAAGAGGTCATAAATACTATGTATTTAAAACTCTAATAAATATATAATTCAACAGGAACCAGTTTTATAGGTAGGTAACCGATAAGTTTTAGTTTAAGAATTGATTAAACTGTGTGGGGTAACACCAACAACTTGGATTTCACATACATACAAATATAACTAACTGGTGACTGGTAGATGAAGATGATGTTTTTGAAGAAGAAATGGGGCTAATAGATGCCTAATACATAGATGCATATTTCTATTTTATAATAAACCAAAGTAACCCTTTCTCGTTAAAAACACAGCCTACTTAATTGTTGCACCATTGCTAGAAACCCACTCCTTCTATTTCTAGAAAACAATAAACTAAACACAATTCAAAATGTTATAAAACTAATATGAAAGTTAAAACAAACTCACTTGTAGTGATAAGGGTACGTTGATACTTGGACGAGCAGCTCTCAACTGAGATGTTGCGCCGGCGCAGGGCCCGCGTACCGCGCATCAAAGTGTGCCTTATCGCGGGTCACACACTGACATTAGAAGTGATTGATTTATTTACAAGATTTTATAAAAACGTTATGTTCACTTTTAAACGGGCTTAAATAAATTGTTGAAATTCTCCTATCTACCTCTGTACCTATAAATAATTGTAAATAAAACGAAATACCTCATAAAATTATTTATTTGCCTACAAAAAAAAATCGATATTTACTGTGCATATTATCTGTCTACTATGTACTTCGAGGTGGAAGTATCATGCTAAGTCAGTAAATAAATATTTCTACGAAGATAACAACATAAAAGTCGATACCTCTACCTAAATATATTTATCAACAGATACACTTAAGCATACTTAAATAATTTGTTACACAGAATTTCAAAGACGTGAATGCTACAAGTTGTATTTATTGAAAGTATGAAAAAATTTAAATACAAATATAGGTGCACTTAATGCTATATAGGCATTCACTCCAGAGGGTAGGCAAAGACGTACAAACAACCTCAAGGTTACAGGAGCAGGAGTTAGAACGGGATGGTGTTTAGTCAGTAAGAGTCTGATCCTCCTTCTCTCCTCACCCAGGGAGAAGTCATTTGATGATTTTCTCCCTCAAAAAAGGCATGTGACGTAATCGTAGATGAGCTACTATATTTTGAATTCTTTAGCATCGAGTGCTCCCTTATTATAGGTGCTGATAGAGGCCATCAGGGTGCTTTATTTTATTTTATTTAAGTTTTATACAATTGAATAAGGAGGACTTTATTGTAAGGGTCTTATATTCTCTAGTCTTTCTCCTCAAAACCTTACCACCATTTGAAGAAAAGCATGCATTTCAGTCAAGAATGCGGTGATACTTTAGTATGATTTTGTCAGCAAAAAGCGGGGAGCCCCGTTATCTTAGGTATTAGACGGCTAACACGGTTCATATTATAAGTAGATATAATAATATGCTGTGTATGATATGCAATGTACCTAGTTGTATATAAATCATAAAAAGTAATTGTATCACTTCCTAATCATATCGCTCATTACTTTCCTTGATAATGATAAAATACTTCAAAGTGATATGCTGTTCATTTTTTGGAATCTTTGTTTTGAGACACTTTCGACCACTTTGACCTATAAAGTATAAATATAATATACGTGTATACAGATATATACGTATGTATATATTCATATTTCATACATCTACTTTTCGCAAGTTATTTCCTGTATAATTTACTATACATATAAATAAGTATGAGTAACCCATGCTTCGGCACGAATGGGCCACCTCAACCAGAGTAATACCACGGCCTTATAGAAAGACCCAATTACCCCCTTCCCCAATCAAGTTCCTAATCCCCAATGGGCCGGTAACGCACTTGTAACGCCTCTGGTGTTCGGGATGTCCGTGGGGGCGGCACCGATTGCTTACCTATTTACCATCAGGCTTAGAGTATTTAAAATAATCTAAGCCATTAGGTGATCCGTCTGCTCGTTTATCTGCGTATAACATAAAAAATAAATACTTCTTGTACAATCTATCCTCCTGACGTATTAAAAAGGTTCATTCTATATATTGATTCTATGTTATTAGGTACCCGCTTATTAACCTATGCGTTTAACTAAATCCTTTTTTGTATAATTTGAGCAACACGCTGAATTTTACACGCGATCAAACTGAAAATAAACAAATTTCATTGCCCAATGAGTAATTTATTGACCACCTCTCGAAATCTGCACTTACCCTACTGCGTATTATACTTATCCTTAAAACAAAGAATTGTTTATCAAAACAAGGGAAATTACAAAGTCTTGTGTAAAAAAATACGTCACAAATATTGAGACTTTTGTGACGTACTTTGAAAGGTACTAATGTCTACATATCTATAAAATAATATCTGTTTGCTAACTGTCTGAGTCGCGGAGGACTTAACGGATTACGGGGCCTCCGGCTCCAAGTTCAGGAGTAGGAACGGGGTGGTTTTTAGTCAGTAAGAGTCTGACACTCCCTCTCGCCTCACCCGAGCGGGAGCAGTAATTGGATGATTTTCCCACCTCAAAAAAATAACAAAGACCGTCTGTACCATCTGTCCTTCAGACTATTAAAAGGCCAACCTGGAAACAGGAGGCAATGTACCTACTGAAAAATATGTTTCAATACTTTCATTAGTATTGAAATAGGAGGAAATAACACAGAGATGATACCGGTTCATTTTTATGGTGAGATTTTTGTGTTTAGACATAGAATTTGATGTTAGAGAATAAATTATAGTTATTTAATGTCTGACCTGCAGTCAAGCAGTGCCGGTTTGTGTTTTTCGTTATATCATATCATTAAAGGCTTTTTTAGGGGAGATAATAATCCAATTACTTCTCCCGCTCGGGTGAGGCGAGAGGGAGTGTCAGACTCTTACTGACTAAAACAACCCCGTTCCTTCTCCTGCATGTCGAGCCGGAGCCCCGGTAACCCGTTAGGTTCTCCGCGTGGATGACCACGACACATACTATATGAAAAGTTAGTAAAAATAATATTATTTCTCGTTTGAATGGGATTACACGTTTATATGCGTCAATGGTCCAGTAGACACGTGGTGAAAGGGTCGGAGTTCATAGTCGTGCGTACGTGGCGTCTTTGTTTCGTCAATGGATATCAATAGTGTGAGATATACAACGTGATTGATAACCATCAGCGTCACCTCTCTGTTACGCGCCCAGATTTTCACCAGGTTACGAAATTCTTAGAGTTCCAAAATCTTTAATAATTGCTTAAAGGAAAATGTTTAGTCTATGTAAAATTGACTCTAAACATGAAAAGTGGCACCCAATCCTACAATAACAAAAATGCGAATCTTTGTGAGAATATATGGATGGAAGCATGAACGGATGCATACATATTTGAAATACTTAACAACGCTGTGCTCAAGTTCCAATACAATAAGTAAGTATTGGACGATGACAATGGACGAAAAAAATATATAGTCACAATAATTTTTACTAATAATTACCTAATCGACTTCCGTGTAATATCAATAAATCGCAGAATATCGAGCAATAGAAGCAATAACATAGATAAAAATTGTATATCAAATAACAAAAAGTACCTCCTACAAACAAAATACATATTTCAAAATGGGTTGTACTAAGTACAAATAATTTGCGGGTCGTTTCCAATCAGCCAATCTGAAGTCATTGGGGAACGGATACTGGTACTTAGCAGCGTAATTACAACCCAGCTAGAACATCTTATGACTGACTTATGAATGACTATATTATGACGATCGCTCACAAACGAAATCAAAGCCTACCATTTTCACAAAAGTTTCCTGTAAAGACATTGGAAGGTTAAAAACTTTTCAGGATGCAAAAAAATAATCGCAATCTCCTATCGGATGCTATCATTCGCCTTAATCGATATGTAAAATACGTAATTATCGCTTAATCTTATCGATATCCGACGATTTTGACTAAAAATATACAGTCGCATTAAATACAGTGAAACAAAGTGACATACTGGAGTGTTTTTATTGAAATCTATTTTATTTATCTTGTTCTTCTAGTGGTTTTTGGGTTGAGTGCAAGCATTCCGGAATATTGTTAAAGATTTAACCTACGTACCGACAGGTAAGTACTATTAATAGCTGGTTTCACGGTCTTATCTTTAGGCATCTTTTCTTTTACTTTCCATCAGATAAATATAAATTATAGATGCCTAAATTAGTATGGACTACCTGCTACTATTAAATGCCTGCTTACCGACACGTACTAGTACTGTATTTTATGTTTCTATACGATTATGTTCTTACTTTTCTTTTCCTAGAACCTCGGTTTTAATAAATAAACAAAAGTGCGTCTTAAGAGCCATACAATATCCAACAAATGTTTGAATAAGGCCTACTGTCCACGTTACGGAGCCGCAGAGAACTTAACGGGTTGCCGGGGCTCCGGGCATTTGACATAATAATAATTATGCATACACTCATCAAAAACGATAGGCGGATTCAACGTTTTCATTATTTCTAAGCAGGGTGATTTAGCGGCCGCCTATTTTTTATGAAGGATGCATGCATTCGACTAATGACGCAAAGTGGACGGTTAGTTACGCTTGGTAGCTGGAAGTTACTTGCAATAGTGCTAGCCATCGTATTACCGTTTAGAAAGATCTTTAGGTTATTTAAGAACTTTTAAGAATTTATAATAAGATCAATAGATCGTAATCATCATCAAGAATATCATATTTCGTATGACGAATCACATCCGTTTTCTACCTTTACACACTGGCACAATGTTTTGCGCAACTTTCAAGAACAAAAAAGAAAGACACCTTCGCCATTTAGGTAAAGGTATATAGTTAAAGGTAAATGTACACTAGGTACCAGTGCCGTAACTAACCTTCTAGGCGCCCGGTGCGAGCTTTCAAAACTGCACCCTTGAAAAATGTCCTTATCAGGCTCTGACAATAAAATGGACAAATGTGCATGAAAACATAACTGTTTATTGTGTACCAAGTTATAGGTCAGTACTTAGTAGATGTTTTAAGACAATTCGTTGCTGCCATTGCGCCATGAGATCGCGCCGGAGCTCTTCCCGCCACGCACTTATCTAGCGCGGCAGCGGCGCGCAAGCACCTTCGCCTCCAGATCCCACGGCGGTAATCCGGCAAGGAGGTTCGCCGCCTACCCGGAGATCGTGCGGTATCCGCAGATCATTCGGTTTGCCATTACCCTCTGTGACATGAGCAGCGTCCGAGTGGTACGCCGCAGCATGTTCGGCGCCCACACAGGGGCACCGTAGACGTAGAGGGTCATGGACCGCACGATCCCGGCGTATAACCTCCGGCAGGAGACGTTTGGCCCCCCTAGGTTGGGGAGGATGCGCTTAAACGCAGTCTCCGTCCTCTCCAACTTTGGAGCCGCCAAACTTCGGAAGTGCTCCACGTAGTTCCACCGACTGTCGAGGACGAGTCCCAGGTACTTCATCGTCGTCTCGACGCCTATTTATTTGGGACTCACCCGGAGGTGCGCGTTCCCGCGGCCATGAAAACATATAGCCTCAGACTTGTGGAGCGCCACCTCGAGTCCCGATTGCCGGATTCTCTCAACAACTGTCGCAACCGCTGTCGCCATTAAGTCGGCCGCCGCCTGGTGCGACCTCCCGTGCGCTAGCACCAGCGTGTCGTCGGCGTAGCATATTGTGCTAACGCCGTTCTGGAGGTCGGTGCACAGCACCCAGTCATAGCCGATGTTCCACAGGAGCGGCCCCAGAACCGAGCCCTGTGGAACACCGCGTGACATCTCTCGCCGGTTCCACTAGCCCCGGTGACCAGGGTAAATGACGGACCTGTCCGTTAGGTAAGCCTCGATTTCACGACGGAGGTAGGTAGGCACCCGATGATATCGGAGTGCCTCCAAGATGCAGCTCCAGGGCAGGGAGTTGAAGGCGTTGGCGATGTCCAGAGACACCACCACAACGACCTTACCCCTGGACACTGCAGTCCCCGTTGTCCGGTCCCTAACGCGCATGATGGCGTCCACCGTGGAGCGCCCTCTGCGGAAGCCGAACTGGCCGTCCGACAGGTCCGGCCCAATGTCCGTCAGGTGCGCGACGAGGCGGTTCGAAATTATTCTTTCGAAGACTTTCCCCACCTCGTCGAGCAGCACTATGGGCCGGTACGCGGACGTAGAGTCCGCAGGGCGCCCCGTCTTCCGAACGAGGACCAGTTTACCCGCTTTCCAGAGCAGCGGGAACTGGCCTCTCTCCAAGCAAGCGCTGTAGAAACCGATTAATCGAGGCCCGAGAGCCTCTGAGGCCAGGACCCATGCTTTGCCATGCAAGCCATGCAGCAGGACTCGACGTCCTGGAGCGGTGTTCTTGGCGCCCATCCGGCGCACCGCCGCTCTCAGTTCTGCCTCGGTCACATCTGAGACGATGTCATCGTAGTCGTCGCTGTAGTCCGCGTCGGGCATCGCAGGGGTCTTATACGGAGGGGTGAAGCCCCTCTATAGTCGGGGGAACAGGGCGCCAATCACCTCCTCTAAGACTTCTGGCCGGAGACTCTGAGTGAGCACGGGAGCCCGAGCGCGGAGCTTGTCGCGTACCATCCGGTACGGGCGTCCCCACGGGTCTCTGTTCAGAGTCCCCAGCGTCTCTCGGCGGGCCTCCTCCTTGGCCCGGAGTATTTCTGCCTTGAGGACGGCCTTCGTCGCCCTGTATCCCTCGTAAAACTCCGCCTCTCTCGCCTCCGCATTCGGAGGACGGATGCGGCGCCTGCTGTGCCTAGTGTACTGGCGCTACGCAGCAGTGCACGCCTTGCGTAGAGCTGCCAGCTCTTGTGACCACCAGTACACCGTGCGCTTTTGTTGCCTCCATCGGATCCGGGGCATCGCCATGTCACAAATCCTGGACATGGCGTCCTGGAACCACCGCCGTCCTCCGCTCGCGAGGCGGGTTCCACCGCCGCTGCTGCAACTCCAGCCTGCTGGGATGAAGTGCCTCTCCTTTTTTTGTATGTCGCGGGCGCAGGCGCCGCGGGCACAGACGCCCAAAGTTATAGTATAGGTACTTTTGTTTGTGTATGTAATATTGCGTGCAAGACTTAAGGTGGATATACATTTGTCTGATGTGTAGTGAGTCGTTTGACATGTGTTGTTGTTTCAAGATCGTTTAAAAATGCGATACAGATTTAGATAGTACAGTCTGGTCATTTCTGCGCCCCTCCAGGGTCTGCGCCCTGTGCTTGGGCACTGCTGGCACCGCCCTATTTACGGCGCTGCTAGGTACCACGTTATAATGTTTTGAATAGAATCCCTTGAAATGCAGTTATTAGCATAACTAAAGAAAAACAAAAATAGTATGTGACAGAAACCGGAACTTGTGATGAGGTTTGATAACGATAAAGAGAATGGTAGAAAAACATAATTAACTAAATAACTTGGAATAAAGACATTGCATTCCAGAAAGCAGAAACAATATTTTCTATTTCTTTTCATTGCCCTATGTGACTCTAAATGTTGTTTATATTTCCATCACGTCCAGCCACAAAATTCTTAAGACGATTGAGCAAATGGTGTATCTCAAGAGATATCAGTAGAGTTACCGCAAACAAAACAAAATTTTGCCGTTGTCCGTACCTTTACCGACCCGCTGGTACCTTTTTTGATGAAAATCATCCTATGACTTCTCCGCCTTTGCTAAGGCGAGACTGCGAGATCGTGTCAGGGTCTTAAGTACTGATTAAAAACCACCACATTCTTACTTCTGCTTCGAACCCTAGCCCTGGTAACCCCCTAAGTTGTCCGCAGTCCGCTGTCCGGATCGGGCATCAGCCTTAATGGACCGCATCTGAAGTGATCTGATGGCTCTTTGAAGGGCGCACAAGACTGATGTATGAAAAATGTAGTGATGTAAAATGTTAAATAGATCTCGGTGTAGGTGTTTTTGAAATCAAATCTTATTTTAATTTGCGAACCGGTAGGACATTCAAACCGCTTCGTTAACTCACTATCGCAAAGATGGAATTGTTTGATTAAGAATTACTGATAATTATGAAAACATAAGGCCTCTGATTTCATTAAAACATCAATATCTACATATTTCGTTAGATTTAATGTAAAAATCGTTATGTGGATAATTTTTGCCATTGTATGACTTTCTAGTCATACTTTACTTTCGCGGAGAACCTAACGTTAGGTTAAAACGTTACCCGTTACGTAACCCGTTAGGTTTTTGGTCGTGTCGTCGTGATGATAGTCGTGGTGGCCCGAAGGTTTAAGGCACCCGCTTCTCATGCATGAGGGTGCGGGTTCGAAACCTACCAACGGCAAGTACCAATGTGACATTTTCCGAGTTATGTGTACTTTCTAAGATTATTTACACACCACTGACTAACGATGAACGAAAACATCAAGAGGAAACCTGAGCTTCTAATTTCTAAATATAAGTTTGTAATCGCCAACCCGCATTGAGCAAGCGTGGTGATTAATGCTCAAACCTTCTCCGTGTTAGAACTAGAAAAGGTTTTGCTCAGCAGTGGGCATTTATAGGCTGTTGATGTGATGTGATAGTCGGGCTTGGGAATGAACTGCTGTAACGTCCACACAGGTCATATTGACATGTTTGTAACATATATAGATACATTTCTTTTTATATGAATTTGAATTAATTTGACATTGTTTTTCATTAGAAAAAATTGTTTTCTCACTACTTTGACATTAACGTTTTCATTTTTACAATTGTTAGTGCAAGGACCGTGCGAAACTTTGCCTCGCCATTTCTTTTCTAATTACCTATATTCTGACAGTTTGAATATTTGTGCGACCCACGCTAATGATCTTTAGGTTGGTATTGTTCGTCGAATCAGTCAGCCTCACCTGTTAATTGAGCTGATTGTAAGCCGACACATGCGTACTGCCTTCAGAACGGGTCTACTCAAACTGTTGTGGTTCTTTCCTCAAAATGCCACTACAGAAAGAACTTGCGCGGTTCTCACAGATAATCTTTCATACATATTTGTCTGGACTTTAAAATAGACGGACTTCTGAGTTTATTTCGGCATTTCTAATCAGAGTAGTCAGTTAGTAAATGTTGGCCTCATCGTTCGCTTGATAAAATTGACATATAAAAGTGCTGCCTTGTAGCCTATTTGCAGAAATAAATTCACTTGTTTCACTAGTACCTACATAAAAATGACTATGTACGGTACGTATGCACAGGTGAACTGTCTGTTCCCTCACAACCATGATTTAAAATTTAAAAAATATGATAGTCATTAAACATTGTTTACTTCCACAGATAATAGCTGAATCATCATCACTAGAGAAGTAAGAACCAACTTCAAAAGATCATGAGATGGCGCTTGATGTGCGAATACTGACAGCAACCTTGCTGATACTCACCACTGCCACAACCGCACAACAAGGTATCGATATCAACAAGGTTTTGATATAACTAAACAAAGGCGTAGGGGCGTGATTCCAAACTGTCAGTATATAACCGCTAAAAGTTATGGGTTAACTTATACTTGTATTTTCAGATCGATGTGGCTACATGGTGTTAATACCCAGACCAACGAGGCCTGACTTCCCACCACAAAATTTCGACGGTGAGCTTGCATAATAAAAATTACTTGTGAGTCGTCATTGTCTACGCAGCTTCCACATCCAAGCTTCGCGAAGAATGGGTCGACGCGACGCGACGGGGTCTATACTGATACCACGACGCACTATCACAGAAAATCTGAATTAAAAAGGGCCGACAACGCACTTGTCACTCCGGTGACATACAATCAAGTGGTCGACATTATCAGTATCCCATAAAGATGAGGATAATCTAAGAGCAAAAAAATTGCCATTTCTCGGTCGTTGATTCGGTTTTAGGACATATTTCGGTTCAAGCACATGTATTCTCTTTTAATACCTACTTTTTACGGATATAAGATCCTTTTCTAATTAAACAAATATATCAATAGGTTTGACATGGGCTCAGTGGCCACTGTTACCAGCGGAGGATCGAGAAGACGTCTGCATCAATGACTATACACCTGATCCCTTTAGCACCAACCATGGTTATCAGAAAATTTACATGGAGGAGGAGATCGTAGATCACGTGGCCATTGCAAAGCTTAATTACCGAGGTAAGCAGATTCACTATAACATCACAATCTTGTCCCAATCCCAATAAATCCATACATACCACTGACAGTTATGTTCATTAAATTAACACAGTATTTTAATTTCAATGCTTAATTGGACAAATGGTTAACAATATTTAACCAATTACTAAATTAATAGAGAGAGGGAGAGAGCCCTTGAAACATATGTTTAGAATTAATTTATTGGATGTTGATGTTACTTATAGTATATTGTCACAACCTTTATCCAAAGCAGCGATCTTGATGTATAAAATAGTAAATAAGGGTAGTATCACGTAGTATTTATGTAAATGTAAGTTTTGTTAAATAAATCTGTTTGAAGAAAGATGGGTCTGACATGGCCTTTGTGTGACCAAGAGCCAAGAGACAAAAGATAAAGATGATAAAGAAAATATTATACACATACATTTAACGAGATTGTATCAGTAAAACTCTATTCATTTCTTTCAGGTGACGGCAGACCTACAATACAAACACCTTTTATTATGGGAGCAGCCCACATGCTTGGAGCAGAAATTCGTAGATACCCTGACGAAAATGGAGACTGGCATCTTGTCATCACTCAGAGGTGAGGCACAATGACTTTTAGAATGTCCCCAAATTGCATTGTATCTCCAACTCCACTATATACCTTATGAATACCGGTAAAAAGCCACATAATAAAAGTATTTCCTGTCTGATTGAGAATTCTGAAGGGCTTACAAACTTTATACTCTTCATAAAGAAAAAGCATTTATTGGTTTACAATTGTCCCAAGTCTCAAGTTTGCACAGTAAACAGCGTGTGCAAGATCGAGTCTCACACTGTTATTCTACTGAATGAATGACTTAAATGAAAAACAGTGAATAAAATCATGTCAATATAATCTAAACAGACAAATAAAAATTGAGTAACTGTTCTGTTTGTAATATTAAAATAACCGCTTTTTACTACAGGCATACGAATATAAATAATATACGATCATCATCAACAGCCTATAAATGCCGACTGCTGAGCAAAGCCTCTTCTCACACGGAGAAGGTTAGAGCATTAATCACCACGCTTGCTCAATGCGGGTTGGCGATTTCAAACTTATAATTAGAAATTATAAGTTCAGGTTTCCTCACGATGTTTTTCCTTCACCGTTTGTCAGTGGTGTCTAAATAATCTTAGAAAGTACATATAACTCGGAAAAAGTCACATTGGTACTTGCCGTTGGTAGGTTTCGAACCTGCACCCTCATGCATGAGAAGTGGGCGTCTTAAACCTCCGAGCCACCACGACTCCAATATACGATAAATATACGATACACGTATCAAAATAACACTTTTATAATTTTTGTTTGTCTGTTTGTACTGGCTAATCTCTGAAATGCTAATCTGTAGCTGATGTACTGTCGCACGATCTCCGGCGAGGCAGCAAACCTCCTTGCCGGATTACCGCCGTGGGATCTGGAAGCGAAGGTTCTCGCGCGCGTCTTCTTTTTGCGCGTTGACGCGCTTCGCCGGGGCGAAATTCCGCTGCCCCGCCAGATTTGCCAGGCGGGATGAGCTCCGGCGCGATCTCATGGTGAATTGGCAGCAACGGCTGTTGCAACCGAGGGCTGCGCTCGCTGTCTTTAGCGCAGCGGTAAGTCTCCTCTTTGAGGAGTGACTTGAGAGACGCTACGGCGTCCTCACCTACCGCCTGACGCAGGTGCTTGCCGGACACGAAAGTTTTGGTAGGTTCCTGTTTCGGATTGGGCGGAAGGAAACAACCGGGTGTCATCACTGCAAGGACTACCCGAAGGATACGGTGGAGCATACGGTAGCAGTGTGCACTGCCTGAGCTGGGCACCGCCATGTCCTCAGGGATGTGATCGGCGACGGCGACCTCTAGCGTCCGGCTCTGGTTCACGCCATAGTGCAAAGCGAGGGGGACTGGGATGCCGTCTCCTTCTTCTGCAAAGCAGTAATGCTAACCAAAGAGAAGGCGGAGTGCGTGATGGAACAAACCTCCTCACACCCCAGCCGTCGCGGGAGACACTCCGGGTGTTGGAGATCGCGTGACGATCTTCGGCCACCGTAGTGCAAGTCTGCGGACGGTGAGCAAGTGTAGCTCGCCGCGCGACCAGAACCAGACCCGTGCGTACGGCGCGTCGCATTCCGCGCGCGCCTCAAAGAGCCATCAGACCATCACAGATGGAGCGTAGTACTGTAGTAGGCTGATGCCCGATACCTGATGTACTAAGGAGTAACATAACTATTTTTGAAAAAAAAATTATATCCTAGAACTATATGCTACGCCGTCGAAGTCACGAACAACAGCTCTATATAAACGTAATCTTCCTTTGGGTAAACTATGAGTAGTAGTGGACACACATTGCTCTAGTGGTATGGTATGTAACATGTAGTGTTTGTTACAGGCAGGATTATGAAACACCTGGTATGCAAGGATATATATTCAACGTGGGAGTGGAGGGCGAGTCGCTGGTTGTGATGGTAACCCTAGACATTGTGAACATCGACGACAATACTCCAATCATTGAGATGCTAGAGCCTTGCAGCATACCGGTAAGAAAAGTTGAATCATATGATGCAAAATAAATGCCATAATCGAAGCTCGTACGGACCCGCGGCCTTCAACCCACAGTCGTCAGCAGCACCTGTGATCTACTACTGTGTTACGTTGTAAGATTGTGTTAGACAAAGTATAAATTCGAGGCGAGGATGTCTTCCAATCAACACCTAAAGATTTTCCGTGGACGAGCGAAACACGTGTCGATTGTGGTTCGAGTGGTTTGTTGATGTGTGTGTCCCTGCTGCATGCGCAATTCAATCCTGCAGCGAAATAAAAATTAACATTTGCCAGTAGTTAGTAAAAAACATTAAGTACCTAAGAAATATTAATCTAGCAAAACTTTTCAGGAACTTGGTGAACCCGGTATTACAGAATGTAAATATGTCGTGAATGACGCAGATGGTGAGATCAGTACAAGTGTTATGATATTTGAAATAGACAGCGAGAGAGGAGACGAACTAGTATTCGAACTGACCAGAGAAAACATTCCGGGCGATTGGTTCTCGGTGAATATGATCCTTGAATTGAAACAGCCTCTTAATTACGCTGAGAATCCTCTACACATATTCAGAGTTACAGCTTTGGTAAGTAAAATAACATGATTCGAGTCTTAACTAAAACGAAGCAATGTATATAAGGGCACATAATATCAATTTAATGCAATTTAATCCACTTTTGCCGAGACTTACCGCATGCCGTATACCGCAATACATAGGTACAAATAGTTCATTTTTGCTTTTCAAGTTTTAGTGTTATAAATCTTTTTATTTTATTCTAATTACTTATCAAATGCAAATCGTCAGGACTCGTTGCCAAACCCACGTACAGTCGTCATGATGGTTGAAGTAGAGAATGTGGAACACAGAAACCCTCAATGGATAACGATCTTTGCTGTGCAACAATTTGATGAGAAACTGGAGAGATCGTTCCCAGTTAGAGCTATAGATGGCGACACGGGAATCAATAAACCTATATTTTATCGTATAGAAACTGAAGAAAGAGGTAAGATTAAATTACAACTTCAGTCTCAGTAATTAACAGAACATTGCTGGATACAATACACTTTATTGTTTGGGTGCTAATAGTGTACCTACGGATCGCTCGCTTAATCCCGGACGAAATAAATATGTTTGTGGTGTCCAGGGTTCAGTGAGGAAAATACTTGCTTAAACTTTTGTTATGTGTACCGTTTCTGATGTAGTAATAGTTCATTTTAATATTGTTTAAGTAATAGTTAGTATTAATTTTATTTAAGTTTTTATTCGAATAAATGATTCTGATGTGAAGTATCGCATATTATACCTATTTAAAGTTTTTCATGCCACATAATTGTCCACTTTATGCTTATATTTGCTTGTTATGTTCACAGACAAAGAATTCTTCAGCATTGAGACTTTAGGAGAAGGCAGAGACGGTGCCATGTTCCACGTGGCAGCTATAGACAGGGACACACTAAAAAGGGATATGTTTAATGTAACAATAATTGCGTATAAGTATGGTGATATACCTGTATCCAGTAGTGAACAAGGACAGGCAGTTCATGATGACGAAGGTGATAGTGACGAAGGTGATAGTGACGAAGGTGGTCCACAGATATTTGAGACCCCAACAAATGTGATGATCATAATTAACGATATAAATGATCAGAGGCCAGAACCCTTCCGGAAGGAATACACGATCTCCATAATGGAAGAGACTGCGATGACGTTACCTTTGACAAACTTCGGTTTTCATGACCGTGATATTGTAAGTAATTGTACATTTTTGTGAAAATTCTGTGCATATTTTCTCTTGGTGAAAGTATTAATTAAAGATTATGTACTGCTACAAACACTGCTTTAACGTGTTCTTACAGCGGTCCCTAGAGATGCACATTTCCACTTTTAAATCTGCTTTCCCTGATTTGTGAGTCCAATATCCTATAATCTATACAGATAAATAAAATAGGAGTGGGAGATATAGAAATAATCGCTTTTTACTACAGGCATATGAATATACATACGACACACATACCAATATAATATTTTTTTAATCTGTTTGTTTGTACTGGCTAATCTCTGATATGGCTGAACCGATTTTGATGGAAATTTTACTGGCGGGTAGCTGATGTGCTAAGGAGTAACATATCCTAAGACTCATATGCTATGCGGACGAAGTCGAGGAACAGCTGGTATGAAAAATAATATTGTTTCCTTTTCTCCTAGGGTCCCCACGCACAGTACAAAGTTCACTTAGAGAGTATACATCCAGAGGGGATTCATAACGCCTTCTACATCGCCCCTGAAGAAGGTTACCAGGAGCAAGAGTTCATCATTGGTACAGTTGACCACCATATGTTGGATTATGATCGAGGCTATGACCCCACGAAAGGAATAAAGCTCAAGGTATGTTACTTTGACCAATTTGAATGGCATAGCTTAACCTAACCTAACCAGCCATTTCGAAAACTTTACAGAACTATTAAGATATTATTAATGCTTGTTACTTTACAGGCAATAGCAATTGACAAGGATAATAACGATCACATTGGAGAAGCAATTATAAACATTAACCTTATCAATTGGAATGATGAACTGCCTGGGTTCGACAGAGATAGCTACGACGCAAAATTTAAGGAGACGGTCGAAGCTGGCTTTCGCATTGGTACATACCAGGCTACAGACGACGACATCGATGACATTGTTGAGTAAGTAGTAAAAATAAACTCATGATGACTATGACTGAAGACAGAGGAGCCTTGGAGAGTGCGCAGTGTCCAGTAGATCATAGGTTGATCTCTGTTATATATGTTATTTAATCAAACGAAATATCAGTAAAAAAGAGAAGGCTATCGACACACGCCTTTATTCACATTCCATTGTTTTACAAAATCCGCGGGCTCCGCCACGCACATAGATAAACTATCACCATAGACTATATATGACCATAGAGTATACCACAGATACACAACAATCCCTCCCCTTATTAAATACACTAATAGATAAATACAACTGAATCTTAAAAGAACTGCTTGTAATCAACCCTGGGTATGTCCCGCAACAGTTTGCTGGAACATCTCATATCTTGGGGAGAAGGTGAGGATGACAATTCCACCTCGTTCCTTCCTCTCTCCCCACTGTCAAGCAACTGAGTGTCCCCGGGTTCGTCGTCTAACAATACATCATCTAAATCTACTGGTTGAGATATACCTTTATACACAACTATTTGATTTTTATGCTTTTTGACATCTGTTGAAGTTATGTGGTCTTTGATCAAATACAACACTTTACCGAGTCTTCTAATAATGGTACCTTTGCACCACATATATTTAGAATTGTTCATATATTTTTTAAACATGACTTCATCTCCCGGTTCATACACATGTTTGTTATTGCCACCATAGTACTTAATTTGCGAGCACTGCTTTTTATTAACATCGTTAATTAGTGATGTGAGTGGGGTAGACGTTAAATTTGGGTGGATTAAATCCAGACGTGTTCTGAGTTTTCGCCCAAACACCAACTCAGCGGGTGAGAAGCCCGTGACGGAATGCACTGAATTTCTATAATCGAACAAATACTTTAACAATTTTAATTTACCCTCATTCGAGAACTAAAATACTTTATTTTATACCCTTCTTTACAATTTTTACGAAGCTTTCTGCTTGTCCATTACTAGCAGGGTTGTAAGGGGGTGATGTAAGATGAGTAATCCCATTTAATAAACAAAATTTCGTGAATTCAGCGGATGTAAACGCAGTACCGTTATCGCTAACTATTACGTGAGGTAATCCATATTTAGACATAAAATCGTAGAGTTTTTCAACAACAGTTGCCGAAGCGGTAGAGCTGCTCACGTCGTACACTTCTAACCATTTAGTGTGAGCATCTACCACTACCAAGAACATTTGATTATTCAAGGGGCCGAGGAAGTCTATATGTAATCTATGAAATGGTGTAAGTGGAAACTTCCAAGGTGCTAGGGGTGCCCGGGGCGGCGACGGCCGTAGCTGTTTGCATATTTCACACGAATGTATCATTCTTTCCAGCGCCGCATCAATGCCTGGGAACCAAAAACGTGATCTAGCTTCTGATTTCGTTTTTACCATGCCTAAATGTGAAGTATGTAACTCTGCTAAAACCTTCGAGCGCAATACTTCGGGAAGTACCACCTTGTGGCCCCTCATCAAACAACCATCTTCGTAGGACAATTGTGTCTTACACAAATGATATGGTTTTACTGTGAGTTCACTTTGTTAGGCCAACCGTTTTGAACATATTTCACAACTAACTGTAAAACAGTATCCTCATTAGTGGCATTACGTAACTCCTTCAAAGTCAACGGCATGTCGCCATCGACAACAAAGTTGACATATGATGATCAATGGGGGCGGCGGCCGCGGCGGCGTGTACGCCGATGTTGTCGCCCTCGCTCATGGCGCGATCACGTCCTAACTCACACTGCAAACTTGCCCGAGAAAGGTAATCCGCGTTGTTATCAGCACTACGAACATACTCAATAACGTAATTATATGCCCCTAAAAACATCGCATATCTCTGCAATCTGTTAGCGGATACCTCTGGTATACCTTTATGAGGACCAAAGATAGATATTAATGGCTTATGATCCGTGCGTAATATAAAAGGATCTGATCTCCCGTATAAGTACTGATGGAACCGACGTATACCAAATATTATTGCAGTCGCTTCCTTCTGTATTTGTGAATAATTTTTCTCAGCCGCGTTCAATGTGCGGGAAGCGAATGCTACTGGGCGCTCTACCCCGTCCTTATCTATTTGAGACAAAATACCTCCCAAGCCATTCGGAGACGCATCCACAGTTAACACTACTTTGGCATTTGGGTTAAAGTGTGTTAGAACCTGATCAGACGTTAAACATTTCTTAATTTTATCAAATGCATGTTGATGTAACGTAGACCAGTTCCACTTTACTCCTTTTTTTAATAGTTCATACAAAGGACTCAGGATATAGGATGCCCCAGCCACAAAATTTCTGTAGTAATTTACCAGTCCTAAAAATGACTGTAGGGTATTAATATCGGAAGGAACAGGCGCCTCAGCTATAGCTTTAACCTTTGCAGGGTCTTTCTGTAACCCATCCTTGGTTATTATATAACCTAAATATTTAATTTCATTTTTAAAAAATTCACATTTTTCTTTTTGCACTGTTAACCCGCATCCTGAAGCCTTTGCAGAACTATGTTCAACTTCTTCAAATGTCTCTCGGGGTTTGGTCAGTGACTAAAATGTCGTCGAGCAAACATAAGACACCGTCTAGTCCCGAAAGTATTGTTTCCACAGCGCGTTGGAATATAGACGGGGCGCTAGACAACCCAAAAACTAGTCGAGTATAATTAAATAGACCTCGATGTGTATTAATACATGTAACTGGTTGGGACTCTTCGTCTAACACAAACTGATTATAGGCCATAGACAAATCAATTTTTGAGAACTGTTGACCTCCGTACAGTCTTGAAAACAGTTCATGTACCGTGGGTAAAGGATATTGTTCTATCAATAGCTGTTTGTTAATAGTAACCGAATAGTCGGCGCACAACCTAACCGAGCCGTTGTGCTTCAGCACGGGAACAATAGGTGACGCGTACTCAGAGTGCGATACCGGTTTCAGGACACCTAGATCAACTAAACGTGATAACTCTTTGTCCACCCTATCACGCAACGCAAAACGCAATTGGACGCGCTTTACAGAATATCGGTTTCACATTATCCTTTAATTTTAATTTAACACGATATTTATTAAAGGTACCAAGCTTATCAGAAAATAGTTCTGGGAATCTTAATTGCAACTGGTCCACCATACTCTGACCTCTGAGAAAGTGACAAGGCGTCAGATTAAGTTTAAATTTTGATATAAAATCTCTGCCTAATAACGGTGGTCCGCCGTTACGGATGACGTATACATCCAGTGAGTGAGTGTGTTGCATGTACGTCACTGGCAAGTTTACGTATCCAACACAATGTATAATATTGCCAGTGTAACTAAAAAAACTTTTTTTGAATCAAGCAACGGAACATTACTGAACATCTTTTTATACGTACTTTCGGATATAACCGTCACCGCTGATCCACTATCTATTTGAAATTGTAAATTCTTCCCGTAAATTGAAACTGATTCCGTCATTGGTTCCCCACGGACTGAGCGTATGTTAAACAATGACTTACCGTCGTCGTCATCCCCGCTCACATCACCCGCAGACACGTAATTCACCTTATTACAAACTTTACGCAGGTGACCCTTGGTGTTACACTTATTGCATTTATAGCTTGCAAACCGACACTGGGATGACTCGTGATTATTACGACCGCACACTGTACACTTTATTTTACCGGCACTAACGATTTTAGCACTGTTTCCTTGTTTGGTGATCTTGAAGACCGGTGCCTGCTGCCCGTGGACAACCGTAGTACTGGCGGCTCCCGCACGCGCACACCGCACGCTCTCTGCCAGCTCTACTGCCTTGGCCAGGGTCAGCTTGTCGATGTCCTGCGCGAACAGCTTCTCCCGTTCATGTCCCGCTAACATACCCATGACGAATCGATCTCGTAACGCTTCCTCGACGTTACTAAACTTACAATGTGCTGTAAGTCCTCTCAGCCTGGACGCCCATTGCGTGTACGACTCACCCGGCTGCTGCACAGCCGCATAAAAATTGTAACGCTCGCTGAATCCACATATCTTTGGGAGAAAATGCTCATCCAATAATTGCACTAACTCATCATACGGTACTTCTTGGATATCCTTCGGCAGTGCCAGGTCTGCCGCCAACTTATAAGTACCGTCGCTTAGTGCGCTGAGCAAGATCGCCCGTCTCTTGGCTCCAACTGCATCATTTTTCGAGACGATATCATTTGCAATAAACCATTGCGTAATTCGGCCTTTGTATGACTTCCATTCTTGCACATTGTGATCGAACGTGGACAAAATTCCAAAACTATTCATTTTGGAATTAAAATGTGTGGGTAAACTCGTCGCCAATGTTATATATGTTATTTAATCAAACGAAATATCAGTAAAAAAGAGAAGGCTATCGACACACGCCTTTATTCACATTCCATTGTTTTACAAAATCCGCGGGCTCCGCCACGCACATAGATAAACTATCACCATAGACTATATATGACCATAGAGTATACCACAGATACACAACAATCTCCAATGGATTTTCGACTTAATGTCAATACTAGTTGAAGATGTAACAATAGTACCTACTTTTTATTATATTTACTTGTTAGTTAAGTTCTTCTATATATACTTACGCTAAATAAATTAACCTAGATAATATAAGTTTCGGTGCAACTTATCTAAAAGATTTCCAGAAATGAGTTCCCATTAGAAAATATGGAATTTTAATTATTTGTGATTAAAAGGTATTGAACTTTGAAACATCCCTTTTATTCTTTAAAGCAAAAGTACATAATTTATAGTACGTTACATTTTTTATTATCAGTTAGATATGTTATACAGGGTGACTTGTAATTCGACGTATTCCTCTCCTCAGTTCAAGACTGACCGTCACAGGGATAAGGAAGCTGACATGTATTCTTCGTAGGGGAGGTCACATTGAACAAAATTTTGTAAATAAGGATTCATTCATAACATCACACCTTTATCCCCGAAAGGGTAGACAGAGGTACACATTACGGCACTTAATGCCACTGTACAATAACACCCACTTTTCACTATTTATGTTATGTGTCTCATATAATAGGGGGTGAGCCTATTGCCATATACCGGGCACAATTCCAGACTCCGTGCTACTACTGATATTTTTTTTAAACTCAGTCATATTATCCACGACCCTGGACTCCTTGCCCGGCACTCACACTTGCGACCACACGGCCAATGAGGCAATTAGCAGTAAATAATAATGTTTTTGAAATTGCCCGTTTTACTTTACACTTTACTTATCATCAACTTATTAATGTATTTTGAGAATTTTATAAATAATTTAATGTATTTATAGTTTGTATGCTTAATGTAATATCAATTTTTTAAACTAAATTCAGTTTTCTATTGACCAAATTAGTTGGTAAAACAAAACAAAATTTGATACTAATTTATTTGCTATTACCTATAAAACGAAGGATATTTCTGCCAGTGTTAGTATTAATAAATGTTTATCGATTGTTATTGTGACATATCTTAGACTATTTAATCACTGCATGTTTTGAGAACTTAACATCTATGCAAAAAAAATGACATTTTCGGCGCGGGAGACAGGGGTACTCACACAAGTAGTAATACTAATGCAATTTGATCGCGTTACTTACAAAATAACAAACAAAGACTACACGCACACATGTACAAACACGCATCGACACCCTTTAGACACTAGTCCGAGCTTGTTTCACTTCCTTACGAGATCGAGACGCCACCGCGTTGAGCCCTCTGATTGGTTGGTTCTTTGGAGCAAGCCAATCAGAGCGCTGAACGCGGTCACGTTGCGATCACGGTAAACGTAAATAAAATATTGTACACACAGCCACTACATCAATCTATACAATGTGAAACTCGTAAACCCACGTCTCGTCGCCAGTAACAATGCATTTCATGAATGTTGGATCCGAACTGACTCGTTTTAGCATGTCCTCAGCGACTTTCATGCGATTGAGTTTTAGGATAAAATTCAGATCATTTGGGACTAGCCGAGCGGCAACATGTTTCATACCCAAATGTAGAGTTAAAAAGGTACGGATCGACTCGTGAGATACAGAAAGTTCTGCGGCTGTCTCTCCCAGAGTTGAATGGGGATTTTCAGTCACTATTTAATTCATTTTTGCGATGTTAACTTCAGTTGCAGACGTTGACGGCCTACCAGAGCGAGGCAAATCTTCCATCACATCTCGACCGCTTTTTAACGCTTTGAACCACTCATAAGCAAGCAAGTAATATTTTCAGTGACTCCGAACACGAAATCCATTGGCGATGCAAAATTTAAGACAAAATCTTTGTTCGATATTTTTGTCCATTATGAAATTCGCAATGCACACTCTAATGATATTACAAAAACCAGCACTGTATTTAATTTAAATAACAGATGCAACTCAAACTCCGCGCCAAAATGGAGTTATCCATTTTGTAGTTGTTTTTTTTTTGTAGTTGTTGTAATCTAACAACTACAAAAAACAAAAATTTCAATTTTTTTTAACCATAAACAAATCATCCAATACCGATACTTTTTTGACTGAATGTATTGTTATGTGTGACAGTCATTGTTACAACAAAAAATCACATGAAACCTGTAGTTATTTATTGATGTATTTGTAGTTAGTTCGAATTCTTCTTACTAAAACCAAAAATATTATATATCTCAAAAAATAGCCAAGTTGGGACTAGAGACCTCAGGGCTAATTTTGTATTACCTCAGTTGCCTCAGTTGTATTACCACCTCCCGAAAGGAATACGTCGAGTTACAAGTTTCCCTGTATAATTATTAAATTAATTTCATATGTTGCATACCTCAGACACCGGTCACCGAGGACGGTACTAAATATTCCATATTACTTTTGTTTAGGCACACGATATTGGGCAACGCTGCCAACTTCCTGAGGATTGACCTAATTACTGGAGACGTCTACGTGACAGTAAACAATACCTTTGATTACCACAGACAGAACGAAATCTTTGTTCAGGTAAACGAAATATCTCCATACCTCATTATCTTCTTCACAATATCAGCTATAAGAAAGAAAGAAAAACTGTTCATATGCACCGTAACAATATTATAAAAACTTATACTTATGAAAACAGTGATGTAAATAAGAACGTCGTCACAGCGCAAAATGCAGTGCTCAACTAAGAGTACAGTATGGCCGACCGTGTCGTGGATGCGTTCATCACACCAAAACCCAGAACAACAATTTGTAGAGAATATCAAAAATGTTTAGCCAAATTGCTTAGCCGATGTGTAGTCAATTCTTTATGTCATCCACAAATTGTGTGGGGCAAAATTTAAAAAAAAATTAAAAAATTGTAAGGACCTAAGTAGGTGTTATTGTGTTCGTGCATAATTACAACACAAAACCAATCAAGTCCAGACTAACGTTATTAAAAAAAATATATATAAATGTATCATGCACCTACATATTATTATGTTCTAGGATGTATCTAGGTTTAGATCGTGAACAAATAGCTAAAAATTCCGAAATTTAATTTCAGATTCAAGCTGTGGATACACTAGGTTTGCCACAAAACAGGGCTACAACACAGCTAGTCATACATTTAGAAGACGTCAACAACACGCCACCTACCCTGCGACTGGTAAGGCAATCGTAATTTGTAATGCCTACACTAGCTCTAGATCATATTATGAATAATGACAATAGTAATTATCTAGTAGATGTGTTTTCTTTTTAACCCGTCGAGCGTCCGCGTTCCTTATGATCCAACGGGTGCATACGTGACATTAGGAGAAAGAGAGAAAATGCATTTATTTGGCCATTGGCACACGAAAACAAGGATCATTACAATAGAAATAAAAAATACAGTCAAAATAAAAACAAAACATTAATAATAGGTTTTATAAAAGAGAAAGCAGCATGGAGCATTTTTCTTATGATCCACCGGGTGCTCATAAGGACGCTCGAGGGGTTAACAAACTGTGAACAGTTTAAACCTTTTTCAAAAAGAAAAAAAGGAGGTTCTCAATTTGACCTGCCTGCACGTATTTTTTGTGCGTGATATCTCGCGACTGGCTGAACCGATTTTTATATGGTTTTCAGAAAGGTTACACTTAGGAGAAGGTTTTAGTATATTAATTAACTGACTTCGAAAAAAGAGGGGGTTGAAGTTGTTTTTTTTTAACATAGTTTAAAAAATATTATTAACGAATTTACTTACCATATTGTCTTTGCTGACGAAATAAACTTTCTCCTTATTCCAGCCACGTATCAGTCCAAGTGTAGAAGAGAACGTTAAAGACGGATTCCCGATAACCGAAGGGCTGACGGCGACGGATCCTGACACCACGGCCGATCTACACTTCGAGATCGATTGGAATGCCTCATACGCTACGAAGCAAGGCAGGAATGCACCCCCCACTTCAGAATACCACGGGTACGACTGTGGTGATTTACACCAAAAATTATAACGTCGCTTAACATTGCCAGAAAATGTGCCCATTTGTACTTGCCGTGTAGACGCTACCACATCAACCTGACAGAACTTCCAACCCTAACCCAAGTCTACGCAGTTTAGTAAAAAGCTTGCTTGATAGCACTTTTTGTTTGACTCCATTTAATGCGAGATAATTCAACGAATCGGAGCACAATCACAGGGAGATCGAATACAAAACCTCTGACTCGGCACACTTGTGACTTCACTTTTAACGCCTTAAATTAGATAAGTGTAATTCTTGCCGAAAATGTATATTTTGATGTAATTCATTATATGCATCTAATATAATTGTACCAAATTCAGATAATTTTGCATAACACGTTTACACTTAGTACTGATTACATTTCAGATGTGTAGAAATTCTGACCGTATACCCAGATCCTAACAATCGCGGGCTAGCTGAGGGACACTTGGTGGCACGTGAGATCAGAGAGGGCGTGACCATCGATTACGAGGAGTTTGAGGTGCTGTACCTCGTTGTGAGGGTGATAGACCGCAACACCGCCATTGGCGATGATTATGACGAAGGTAGGAAACATCCGCTATCTGTATTAATCTGCTAAAGGTTATCACGGGAGGTCGCACCAGGCGGCGGCCGACTTAATGGCGACAGCGGTGGCGACAGTCGTTGAGAGAATCCGGCAGTTGGGACTCGAGGTGGCGCTTCACAAGTCCGAGGCCATGTGTTTTCATGGCCGCGGGAACGCGCCACCTCCGGGTGAGTCCCAAATAACGGGGGAAGGGGTTACCAGCGGCGTCGAGACGACGATGAAGTACCTGGGACTCATCCTCGACAGTCGGTGGAACTTCGTGGAGCACTTCCGACGTTTGGCTCCAAAGTTGGAGAGAACGGGGGCTGCGTTTAAGCGCATCCTCCCCAACCTCGGGGGGCCAAATGCCTCCTGCCGGAGGTTATACGCCGTGGTCGTGCGATCCATGGCCCTCTACAGCGCCCCTGTTTGGGCGCCGAACCTGATGCGGCGGCCCGCTCTGGCGCTGCTCATGTCACAGAGGGTCATGGCGATCTGAATGATCCGCGGATACCGCACGATCTCCGGGGAGGCGGCGAACCTCCTTGCCGGATTATCGCCGTGGGATTTGGAGGCGAAGGTGCTCGGGCGCTTGTATCGTATGCGCGCGGAAGCATGTCGCCGGGGCGAAACTCCGCTGCCACGCCAGATAAGAGCGTGGCGGGAAGAGCTCCGGCGCGATCTCATGGCGGAATGGCAGCAACGACTGTCGCAACCGAGGGCTGGGCTCGCTGCCATTGCAGCGGTAAGTCCCCTCTTTAAGGAATGGCTTGAGAGACGCTACAGCGTCCTCACCTACCGCCTGACGCAAGTCCTCACCGGACATGGAAGTTTCGGGAGGTACCTGTGTCTTATGGGGCGAGAGGAAACGCCCGGGTGTCATCACTGAGTGGACCGCCCTGGAACACACTGTAGCGGAATGCCCTGCGTGGGCTGAGCACCGCCGTGCCCTCAGGGAAGAGCGGCGATGGCGACCTCTCGCGTCCGGGCCTAGTGCAGGTCTCCTTTTGCGAAGCAGTTATTCTAGCTAAGGAGGAGGCGGGACGCGTGAGGCAGCGAAGCGCTGCCTCCTCGCAACCCAGCCATCGCGAAGGACACACCGGGTGTCGGGGATCGCGGGACGGTCTCTGGCCACCGTAAGCGCAGGCTTGCGGACGGCGAGCATAGGTGGCTCCTCGTCTAACTAGAAACAGACCCGAGCGTACGGCGTGTCGCGTTCCGCGCGCGCCTCAAAGAGCCATCAGACCACCACAGATCCCCATCTGTAATAATCTAACCTAACCTAACCTAACAGGCAATCGGAGTCGCGGAGAACCTAACGGGTTACCGGGGCTCCGGCTCGACGTGCAGGAGAAGGAACGGGGTGGTTTTTAGTCAGTAAGAGTCTGACACTCCCTCCCGCCTCACCCAGGCGGGAGCAGACATAAGATGATTTTTGCCCCTTAAAAATAAAATAAAAAAAGGTTTAATTATAGTACACTTTAGAAATTGACTATAATACTAGCATAAAGTACTAAAGATTTATAATCCCAACCTGACCTACATTTGCAAACTTCCATACTGAAAGATTTCATAGAAGTGCCAGAATTCAAGAGGAATAAAATAATGCTACACCCTACCTGATACCTGACCTCCATTGGTCAAGCTGGTCACTCTATCTATAGTTTTGTAAACACACAGACAGCTGTTTGAATAATAAAATATTGGTTGCAGCAATGATGACGGTGACAATAATCGATATGAACGACAACAGGCCGTTATGGGTGAATGGCACACTGACACAACCACTGCGCGTGCGTGAGATGGCCGACGAAGGTGTCATCATCGGTACCCTGCAGGCCACAGACATCGATGGCCCTCTCTACAACCGAGTCCGTTACACCATGATGTCAGTATTCTATCTATATCTACATACTTACGATCTAAATCCAAAGTATTTCAAAAAACCCATATATTTCGTTAAGTTAAGTTTAGGGTAGGGTGTTTCATAGTGAAATAAGTCAGAAATGATGAGTACTCCACGTCCTTAACGGATCTAGTACGACTTTTCCTGTAACCCTGTATAAATTCCGAACAAAATCCGCAAATGCTCTCTCTCAAATATCAGCATTCTTTCTACTTAATAAGAATTTATAATTTGGAACAAGCTGAAGCTACAAGTTTCAATAAAACTCAATAGGCTGATATACAGGTCATTTATTATTTAGTGTCCGACCGAAACTGGTTATCCAGCCGAAACCGAAACCGAAACTCACAAGGTCAACTATAATATTTCTTAAATACTAAAATTTGCTGCATTTTACCTATTTTTTTTTAGTTGTTATCCGAAACAGAGCAGAAACTTGGTTTTTGGCCGAATCTCGGCCGAAACCGAAACCGAACTTTCTGTCGGACACTATTATTATTAGACGATAATATTGTTTGGGGTCGTAGAACACATCATTCCCAAAATTTTTGTCAAACAAAGGGATAAGCGGACTATATTTACTAGTTCTAATCATCAAGTTTACGATAATAACATTATTTTAGACACAATGATTAAAATTCATAGAATATACTACCGAACTTCTCTCAAGTTTGACTGAGAAATATGCTTCTCTGACACAAAAAAATTATTATGACACTTGCTGCGCACTTTTTTTTAAAAATCTACATATTCTAAGCTTTCTTGATTATGAGGTACACAATTTCAACATACATACATACCAGGACTTGTGCCAATGATATTAGTCTAACACCAAGTCTGGACCTGACCAAGGTAGTAAAATAACGAAATTCAACTTTCAAGTTTACTTTTGAAATCCCACAACTTCCATCCGAACTCATTTCCTATCCTTTTGTTCGAGAAATATGTTGGAAATAATCAGAGGCCTTACTACGAGTTTGATTACGAAACGAGTATGCATTCGGCACTCTGATTGGCCGGCACCAATGAACCAACCAATCAGAGCGCCGAACGCGTACTCGTTACGTTTAAAGTATTCGAAACGAGTACGCGTTCGGCATTCTGATTGGCCGGCGCCAATGAACCAACCAATCAGAGCACCGAACGCGTACTCGTTACGTTTAAAGTATTCGAAACGAGTACGCGTTCGGCATTCTGATTGGCCGGCGCCAATGAACCAACCAATCAGAGCGCCGAACGCGTACTCGTTACGATTACTTTAAACGTAAAACAAACTCGTACTAAATCCTCTGTTCTATAACCACATACTATAAATATGGTGTAATAACAAATCAGCATGAATATGTACTTTTGTTTTTAAATTTTTGGATTGTATTAGATTTAACTTTAACTTTACCCACGTAGTAGCTCCTCTTGCTACCTATAAAAACGATTTCTATATAGGTAAGATTTTTGCTTTAGTCCCATCAATGACACTCCTGAGGAACTGGTAAAGATCGACTTCGTCACCGGTCAGCTGACTGTGAACAAGGGGCAAGCAATTGACGCAGATATTCCGCCTCGCTTCCGTCTGTATTACAAGGTTACAGCCAGCGACGAGTGCTCCCTTGACGAGTTTTTTACAGAATGCCCACCTGATCCCATCTTCTGGAATACCGATGGAGAGGTGAGTAGGTGTGATGACCAGCAACCTTAACCAAGTTTATTTTCTACTACATAACATAACGTCACGCCTTTTATCCCCGAAGGGGTAGGCAGGGGTGCACACAGAAGTAACACCCACTTTTCACTATTTATGTTATGAGTCCCATGTAATAGGGGGTGAGCCTATTGCCATATACCGGGCACATTTCCAGACTCCGTGCTACTACTGAGATTTTTTAAAAAAAGAACCATTTATACTATCTACTATTTCTTTGATAATATCGTTAACGATTCCCGAGTATCTTTTTGGTACAGTGGTATTTTATTTCGTGGCCTGAACCAGCGCCTGCAAAGTCTGACAATTATTCTGTGTTACGTACGATACATTTTTAAAGAATTCAAATACTTTTTCGTTAATTAAGTAAATCATATTGTTTATAGCAGCTTCGTTATTGTTTATATTTACAATTACAGATAGCGATCGAGATAACCGATACGAACAACAAAGTACCACACGCGGAAACAGATCAGTTCCTTCAAGAAGTGCCACTTTACGAAAATGCAAGTAATGGTACCGAGATCGTGACGATCATAGCAAGTGACTTGGACAGAGATTGTAAGCATAACATAACACGATATTTCTTTCAAAAGTCAAAGTCAAAGCATTTATTTCAATTGAACACAATAATCAAAAAAACAAATATTAAGATATTTGGTTTTTTTTATTTGTTTTTTTGTTTGTTTTAGTCTAACATGGCGCTCACATGTGCATACTGACAATCCACAAAAATAATGCTTATAAACAAGAAAAAAGACACTCTTAGTTTCAAAGAAATGCAAGAATACTTATTAAATGCTAAACGAAAACAGTTTCAGACTCTGCACAGTGTGAAAAGTCACTATCTATTTTTTTTTCGAACTGATAACCCAACTCAAAATACGTCTTGAACCTCCCTCTGAACTTATCCGAGATTTCTAAAAAAACAATCATTTTTTGTAGACCCAAATAACAAGCTGACGTACAGAATCAACTACGCATTCAACAATAGACTGGAGAACTTCTTCGCAGTGGATCCTAACACTGGCGTTCTGAGAGTACACTTCACTACTGACGAAGTGTTGGACAGGGATGGAGATGAACCGGAGCATAGGATCATCTTCACCATCGTCGATAACTTGGAAGGCGCTGGAGGTATAAGAGCATCATTAAAATCTTCATAAAACCAATCTGAATTTTTTGGTAAAGTTAAAACCAGTATCTGTATCAGAATGGTAATGGTAACTTCTTAGTAACGCTCACATACTTTCAAATAAATTATCTATATCTAAAAATTACATATTTAAGTTACACGATTTGCATGTTTCTTTAGATGGCAATCAGAACACCATCTCCACGGAGGTGCTTGTTATACTGCTTGATATAAACGATAATGCGCCGGAACTGCCAGCTTCCGTTGGCGAATTCTGGACCGTTTCCGAAGGTGTGGTCGAGGTAAAAGTTGCACAATTTATTACACATACCTGATTAAAGTACCTGCTAGGCTATTTTGTAACTAATAATTCGCATTTTCGAAGTGAATTTTGACCTCTGTGGTAATGATTAACTTTACATGAAAAAAAAAACGTATTTTTCAGGGACACCACATTCAACCAGAGATTCATGCACACGACAGAGATGAACCATTCAGTGACAACTCTCGCGTCGGATATGAAATTCTATCAGTCAAATTGATCAATAGAGAGATTGAGCTTCCTCAAGATCCATTCCAAATAATAACGATTCAAAGAAATCCCGAAATCTGGAGATTCGTAGGAGAGTTGGTGACTACCATGGACCTTAGAGGATACTGGGGCACCTATGAAGTCGAAATACGTGTAAGTATTAAATCAAGAGTTAGGAGATATAGGTAAATAGAAAGCTGGTATCGGTCTTAAAACTGCGATCAGTCACCGAGAGATGCAAAATGACAATTCCCTTTAACTAACTGCGATCCCTAAACTGTCTACCAAGCGCAAGGATTGTGATCTTGTCACAAAATCTACTAGGTACGTACCTACAATTAAGATATGATTCACAGATAAATTGATTATTTTTAGGCGTTTGACCACGGTGATCCGATACTGGATTCAACCGAGACCTATGAACTAACCGTCAGGCCATACAACTTCCATTCACCAGTGTTTGTGTTCCCAACTCCTGGCTCAACCATCAGGCTTTCCAGGGTAAGCTATTGGACCAAATTTTTTTTCTTTTAATTATATTCAGAATGTTTTTGCAAACTTCGTCTCGTGGTTTGATCTCCAAAGCACATTGTGTTTAACTGTCTCATTAATTGGATTAGTGACTTTCACTGTAGATTATAATCAACAAGAGTAAACACCATTTAAGTTCCATTTATTATTCCAGGAGCGTGCCATAGTCAATGGTATGCTGGCTCTAGCTAATATCGCGAGTGGAGATTTCCTAGACCGACTCTCCGCTACTGATGAAGACGGGTTAGAAGCAGGCAGAGTGACTTTCTCTATAGTTGGAAACGGTGAGAACATCAGGTTCCATTTTATGAACAGCAAACAGGTTCAAATTATTGATCATGTTTACTCAGTAAAGCTGTTAGGCACTTTTATGAAATATATTTTTTTAGAAATATTTTTATTATAAGTACTGTTATTGGGTTATTGGTCCTTTGGTAATTCAAATCACTTTTATATCAACATAAGGGATGAAAGAAATTTACATGTAATTTGTATTACCAGATGAAGCTGAGGAGTATTTTAATGTGTTGAACGATGGTGACAATTCAGCAATGCTCACACTGAAACAAGCTTTGCCCGATGGTGTCCAACAGTTTGAGGTGCGTTTCATCTTCTTTTCAATATGAACACTATAATAGTACTGAGCATTAAATCTAAATGATTTTGCCACTGTTGATAATAATCATAATCACGTAGTTACTACGGGGATACGTGTGTAGTTTTCGTAGCTCTAGCTACGTGCGTAGCTTTTATACCTGTGACTGCGTTCGCAGTTTTCGTAGCTGTAGCTATGTACGTACTTTTCGTAGCTGTGGCTACGTGCGTAGCTTTCATAGATTGACTACATGCGCAGTTTTCGTAACTGTGCCTACGTGTGTAGCTTTCGTAGCTGTAGATACGTACGGCGCGTCGCGTTCCGCGCGCGCCTCAAAGAGCCATCAGACCACCACAGATGGGGCCCAATAGGGCCGATGCCGATTCGGAGTCGCGGAGAACCTAACGGGTAACCGGGGCTCCGGCTCGACGTGCAGGAGAAGGAACGGGGTGGTTTTTAGTCAGTAAGAGTCTGACACTCTCTCCCGCCTCACCCAGGCGGGAGCAGTCATTCGATGATTTTCCCCCCTTAAAAAAAAAAAGCTGTGGATACTTGTACAACTTTCCTAGCTATCTTTCAGTATTGTAATAAATAGATATAATTCCTGAAGTGACGACATTACACTCAGCTGTTGCTCAAAGGGCCACGAGTTGTTCCAGCTCAAAAAAAAAATTTAATGGATAAAAGTAATTTTTATTAAAATTAAAATTACTTTTATTTGAGTATTCTAACTAAACTAAACTGGATATTCTTTGTTTGATGTTTAAGCCCCGTAACTTTAATCAAATCTAAAGTTGGTAGAAAACTGTAACCGTATTTGGGGAGAGTTATACCTAACATTATTTAATTTGTAGTTGGTTATTCGTGCCACGGATGGTGGGACGGAGCCAGCACCCAGGACCACCGACTGCCCCGTCACTGTGCTGTTTGTGTTGACGCAGGGAGAGCCTACGTTCTCCGAAAACTCGGCTACTGTCCGCTTCGTTGGTAAGATATTGTGTGATATTATGAATATTGAGCCAAGACGTAATCAGAAACGATAAATGATATCAGGAGGCATCAGTAATTATGTTGCGAGTACAGTAGAGTAAACTAGTGAAGGGACACTATTGATAGATAAGTACTGAGTACTGATACTCTTGCCCACCTGTAATTATGCTTTCCAATTTTGAAGCGAATAAAACAGATGTAGACTATTTTAGACTGGTTGAAAGGTGAGGTACTGCTCAAGCGTATACGCGTGTTAGTGAAATGCTAATATAACGTCTCCTCTCAGTGACCTACATGCAGCAACCTATTAACTTGGAACTTTCCTCATGTTTTTTTATTTTAGACACTATTATATACACACAAATTGAGAAACTTATATCCTAAGTCACCATTGCGTCTTCACTTAACAAAACTTTTACAGGTTATGTAAGCTATTTAAAATGTTTAAAACAAAACAAAATGTATGTATTTGAAATGTGATATTACAATAACATAAATGAATAATGTTATACATATGAAATCATTGTAATGATTCCATTATTACACCTTGTGTTACAGAAAAGGAAGCTGGTATGTTGGAGAGTTTCGAGCTGCCTCAGGCCGAGGACCCCAAGAACGACAGGTGTACGGAAGACTGCCATACCGTCTACTACACCATCATTGGTGAGTCAAGTTTCCTTTTCTCTTCTAAAGTCGCTTAGAAATCACTTCCTTAGTAAGACTCGTTGTCAGGTTACCCGTGTGTGGGTAACCTGCTTCTACCCAAATGCTTTAATTTTTATGATTTACTAAAACTATTCTCAACTATTGCTTTATTCAATGAAAAAATCCAATAGTTTTTTAGGTTCTAAGTTTGCCGCGACCACTTGTCTGTCATGGTGGGAGGCTTCTGCTAACGTAGTTTTGTTAATTTGATTGCAGACGGCAACAACGGAGACTACTTCGCTGTGGAACCAGAGACTAACGTGATCTATTTGGCGAAGGAGCTGGACCGCAGCGAACGGGAGCAGCATACTATAGTGATAGCGGCTGCCAATACGATTGGCGTTACCACAGCCATGCCGTCCTCACAGCTCACCGTCACCATCGACGTCAGTATCATTTCTATCCCCACGTAACCTTTCTAGTCGAATGGTCTTATAACCTTTTGAGCGCCGATGTCACATGTAAGTGACAAGTGAAAACTGTCCCTGGACGCCAACGACACAAATACATGACAGAAAAAGCGGAACCGGAAACACGAAATCAACAATTTGATTCCCTATTGGAATCCCTATTTCTTCCGTAGAAATTTGCGCGGAATTTGTGGCTTGGCGTTGAGGGCAGGTTCATGTGTTTTTGCTCTGGCGTTCAAAAGGATAAGGTCGATTCCAAGGTCACCATGTCGAATATAAGAGAAAAAGATTTGAGTGTCATATCTTGTTGAAGTACAAACCTTGCTCATTTGGATAGTGGCAGTATACGCTGAGTTTAGATTTGTAAATTAACCTTGTAAGTCAACGAATAATTTTAACAGACAGAATGATTTAATTTCTACAATATTAGTCAGCTGGAACGCTATTTATATAATCAAATTATATTTTCAGGTCCGAGATGCGAACCCTAGACCTATCTTCAGCAGAGAACTCTACACTGCTGGCATCTTACACACAGATAACGTACACAGGGATCTCATTTACCTTACGGTTCGTATCACACTCATCTAATACCATATCATCGCACTACACCTTTGTAATGTAAATTTCATTATAATCTGTACATTAAACATCCAAAGAATTCAATTTGCAATTCGGCAACAATTTGCAGGCAACACACACAGATGGACTCCCTATCACCTACTCGATAGACCTAGAAACCATGCAAGTAGACGAGTCGTTACAAATTGTTATGGAGGACGCCTTCAACATTAACTCTGAGACCGGGGTTATCTCGCTGAACTTCCAGCCAACATCGGCTATGCACGGCCACTTCGATTTCGAAGTGGTGGCTAGTGATGCAAGTAAGTAGTTCTTATATCTATGGTGATAGATATCACATTGATAACAAGAAGCATTTTCGACAAATAAAATATTATTTCATACGTGGAGACGTGTACAGGTCAAGCAAGCCTAAGCAAAGTTTTATATACAACTAGGTAAATTGCCTCGTTAGTGCAGCGTGAACGTAACGTGATGTACTGGTTCCTCGTTTGCATCAAGCATGAGCTAATGAAAGAGTTCCTTGGTCCTTGGTTTTGAGAATCAAATATCAAATAGTGTTGTTCTTGTATTATGTAAGTACATTTGGTTGCCTCGTTTGGTCCATCGTAAGCGAGACTGCTAAGCAATAAGTTTCGTTTTCGATTCCAAGATCGTTCAAACTATTATCCCATGTCGTATCTATTTAAAGCTACCTAATTTTTAGATGAAGTGAGTGATCGAGCAAAAGTGATAATCTACATGATATCGACACGTGTTAGAGTAGCCTTCCTGTTCGAAAATACGGAAGCTGAAGTCAACGCGAGAAGAGATTTCGTAAGTATACCAGAACTGTCTGTGCTGTTACTGTTAGTCAGATACTAGTCATTGCAGAGTTTCATATGTTTGTCGTCGTGTGGCAGATCGCGCAAACATTCTCGGACGTGTTCGATATGACGTGTAACATAGACAGCGTGCTGCCCGCTACCGACGCCAACGGCGTGGTGCGGCCAGGGTACACAGAACTCCAGGCGCACTTCATTCAAAACGACATGCCGGTGCCCGCCGACTTTATTGAAGAGTAAGTCGTATCTAACTGGCATTCGCTATTAATGTGTTGTTTGCCTACACTGGTTAAAAAGACAAATGATATTAATTTATATGACTTCCTTAGGTTGTTTTCGGATGTCTATACACTACGTGACATCAGAGCCGCGTTGAGTAATCAGAGTTTGACGCTAGTAGACGTACCAGGGGGGGTGACGGTGCTGCCCGGCGGAGAGTACGCCTTGGCAGTTTATATCCTCGCCGGTATCGCAGCATTCCTCGCCGTCGTCTGCCTCGCTCTCGTCATCGCTTTCTTCATCAGGAACCGAACGTTAGTACCATGTCTAGTAAAAACTTTGATAAAATAAGTGACTTAAAAATGGACTCATAGTACTTATTTTGAATCAAATAAATTGTAAAAGTAATTAAGATTTTTTGCAATAGCAATCCGCTTATCAATAGAGTAACAAAGTTAATAAACTTCTGTAGACCTAACTTAAATAAAAATCTGCCAATTTTAAACTAATACAGCCCTTTCAATAATGTCAAAACGATTTTGTTTGTTCACAAGGACACTGATCTTATCAGTGAGTAATGCAGTCACGAACCTCTCTTTAGCTTCACCACTTCACACTGTTTATATGTATACTACTATGTTGTATGTTTTTGTATACACCTACTTGACCACTTCAGTAGCAGTCTGTTCTGTGAGGATGTTGTGATGATGTCCTGGATTGTATTAAAATGTACTTACGTTGTCAGGTTGAACCGCCGTATCGAAGCTCTCTCCACCAAGTATGATACTATGGACACTGAGCCGACCCACACCACAGTTGAAGGGCTAGGCCTCAACAAATACGCTACCGCTCCCAACCCCTTCAGCATCGAACCGAATATCAAAGCACCTAACTTCGACACTATTAGGTAAACCTAAATAATTTTTTATGGAAATAGCCGGTAAACGAGCAGACGGATCACCCGCAACACCAGAGGTGTTACAAATGCGTTACGTGCATTTTGGGGATAAGGATTCTTGGGGATTCGGGATTGGGGAGGTTAGGGAGGAGGGTGATTAGGCCTCCGGTAACCTCACTCACACGATGTGAACAACGCAAGCGTTGTTTCACGTCGTTTTTTAGTGAGGCCGTGGTATCACTCCGGTCGAGCCGGCTCATTAGTACCAAAGCTTGTACTAATGAGCCGAAGTAAATACTTTTAAAGACTTTAGAATTGTACCTAATCCGGCTAAGACCATCTGTAACTGGTGACTAACTAACTAGGGCTAGGTAGTAGGTACTTGATAAATAAAATGTGTCTGTATATTTTACAGTGAAGCATCCGATGACCTGATCGGAATCGAAGACATGGAACAGTTCGGAGACGATTACTTCCCGCCCGAAAACGAGATTGCAAATCCGGTAATGATCATACATCTGTTCCTATAACCACAGCTTAATTAGACTTCAAATTAGAATAAACGCAATCTATTTAAAGCATTAACAGTTAAAGCCTTTAACTATGACAATAATTAGCTAGGTGCAATTATTTAAGCAACGCTAATGGACCAAAACATCTACGTAGGCACTCTTTCTTTTAAAATGAAAGTCGTTTTTAATATATTTTGAAAGTTCTAAAAAGTTTGTTACAATTATTTTATCAAATATTATTTTCCAGGCTTTTGCACGTAACCCCATAGCGACCCATGGAAACACCTTTGGCTTGAACTCAACCCCCTTCAACCCCGAGGTCGTGAACTCCCAGTTTAAAAGTTAAATTATTATATTTTTATTAGTTGCATAGTCTATGAATTTAATATGTAATGTGATAAAATGTACGTTAAAATGAACATAACTGTTGTACAAAATAACATACTCGTAATGTATAAGTGTTCTGTTTTTATATAGCAATAAAAATATTTAATATTTCTTTACATTTAATATTTTATACTTAATACTATTAATAATAAATGTAATATGGTTGATGAAGATGATTCTTGGTGGTGGGTTCTCAGGGGCGTGAAATAACGTTCGACACACGAATGACTGTAAACTGTATATATTGGAAATAAACTAAATATAAAACAAAGTTGCACAATAATACAAAACTCAGAAAATGCTATTTGGATGCCACGGAGGAGCTTCTAAATAAACTTGAGCGCTTGCAAAATGTCTGTATACGCTTTGCCTTTGGTTTAAAAAAGTACGATCATATCTCGGAATTTCGCAAAAGGCTCAAGTGGCTCCCAATCCGACTTCACAGGAACACTCGCATCTTATGTCTTCTTTTCAATATACTTTTTAATCCCGATTATCCCTCTTACCTTCGTGAACGTTTTTCCTTTGCCCGCCCTCCTGAGGCTCTTTCCCGATCTCATCTTAAATCTAATCTTTCTGTTGTCTCACACAATACTGATTTTTACACCTATTCCTTCACTGTTCATGCAGTGCGACTTTGGAATTCCCTACCACCTAATATCCGTGATTCTAAATCCATCCCAATCTTTAAAAGACTCGTAAGGGAGCACTACCTTTCCTCATCTTGTTCAAATTAGTGTCATATATATATATATATATATATATATATTTGTATGTTTATTTGTAATATACTCTAATATGTGTATTATTTGATGTGTATCGATCATATGTATGTATAGGTTTATGTATTTTATTGTGATCTATTTATTTAATACATATTATGTCATGTTACGCACAGTGTCTCTGTTTTTTCCGTTTTCCTGTCGAAGGACTGCAGGAAGAGATTCCTTCGGGAATATGTAGTACCTATGTACCTCCAAAATATTTATATATGTGTTCTCCTATGTACTGTCTGTGTGTTGTGCATAAACCGATAAATAAATAAAAATAAATAAATAAATATTCGCGGCACAAATATGGGCGTGTGCGTCGCGGCTCCGGCGCGGGACTCGTTGTTCTAGCGTCCTCGCAAGCGTCGAGCGGTCAGTGGCGGGGAAGCGGGGGAAGAGGAAATATTGTGGTGGCGCGTTGCCACTAGAGTAGCGCGCGTGCGTTCGACACAAACCAAAATCGAATTGCCGCGTTACATCCTCCCCCTCTGACCTAGACATAGCGCCCTCGCGTCTTGGTCAGTCTAGAAATCGCTTGGGTTTTCCGCGCCTACGCTTTTCGATAACAGGCGGAATCAGTACATCGCCCACGAAAGGAGTCGACTGTGAGACACGGTACTTACCCAAATTCTCGCCACTATCTAGTTTACGACGTGATTTAGACCTCGGAGTCTGTCCACGGGGCGCATCGTCGCTGCCCTGGGTTTTTAAAAGCAGATCTCCGGCTCCTGCGGAATATTCCGGCGCAGGGTGACGTTTCTTTCCAGAGATACGTTTCTCGCTAACTCGGTTCCTTTCACGGACTTTACGAGAGTCAAACGGCGCGTTTGACGTACGTCGTAAGTACGGAGTAAAACTCATGACGGTGGGCCGTTCCTCCGGGCCCTCCCCCTGCATTGAAGGTGCTACGAGAGTAGATGGCAAACGATACCGTTCTCGGCTCGCGTCAGACTTTAATCGAAGCCGGGTGTAGTCGGTTGAATGTTCTTCCTTTGCGGAGCGGTTAGTTATATCCAACGGAGAAGCAGTTAACTTTGCCCTCTGGTCAACCGTCAGCGCGGTCGGCTCCATGCTATCAGTGGTAGGTAAAGCGGGGCTGGCGTCAAACAGATGCCAACTCGACTCGTCGTTAAAACGCCAGCTGCACTGTGGTAAATCCAACAGGATATTCGCTTTCATAATAAAATTCCTACCTAACAGCGTCCTCGTTTGTGCATTCGGTAGCACCATAAACGTAGTGGGTATCACGCGTTTTCCTAATATGACGTCGACGTCACACTCAAGCGCGGTACGTTTCTGCTGAGACCCGTCGGCAAGACCTACGGTACGTACGACCGTCCTAAACATCACGCCAGCTTTAACGAGCAAAGCGTGCAGCGTAGGGCTCGCGATAGAATGTGTGGCCCCCGTGTCGAGTATGGCCACACCCTTACGGTCAACGATCTCAATACTTATAAGCGGTTGTGTATCATTATCACTCACGCCTACAATGTAAGTACTGCAAAAATCTACTTTACTTGAGTCGGCTGTACTTTTGCACTTATCGCATTTTGAGCGCACTAATCCCAGCTGGCCACATCCGTAGCAACGTAACTGAGTGTTATTATTATTATTAGAAGTATCTTCCTTCTTATTACGACAGTTATCAACTGAATGCCCGAAAAGTTTACAATAACTACACTTCGGTCGCGTACGTTTTCGTACGTCACTATTATTCTTTACATTAGACGTGGAGGCCTGACCTAACACGGCCGCATCACGTAAACTTACTAAAGAACTCGCGCTACATGACGATTTCGAACTTACGGGTTCGGCGACGGTTTTCGAAAGCTTAAGACTCGGGTTTGTGTCAGAACGGTCACGCGCGGCGCACGAGTCAACAGAACTCGTATTATTATTACAAATGGGGGAACTTACCTCCGCCAGTGACTCCTCGACTAACCTGACTTTGGTGATGAGTTGCTCCAGCCCGTCGAAGGAATCACGACACACGCGTTTTCTAATCCTACGATCTAACAACCCGTATACAATGTCCAACTTCATTACCTCCGGTACTACGTACGGTAATTTTGATAATAAAGCGCGCACTTTACAAATAACTACGTCGGCCCGTTCACAATTTTGTTCGGTAGCGAAAATGTCTCGAAGTATTTTATAACCGGGTCGCAGCACTCCAAACATCCCTCGAAGTCGTTGTAGGGCGTCGGTCCACGACGTGACCGACGACTTCACTCCTTGCCACCAGACGGCGGCCTCGCCCACCAGCAGCATCGGGAGGCCGCGCAGCGCGTGCTCGTCGCTGACGTTGGTGCAGTCGCGGTAGACTTCGATGGCCTCGATAAATGCTTCGAGCTCATCCGCGTTCCTCGATGATCCGTTAAATCGCGCCGTGCATTTCGCGAAGTTACCTGCGCGCGGCGCATGCGTGTGTGCGTCGGCGGCTTCGGCGCGCGGCGATGACGTAATCAGCGGGTTTTTGTTTCCCGCCAAAATACTCTCAATCAGAACTCTGTTTGCTTCCACTTGACTCCTAGTGATGTTAGAGACAAGGGTATTTAGCATATCCTCCGACATTGTAATATTCGGGGACGAAATCACGGTTCTGTTTATCTCGACATCTGTGTCGGTATCCGATCCCTCATCTCTTCCAGTTCTACTCTTCGGCGGCATGATAACAGGCAATTCCAACTGTTACTCGCTCGAAGAGCACGGGTGATGATTTTGAGGATGGTAGCTTCAACGAGTCGGTAGGTATATACCTACAGACGCAACCGGCGGCACGCGGAAAATGGACTCGCCCAAGTGTTTTCACTTTCGTATTTGCACTGGTTTTACAATAGTTTTCGTGTGATTGCACTATCGGAGAGAGTTCACAATATGTGTTTGTACGATAGGAACACTAGAACTTGTTGTAACTTTGAGTTTTTATGCACAGTTCGTTCGTGGCCGCAAGTTGGGCGTCACTGTGTTATAGTTGATGAAGATTGTTCTTGGTGGTGGGTTCTCAGGGGCGTGAAATAACGTTCGACACACGAATGACTGTAAACTGTATATATTGGAAATAAACTAAATATAAAACAAAGTTGCACAATAATACAAAACTCAGAAAATATTCGCGGCACAAATATGGGCGTGTGCGTCGCGGCTCCGGCGCGGGACTCGTTGTTCTAGCGTCCTCGCAAGCGTCGAGCGGTCAGTGGCGGGGAAGCGGGGGAAGAGGAAATATTGTGGTGGCGCGTTGCCACTAGAGTAGCGCGCGTGCGTTCGACACAAACCAAAATCGAATTGCCGCGTTACATAAATCAATAAAACAAGCTATATCTATTTCATTTAGTATTAGTTAGTTTTAATTTTATTTGAACAATAAAACAAATAACGTATGTAAGTATGTGTACCAAAGTAATGTTAAATGTTTACGAGGAACGATTTGCAAAAAAAAAGTGTGTGGTCAATGACAGTGATGATGACGATAAATAAACACGAGAGCTCATTAACATCGCATTGCGCGTTGCGAATTCGCAATTTCGCATCGCATCGCAGTTTTGTGTACGAGCCTTAGTGCTGCGATGCCAAAACAAAGACAATTAAAAAAAATAAGACGCTACAAAGATAATTAAAAAAAAAATTGACAGTGAATAACATGTCACCCAAAAGCAGAGATGCAAAAGTTTTCGCAAATGATAGGCAAATAGTATAATATAAGTTTAAGGGATAATAGGAATAGATTGATAACTCCATTGTTGTAGTCGCTATTTTCTGCTAATCATTTTACTTATAAGATTAAATAATATATTTAACAAGTCAAGTTCGTCAAAACCTTAAGTTTACTTGTATAAATATAAAGAAATCTTGTTATTTCAAGACCACTACTGATTTAAAAAATGCCGCACAAGAAACACAACTGCGATTTAAATCTTGGTAGGTAGTAGACGTGGATAGTTATTAATACAGCACATCCTTTTTTAATGACCTCACAGAGCTGTTAGACAACCACTGACGGGAGCCACTAGGATCGATGCCCGCTTGGTTCGCAGGTGAGGCTAACCATATACCGGGGCCCCAGGATAATGCAAGAGTGAGAACAAGGTGGTTTTTAGTCAGTAAGAGTCTGGCACTATTGAGAGGACTATTTAATGATTTCCATTTTCACAAAATAAAGTATTTTTTTCGCGTAGTGCTAGTAAATGCAAGAAAGGACAATAAGCTCATGATACCGACATGGTGCAGATAGCGCGTAATAACAATGAATTCTCTTCAAGGTTCCGATAGCATGCTGCCCAAAAAGACCACGTTACTCGGTCGCATGTGTCGAAGCTTGCGCAAGCTGGGGCAGCTCACCAAACACCATCCGGAGACGTACGAATATTTCCGAAGCTACTCGGCTGTGGTCGCCGAACGACAGAGACAACTACTGGAGGAGGGGGGAAATGTTATACACCCTCTTAGCTTATTCAGGTGTTAATTCAACCAATGTAACTGTATATTACACAGGCTGTTTTTACCACTCAGTTAGATAAGGTTAGCTATTGACCGAAAAAATGTATTCAATGGAATGTGGAGTTACGTAGTAGACTATGACATAACTATGAACTCAAAGTACTACAAAGTAGACAATTTCGTACCACATGGTAAGAACTGCCCGGGTAGGGGGTGTGTCCTAAGGCTGCGACCAGTCACCAGGAGAGAAGCAGCAACATTCTCTTGTGTAAACTTTCTGTGACTTGGGAATTATCCAAGCCGCCTTGCAAGCATAGGGATTTATGACAAATCCACTCTTAATGCGCCCCTTCTGCATTAGACGAATTTCAACTGATGGTAAAACAGTCTTCAAAAAAATTAGGCTCTCAGTTTGACCTGTATATATGTAGGTATATGTATATGTTTTTGTGCGAATATCTCGCGATTGATTGAACTGATTTCGATACGGTTTTCAAAAAAAGGTTTGTTACATCATCATCATCATCACGCCTTTTATCCCCGAAGGGGTAGGCAGAGGTGCACATTATGCCACTACAATGTAACACCCACTTTTGACTATTTATGTTATGAGTCCCATGTAATAGGGGGTGAGCCTATTGTCATTCCAGACTACGTGCTACTACTGAGAATTTTTTAAAAACCCAGTAATTCTTTGCCCGACCCGGGAATCGAACCCGAGACCCCTTGCCGTCGCACTTGCGACCACTCGGCCAACGAGGCAGTCAGTCAGTCAGTTTGTTACACTTAGGAGGTTTTAGTATATAAACATAACATCACGCAGTTTATTCTGGCAGGGGCAGGCAGAAGTGCACATTATGGCACTTAATGGCCATTGTACAATGTAACACCCACTTTTCAGTACCTATTTATGTTTGAGTCCCATATAATAGGGTGTGAGCCTATTGCCATATATGTACTGGGCACAATTCCAGACTCCGTGCAACTGAATTTTTTTTAATCCGGCATTACTTTGCCCGACCCAGGAATCGAATCCGAGAACCCTTGCCCGGCAGTCGCAGTCACAATTTTAATACCTATATTCATTTACCGATTTCAAGAAAAAGGCGGTTAAGTCCGGATTTTTTAAACGTTGCTTATAAAAGAATAATTATTTCAGCCTAGTCTGGATGTCCGTGATGATAGTTGTAAATCTAACACACATGGTCTTGTCGAGTTTTCGGCTGTTTTTCATCCTGCAGCCGATCGAGGAGCCGGAGATACACCCGTTAGACCTGGTGATGGTAGGCCTACAGGTCGCCTGTCTCATCGACATCTTCATCAAGTTCAACACGGGATATTTAAACAGAAGTCATTTCCATGTTGTTATGAGTAGAAAATCTATCTTCTGGTAAGTTTGTCCTTGTAAAGATCCCTCCCAGCAGTCCCAGCTGATCAAATTACTTATCATATCATAAGTGTGCGTAAAATCTTTATTTAGATTTTTTTACTAAGTATAATTACATATTTTCTGCAATTCTTTCACCTTCAATAGGGTTTTGTTTATAGGAAATTTGTATTTAATAACTTAAATTTGAGCTAATAACTATCTTGTGCATGATGTGTTAACCTTTAATTGATTGTTACACTGGCAAATACATATTGTAAACCGATTTGTTGTAATATGATGTGTAAACAGTCGTTGGCTGACCCCCCTAAATACATAAAATAAATAATGGGTATCACCATTTTATTGTACCCTAAATGCTGGTTTATAACAGTAGTTTATAAATTCCTCTCAGCCACTACCTTCGTCGGTGGTTCATAGTGGACCTGGTGTCCAGCCTGCCAGGTGTCTACGTCGTGCTCGCTTACATGAAAAACAGAAATCGATTGCAGTTAGTAGCGTATTTGATGGCTCTACTTAGAGCTGCCAAGATCTACAACGTTGTTATTGACCTGAAGGTCTTTTTGAGGGTATGTGATATTAATTTAGTAACTAGCACTTCAATACACTATACAGTTCCTAACGGGTAACCGGGGCTCCTGCTCGACGTGCAGGAGAAGGAACGGGGTGGTTTTTAGTCAGTAAGAGTCTGACACTCCCTTCCGCCTCACCCAGGCGGGAGCAGTCATTCGATGATTTTCCCCCCTTAAAAAAAAAAATACACTATACAGTTTCACAATGTGACGGATAGAATAATCTAAAAAGTGTTAATCTATAATCTAGGAGTGTTTTCAAACTTCTAACATATTTGAAACCATATTAACTCAGCATTCCGCTTCCTTCCTCAGCAGTTCCATATAATAGATTCATGGGATAAACCTATATGTTATTCCAGACCATACATAACCTAACCTTGTTCCAAATTTCATCCCGGTCCCTTCAGCCGTTGAGGTGAATGAGTAATAAACAAACAAACAAACGAACTTTCTTAATTATCTTATACTATTATATAAAGCGGAAGAGTTTGTTTTTTTGTTTATTTGTTTGAACGCGCTAATCTCAATCTCATAAATCTAACTACAAGTCTGATTTAAATAATTATTTTTGTGTTGGATAGCGCATTTATCGAGGATGGCTATAGGCTATAAAACATCACTCTACGACCAATAGGAGCAGAGCAGAGCGTGTGAAACCGCGCGGAAGTAGCTAGTTCATAATATTCGTAGGACGCAGTATTAGAGCAACCCGCGTAATACATATATGTTGGCCAAAAGTGTAGCTTAAAAGTTATTACGTGTTTTGTCCACAGCTGTTTACAGAGTCGTACATCGTGCATGGTCTGGTCCGCCTGAACGTGATGTTTGTGCTGTCTTCGCACTGGTGCAGCTGTCTCATGTACTGCCCTGCCATCGTCGTCTATTACTGTCAGTATTTCAATTACCTAATTATACTGATCTTCAAAATGGTATATCGCAAAGCATAATATGATAATGCTATATGTTTAGGCAAAATATTATGCCAAATGTCTTTCTTCTTCCTAGGTAAGCGTTGTTGCGTAAAAATCTACCAAACCTTCCAATTCTTCTAGTGGCGGCGATATATTTAGATAATCATTAAACCTAAAGAATAATGCATGATGGTTTTTAATAGGATAACGCCTGATAGAGACATAAGAAAAAGATTAAGAAGAATAATTTAAGAATTTGAAATGAGGTTGAAATATTTCAACATTACAGGTAACTTAGGAAACTTTCTTTCCCAAGTTAGGTATGTGGGGTTGGCAGAAGAAGAACGTAGGATACGTCCTACGTAAAATCACGTTTTTAGAATGTAAGTAAGTATTCGTTCGACCAATATCTCGTTCCAGGGACGGGAGAGATGCCGACACATTACAACTTCTACATGCGCATCCCTGGCACGAAAGACTTGATGGGACATGACCTGACCACTCGATACAATAAAGCTATTATAATTGCTCTATCCGCCTTTTTTGGTACATGTTTTAATTACTTATTATATTATTACAGTACCTATACCAGTTTAGAATCTTTCTCTGAATGGAGTAGGCAAAGACTATTTCGTCATCTCTACTTATTTGCACCATGGACCATTGACATCATAGAGCAACACGGTCCGCCGGTGGCCCGTGTTGCTCTATGATTGACATGGACTACTACTGAAAATTCGCATGTATGATTGATAGAATTTGATAATAAATTAATATAATTTTCAGGTACCGGATTTACTATGTTCCGCTCAACAGAGCCAGATGAAATCTTAATTCATTCCGTAATCATTGTCTACGCCGCTATGTTCATGGTATTTACGCTAGGTATCTTATACATATGTATACTAACCTATTGATCTGAAAATTTCTTAAAGTGACACGGGAACCTCCAGTTTTTAGTAAAAAATCATCAAATGAGCCCTTTTATGAATGAGGCAGAGGGGAGTATCAGTCAATAACTGACTAAAAACCTCCATGCATGGGCCTCGGTGCACGTCTGCATCATAAACTAAACTGATAATGTAGTCAGTACTTACTTATCTACTCGTTAAGCTATACTGATATATATTTTCTATGTATTCTCAAAAACTTATAATTGTTTTCTAGTTTACCTGATAAAAAGTTATCTCACAATCTATGGGTCTACAATGCGGTACCAGGGACTTATGAATCAAGTAGAGGTAAGTTGCATATAAAACTTTTATAAGTAAATAGTACCTACGTAGTTATTAATAAGTCACTTATGTCTCTTGATCATTTCAAAGCGTAGATGACTGAATTGAATGAAGCGTAGATGAATGAAATGAATTCATCAACGGAATGTTTATTGGTATTTCATTTACCAGGAATACATGAAATACAGACAGTTCCCACTTTCCTTGAAGAAACGAGTGCGTGCTTTCTACAAGTTTAGATATCAAGAGCGGTACTTTAAGGAAGAGTCTGATCTTGATTGTCTTTCGGGTTAGTAGTAAATTGATGTCCATTTATTACATTTAGGTACATTTGCGGATTACATACTGATACAAATAATATAGCGCCTACCCACTATGTCAGACTGAATTTACTGAACTGCACTACGGGGTACCTAGGCGTTCATATATTGCGTCCACATCGCGAGCAGTTCAACGAGTTACAGATTACAGTTTTTATGTTTAAGTTATACATATAATAGGGATGACAGGGTATGAAAATTAAAAAATCTAATTAGTCCGTCAGTTAGGTAATGAAAAATTATTAAAAAAGTATTTTTTTATTTATAAAATTATACTTAGATAAAATGAATTAAAGTTTAGGAGTGGGGCCTAAAACGTAATTTCTATGTATAAAATGTACATAGTAGTGACGTCACGCGACATTTCAAATCAATAAATCGTCGAAATTATTCGTTTCTGTAAAAAATAAAAAATACGTGTGTAATGTTTTAAAATAATCTATCAGACGGACATTAAAATAAACATTAGTCATCTAGGTACCCTATTTATCGTAGGTACCCCGCGGTGCAGTTAAGATCTTGGTTAATTTATCCACAATCCTGGATCGATTTTTGTCCTCCCCTATAGTGACAAAGTACCTTATTAGTACCGATCACCCTGAATGGGTCTACTCTCGAGGTTGTTCAGGAGTATGTCTACCTATGACAAACCCTACAGTTTGGTAGAAACAGCTTCGAGAGGGTGGCTCGTAGAAGGATACAGCTTGGCTGGGCGGCGTACAGGAAACTCTATCGGGTCTTTTCGTCAACTCTACCGCAAAGCCTGAAGACGAAAGTCTTCAACGAGTGCGTCCACCAGTCATGACATACGGAGCCGAGACGTGGACACTAACAGTGCGACTGATCCACCAATTTAAGGTGGCGCAGCGAGCTATGGAGAGGGCTATGCTCGGAGTATCTCTGAAGGATAGGTTCCGTAACGAGGTGATCCGACAGAGAACTAAAGTTACCGTTGTAGCCTAAGGATTAGCAAGCTGAAATGGCAGTGGGCCGGTCAAATTTGTCGAAGAACCGATGACCGCTGGAGTAGTCGTATTCTAGAGTGGAGACCGCGTCTAGGCAAACGTAGTGTAGGGCGCCCTCCAGTTAGGTGAAGTGACGATATACGTAAAGTGGCTGGTAGTGGTTGGATGCGTAGAGCTGAAGACCGAGCTCAGTGGCGTGCCATTGGAGAGGCTTATGTCCAGCAGTGGACGATAACAGGCTGTTGATGATGATGACCTTATTATTTAGATAAGTTATTCATGTGTATAAATGATTTTTCCTATATCAGAGGAATTACGTGACGAAATTAAGCTGCACACGTGTCGCACGTTGGTCCACAAAGTGAAGTTGTTCGAAGACGTGTCTGCGAGCGTGGTGGGCACAGTGCTAGGCTGTTTGCGCCCCGAGGTCTTCCTGTCGAATGACTTGGTGGTCCGCGCGGGAGATATCGGCGACTGCATGTACTTTATAGCCACTGGGACTGTTGCTGTGTACTCCTTGAAGGGAGTTGAGGTGATCATTCTTTATCCAAATCTGTTCAATTAGAGACTGGGTTCGACACTTGAGAGTAAACTAGAATTAGTACCTTAGTTACCCATGTAGGTACAGGGGGCTTACTCTTGAATCCAATTCCGATCGATCGACATTGATATTGAGGAATTTCGTACTCTTCAGTTGTAACACTAGCGCCCATTGCATCCGTATTGCGTGGATATTTAATGAACTGAATGGTATTGATTTTGGTTTTATCTTCTATACTCTGAATGCTATTTTAATTATTGAGTTTTCATTGGATTGCAATTGCATTGACATTGAGATTGGTTTCAAGAGTAAGCGCCCTGGTACCTACTTTATATACTCCTTTCTGAACCCAACATCAATTTCAGACCAACTCGGTTATGTTTGTAGATTATTTAGCTACAGATATAATTGGATAACATACTAATTACATTTTTCACCTACTTACAACCAAAACAATCTTTTTCGCAGGTGTGTCACTTAGAGGACGGTCACCATTTTGGCGAAGTAGCGTTACTGATGAAAGATAGCAAGCGCATAGCTACTGTGGTCGCCGTCGAGATTACTCAGCTGTATAGACTTGATGCAGTTGACTTCAAGTAAGATTGTGATTTCGTAGGAAACTATATAGTTCCTAGATTTAGTGTATATTAAAGGTCTGACTTGAAACGTAAGACGAGAATTGTTCGGTTAAGTTATCAATGGTTGGGCTCGCTGCCATTGCAGCGGTAAGACCCCTCTTTGAGGAGTGGCTTGAGAGACGCTACGGCGTCCTCACCTACCGCCTGACGCAGGTCCTCACCGGACATGGAAGTTTCGGGAGGTACCTGTGTCTGATGGGGCGGGAGGAAACGCCCGGGTGTCATCACTGCGAGGACCGCCCTGAGGACACGGTGGAACACACCGTAGCGGAATGCCCTGCGTGGGCTGAGCACCGCCGTGCCCTCAGGGAAGTGATCGGCGATGGCGACCTCTCGCGTCCGGGCCTAGTGCAGGCCATGATGCGGAGCGAGGGGGACTGGGATGCCGTCTCCTCCTTTTGCGAAGCAGTCATGCTAGCTAAGGAGGAGGCGGGACGCGTGAGGCAGCGAAGCGCTGCCTCCTCGCGACCCAGCCATCGCGAAGGACACACCGGGCGTCGGGGATCGCGGGACGATCTCCGGCCACCGTAAGCGCGGGCCTGCGGACGGCGAGCATGGGTGGCTCCCCGTCCGACCAGAAACAGACCCGAGCGTACGGCGCGTCGCGTTCCGCGCGCGCCTCAAAGAGCCATCAGACCACCACAGATGGGGCCCAATAGGGCCGATGCCGATTCGGAGTCGCGGAGAACCTAACGGGTAACCGGGGCTCCGGCTCGACGTGCAGGAGAAGGAACGGGGTGGTTTTTAGTCAGTAAGAGTCTGACACTCCCTTCCGCCTCACCCAGGCGGGAGCAGTCATTCGATGATTTTCCCCCCTTAAAAAAAAAAAAAAAAAAAAAAAGTTATCAATGGTCGTAACATGCTAACTATATAATTGGTCTATAATACACGTTTGTATAACGTGTATTATAGACCTTACGACCTTTTAAGTTTGGGAGAGCCATGGTTCGGCACTAATGGGATGGCTCGACCGGAGTCATACCACGGCCTCACAGAAAACTGACGTAAAACAACGCTTGTGTTGTTTCATCGTGTGAGTGAGGTTAAATCGTAATTGGGCCTCCAGTACCCAATTACGATTTAACTGTGCAGTGTTAACTGAACAGCCGAACTGTATAGTTAAATCGTAGATATGTAGACAGTTGAAAGTAGTTTTAACTGAATCGATCCAAGATATGCACAATTTCATTAGGTGTCGGAGCTACGATTTAACAGAGCAGTTTTAACAGTGGCTGCCTCATTGGCAGAGTGATCGCAAGTGCACTGCCGGGCAAGGGGTCTCGGGTTCGATTCCCGGGTTGGGCAAAGTACTACTGAGTTTTTTCAAAAAGATGTTAGTAGTAGCACGAACTCTGGATTTGTGCCCGGTACCTATATGAGAATAGGCTAACCCCCTATCACATAAGATTCGTAACACAAATAGTAAAAAGTCGGTGTTACATTGTACAGTGCCATTAAGTGCTGTAATGTGCACCTCTGCCTACCTCTTCAAGGATAAAAGGCGTGATGTTATGTTTTAACTGTGGGTGAGCAGAAACAAAATGGCACCACTTCTAAGACGCCGATTCGTAGTTTTTTTTTAATATATTAAGTAATATCGTTTATGTTTTTATCATGAAGTCGATTCGTGTTGTCTCACCCGACATTGTACGACCGCATCGAGGAACTGGCGTCGCGTCGCATGCACCAGACTGTTCTACTAGATGACGAATTCCGCCGAGAGAGAGAACAGCACAACCTCGCAGAACAACTCTTTAATCTTCCTAATGAAAATACTGAAAACTTAAACAAAGTTTTGTAGTTCAAAAGTAAAGTAGTTGTAAAATTGTAAATGAAACTACTTCTATTTGTAATTTAAAAATATTTGGGTCTATGTGATGTAAGACTTGTAAAAGCAGCCACGATGATGAAGATTCTATTTTTAATTATTTCCAGGATCTAACTTAATTAATAAGCATGGTTGGCATGGTTGGCATGGTAGTGGGGCAACCCATAGCCGTGTAAAATGTAGTAAATTTGATTCTTTGTGAGATCCGCACAAATTGTTCTACTGCATCTGGGTATCTTGTATACCTATGTAAAACTTATATATTCTCTCTGATTTCTTGCTTTCTTATAAGAAAGAATCCATTATAGCAAAAAAATGTGCAATTTTATTGCATTTATTTATTCAGTATTATTTTATATTGTAATTATTTTTTACTATTGTAAAGACCAAAGGAATGTATTTAAGTTTGTAATTAAGCTAAGAATTGTTGATTAGCAATAATAATAGGCAGGCAACAATAAACTCTTCACAGATAAGTAAAACACTTGTTTTCTTAAATATAAACTTTATGAATACAAACAAGTATTAGGTTGAACAGAATCAATTTCGTGACACACTCTCGGAATGCTGTACATAGCTTACAAACTAAGTTTCTTTACAATATTACACGTAAATTCCCACCCATAGTAGTAAGAAAAGAATCCCGAAGCCGGAAAATAGGGAGGCGACCAGCGACAATAACAATTCTTTGAATAGATCCCTCGACACTTTAGTGCTAGTAACTTCGTATACAAAGAACCACGCAGTGAAGAAAATGCCGATACCGAGGAGGAGAAGAGTAAGATGCGGGAAAACTGCCGGGTTGATCGGAGACGTGTAGCGCACCATCGATTCAATTTCCAGCTGAAAAAGCAATGAACATTCTCACTATGAATCAAAATGTAACTAAACAATATAAGATTTTTTCCAATAAGTATGTACTCACACTCATTTTGAGGTATTTTTCTTAACTTTAAATAAGAATTACACGACACGATGCTAAACACTGTCATCAAAGGGATACGTCAGTCAATTTGCCGGCCATCGACAACTTGTATGAAAAATAAAAACGTCAAATTGTATCATAGACTTTTAGTAATTTATGATTCCTTACTAATTATATTTCAATGCCTTTTTTGCTTTTACTATAGAATAGAATAGCATAATTCTATTTTTCAATTGTGATTTTTCTTGCTACTTTGTAAGTGATTCTACGTAAATTCTAACCTAACCATCAGATTTCACAGATAAAACATGTGATAATGTGATGTTTCCTTCAATCTGTCAATATGTCAATAGTGTCAATGATTGAGCAAATAAAAAAAACTCAGAAGAGACCATGTAAATTAATTAATAAAATTGTTAATATCTAAGTCTCATCTGTTCATAGTTACAACATTTTAACATTTCCTTTTGTTTATTTAAACAGCTAAAAGTTCAAAATCACCACAATGGTGGTCATCACATCGCATGGCTACAGCTGTTTTGAAAAGCTTTGTTTTGCTTTTTATTTGTATCTTCAAAATTAAAATATAGTTGAAGTGGTCTTTATGTTGTGAATCATGTCGGGTAAATGCTTTCTAATGAGTGTAAATAACATGCAAAATCAAAGATTAAACGAAGTGAAACCTATGCCCAAAGAGAAGGTCATGTCTTATGAAGAAAAGTCGGTGGGATCAACTCCGTTCTTCAAGTGTGAAGCCTGTCCTTACATGGCTCTTGCAGAAGACGATATTAAGTTTCACCTGTTCACTGTTCATCCTGAATTAGCAAAGAGCAATGGTCTGGCAGATAACATTCAAATCCCTTGCCCAGGCTGCACAAGTATCTTTGACGCTGAGGAGACTCTGAGGACTCATCTACGTAATCATCACAAAATGGGCTTTAGAGACGTTAAGAAAATGGTAAAAAGCCTAGTACAAATAGCTCTCAAAAATGCCAAATTAAAAACGGAAAGCACAAATACAGAAGTCTCCGATACAGGCCAAATTGGCACCCCTGCACAGAATATAGCTGATATAAAGATGCCTCAAGTCATAGAAATAGTTCCTGATGCTGTTAATATCAACAACAACTTGCCAAAAGGGGTGGCATATATATCAGTTGATGAATTACATAAAATGAGTACTCCAAACTTTGAAAAGGTTGATCCTAAAGAAATAATACAAGAGGCTAGTATAAATATAGTTTATACGAATGAGACACCGCAATATGTGAGCGTGTCTGATGCAGGGCCAGTGAACCAGTCCTGTAATGTGATACCGGTGAGCACAGCACCTCCCGACTTGATAGCATCAATACCACCAGGTTCAAGTCCAATTGATGCAACTCTGTCACCGACTCAAAATAAAGATTTATCACACATTCCATTATTACTTAAAGCTGACCAAGTTGTGGAAGAAGTGAAACCGAATAACATGGAGGCACAGAAGAAAACTGGAACTATGTGCTTGGTAAATGGATGTAGGACTTGTTTGAAAGAGGATCAGACTCTTGCATATCACAGACAATGTCATCAAAATGGTAAATTAGTCTGTCCAGAGTGTTCCAAAGTATTTCCCGGTGTAGATATGCTGCACACGCACTTGTGGAAGATCCATGAAGTGGATATGGAGCTGCCAACCTGCGATGTCTGTGGCTTCAAGACATACAATAGATACAGGCTTTATAATGTGCACATGAATTGTCACAAAAAACTGAAAGACTTCATATGTGAGTACTTTAGTTGACTTTATTACTCTTTCTTTTTTTATTGCATAGAAACATTTCTGAATATATTACTAACATATTAAATAACTGTTATTAATATTATTACTCCTGTTTATGTAGACTTTATTGTATTTATACAGTCTCCAGTTGACATTGTTGGCTTTTAAATCAATCTATATTTAATCTGTCAAACACCAAGCGGTCACCGGTGACCGCGACCTATTGTTCTTTAATTGTGTCTATGTCGTAGGATAATTTGATATTTCGAATCTTCGCGGAAATCCTAGGGGTTTTGCGAAAACGCGGATAATTAGACATAGGCGAAAAATTATCAAATCTTACTGGACAAAGTCAGGATTTTTGCGAAAATACTCGTTACTATAGTAAGATTGCGAAACGAAACGCTGGCTGTTATGAAATAAGAACGCTGGTTGGTCGGTCAGCGCGTTCAATAAGAGATCGTCTCTGATTGGTTGACGTCTTAAATGTTTTTTCGTCGTCTTAAACGACCAGTTTCATCCAATTTATGGATTACTTACACCCTAAAATTGGATCATTTTTTTTTTACAACGACTGAGATCTCCTGTTGTCTGTAGAAAACAACATACATACTAAAATTTTCAATAAAAGGTTTAATCAATTTTTCTTTCTCACCTAAACTAGGAACCAATTAGAAGCCAGCCACTAAAATTGTAGCCAATCAGTGTTGAGCACATCAAATCTTACTATAGTAACGAGTATTTTCGCAAAAATCCTGACTTTGTCCAGTAAGATTTGATAATTTTTCGCCTATGTCTAATTATCCGCGTTTTCGCAAAACCCCTAGGATTTCCGCGAAGATTCGAAATATCAAATTATCCTACGACATCTATAAAACTGGTACTCGACGAGTTAAATCTATGACAAAACATATTTCACTTTGTAATTTTTCTTTGCCGATCCATTGCAAATCAATCCACCGATTGCAAATCAATAATGAAAACATTATTGATAATGAACACATTATTGATTTAATTATAATAACAGCAGCTAACTGTTACAGGTCCAATCTGTTCGAAAGCTTTTAAGAATTCCAATCAACTTTCCAAGCATAAACTTATACACAAGGAGTCTAAGACTCCATTATGCTGCTCCATCTGCCAGCGTCAGTTCTCCAATGAACGTAGACTAAGGTCACATGTTGCCGAGGTCCATGATAAGATCAAGCCTTTCAAGTGTGAGATCTGTGATTACTCCACAGCCAGGAAGGAACAACTCAAACAACATTTAAGATCACATACTGGTATGTATCTAGACTATCTATGTAAAGAGTAGGTATATTGTTAAATTTATCATTGTTATTTAGAACTTATACTATGAAAGCTAGTTAGTTCTCATTCCAATAATAATGTTACTGATATTTTTTATAAATGTTAGAAACTTTTCGATATTTCTGCGACTTGATGGCACTTGCAACCATTTTGCTTACAAATCAGGCCAAAATTTTACTAAGTTATGCTTCTTTCCAGGAGATAAACCTTATCAATGTGACCAATGCAACTACCGGTCAGCTGACCACAATGGTCTGCGCCGACATAAGAAACAACATTCAAAGGAGAATGTCTACAAATGTAAGCATTGTCCATATACAGCCATACAGTCGACACTGTTCACCTCCCACATGATCTCCAAGCATCCTAACGTCACCGACAGTGACGTGCACCGGTGCCCGTACTGCCCCTTCAAGTGCATCAGCAAAGATAAGTACTTCCAACATCTGACTACACATTCAGATAAAGAAGGCATTCAAGTACTCATAGAAATGAACAAAGTCAAACCAACGTGGACAATACCACCTAGCGAAGCAGAGAAACCAAGCGAAAACACCATCATTAACCCTGAGCCTGTAGAAGTATGCCCTAAACCTGTCAATGAGATACCAATAGAAGTGTACGACTGTGACAACTACGCGGAAAACTTGCCGCAGAACTACGTGAAGAATTTCTGTAACACGACAAGCAACAACACTCAACAGCCTGACTTCAACGCGCAGCTAATGGTCACCGACCTCAGCAAGGACGACAACAACTCCGACTGCCTCCTTTCCGAAAGCTCCAACGACACGATGATGGAAAGGCATCAGTACCAAGCGCAACACCCGTTGCTTACCTACGATGGCAACCCGTCTAATCTACACGGCTTCCTAAATACGTCTGTGTCAATGGAGCAAAACCTTCTACAAAATAATAACAGCCCTCATACTTCCAATCATTGTTCGATACCGAACAGTATAAACAACAACATCATGGCCAACTTCCCGATTAGATTACCTCCCGCGCCCCTAATATCGCTGCGGAACAATATAACATTGAAACCTAGCGACAAGATATCTCTGCCTGGGGCTAAAGTAACAGGAATTATAAAACCGACGCAGATCTTGCCAGTACCTTCGTCCAGCAACTCTCCTGTCAACATATCTATGGATCCGGAGGGAGTACCGAGAAAGAAACCTAAAATATCAGTAAAGAGCAATCTTATCCTGAAAGGTCCAGATCAAGAGAACATGTTCCACTCACAGCAAAAGATGGCATTCAGGAGGCTGGAGGACAATGAGAGGTTTGGGCTGGCCAGCCCTGTCACATTCAATAATCTGATCACGACGCAGTTCATGCAACTGCAGCCTCAGCCGTCACTGAGTCAGTCTCCGAGGGATATAATGGTGTATCCCCAGGAACCGATGATAGCGGACGCAGTGACTACGCCTGTCGATACCGAAATTAGCAATAACCCCCAGATATTCTCTTTTAACCAGCAAATTAATGTTAATGCCATGACGATGCTTCCACCACCGCAAAAGATCCAAACTAATGACCCTAGCTACATCAAATTAGAGAGCACAATAAAACAAAATACGCAGTCGCCAAGTTTGGAAAGAATGTGTAATGCCAATCTTCTGAACAATTCTGCTATAACCCGCGAATATAAGGCGTCACCGCCGCTTGAAGAAATACATAAGAACATAGGCGAAATTAAAAACGAAGTAAAATCAGATTCTTTCTATAGCTTGGCGATCAACAACGAGGCACCAAACCCTCCTGCTATAACGTCGATGGACAATTTCTTCCTGGACAACTTATGCGCGGGAGAGAAGTACACGTCCGGACTCATGGATCTAACTGGCGTCAGCCTGCAGCCGATATCGGATGATCAGAATGACGTAATAGAGATCGATGACAACTCTGACGACAACAAGCTCCTGCCGCGGCTAGACATATACTACAATTTGGAAGGGTTGTACCCTCACAATGACTTCCACTTCCTGGACAGCGACCCTGGCTTCCAACCAGACGATCTCAACAGGATGGTTAGTGAGGTGCCCAGTATTAACCAAAAAGATTTGCTGGACTCTGCTAGTGAAGGGAATCTAAGCACTGCTAGTGAGAACCAAGGGTGCACTCAAAGTGTAATGGACCCCATCATGAATACCACGGTGCGACTGACCACTAACAAAATAAATGTTAAAAATATTGAACTCATGAAGAATTAATGAGATATCCATTTTTGCTCTTATGAATCTTCCCCTCTGTGATGTAGTTAATACCTCCTGTTACTTGTTAGGCAATATTTTCGTACTAATACATAATTACGTGTAATGTAATATTTTAATGTGTAGCTATACATACATAAGTGTACATATTTTAGACTAATCAATTTAATGTACCAGAATATTTTGACTGTGAATGTAAAAATGGAGTAAATATGTTTATACCTAAAATAGGTATAATATAAAAATAAAACAAGGCGCCAGTGCGTCGCCTTTAAGCTAGGATTAAACTGGAAAACCCTATTAGGTATATTATCTGCGTAGATCTGCCTTATTGGTCGCATTTGCGACCACTCGACCAACTAGGCAATTTTTGTAAATAATTATTTATAGGTCTTTATGTAAAATGTAAAAGTCATGCTATATTAATTAAAGAGAATGTTGCCTAACAAGCATATCGTTGTTGTATACTGCGTTTAGTCTCGGTCAGACTTCGTCAATTGGGTAGTTTCCTCGAATCCTCGGTCGAAAATACATTATTTCGACTTCCGTGCAATAAAATATTCAAAATCTTTCATTAATTGTTTCGATGATGAATTTAATTTTCGTGTGTTTCGGCGCATCAGTGTAAAAATATTATGACGCCATAACCCACAATCTCATAAAATTCATAGAACATTAGTTTTTGACATTTCGATAAAAAGTATTGAATTTGACTAGTTGGAAACTATCCTATTTACATATTTTCTAAGACCGAGATATTTTTTTAAAAGACTGTTAAACTTAATCATTGTAAATATTTATTTATTAAATGGAATGTGTTATATGTTTTGTTTTTTATACACTACAATGAAGTCCCCGCTGTTTCTTATTTCTTGGTACTTGTAGAGGGTCCAAATGTCAGTGACGTCATTGAATGGTTTGGGGTCTGTATGGACCCCTTTCTCGTGAGGACCGATGATGATCAGCACGTTGCCGTCGTAATATTTGAGGTAGTCATCAAAAGCTTTTCGATTGTTAAAGTAACAAAAGAGTAGAGCAGCATTTTTGTTTCTCTGAACTAAAGAGATTGTCTCCTTGTCCATTTCCGTAGGTGTGATATGCAGTGGTATGAAGTTTGGCGGGGCGTACTTGCAGCTCCACCACGCCCCGTCTACTTCAATGCCCGAAACTGGCACGCCTGCAAAGTCAGCAACGCAATTGTACTTATATAAATTTTGTTGCACACTATTTATTTTAAAAAAAATATCACAGTTGCATCTAATAGCCAAACTGCGACATGTTAAAAAAAAAACATGATTACTGAATTATACAATATAAAAATTAGGTAAATGTTAAAATAAATGTAGATAAGTTTACCAGTTGCTTGAGTGATCATCCACTCAAGAAGTCCGCTGCCACAGCCAATGCTCACGATCCTGTCACAGCGTAACTCCGCCAAGCAATTCTCAACAAAACTAAAGTTTTCTTCACTAGGGTACACCCACAAGACTTTATTCCTTTCTGGATGATCATGGTACCGAGCCACTATTTCCCTCCATTTATTGTCTTTGTACAAAACTTGTATATCGGCAACTATGTCCATAGTGTAGAATGCGGACGTCAGGAGTAACATTGACTGTGAACTACGAATACAACGGGCTTGCCCGAGCTTACATAACACCCTTCCCTGTGATTTATCTGTTGAACTACTTAGCAGAGATGGATTTAGGGGTTTTTTGCTGTTCTAGACGTAAATAAAGAATGAGAAAGGTCAGTATTTTTCAGCATGTAAACTTGAAGGCAAGTAAGATTGGAGGCATTGCGTAAATTGCATTAATGCAAACTCTATTTTTAGTAAATTTAGTTTTTATGTAAATTCCCTATTTCTTTTTGGAAAATCTATAAAAGACAAAGCGCACAATACATACATATTTCAAAAACCATTATATTACATTACATAACGAAAATGTATATTTTTCCTAAAAGAAACTAACCAAAAATTACCACATAGTCCTAAATACGTCTCTGTCATTTTCCCTAATGCGCTACAAGAAAAAATTGGCTGCAACCCAAGAATATTGTTTCAATTGGCAATACATTCAGGTAGCGATCACAACTGATAAATAACAATAAAACAGACACCATATCGTTTCAATGCATTTATTTGTCTCTAAATTTACGTAAATTACGAATGTTTATATAAAATATAGCAAAATACAGATAGTATAAAATACGCATTCCATGTTAGAGTGACGATCAGTATAATATTAACCTTTTGAGCGCCAGGGTCACAAATACGTGACAAGCGAAAACTGTCCCTGAGCGCCAACGACACAAATATGTGACAAAAACAGCGGTACATTAAAACACGAAATAAACTATTTAAACATTACTTTAATGCCTATTTATTTATATACCTGTAAAATAGAAGGACCAAAATTTATTTATTTCCATAAAACTAATTAAATTGCATTATAAATATTGAGAAATTTTACGTTAAAAAGAAAGAAATAAACTCTGAAAAAAGAATGTCCTCACACGCCAGAGTCATAACTGCGTGACCGCTAGTGATGTAGCGCATGTTGGATAATATCATTATTTCAAATCAAAGATCGATTCGAAACTTTCCTCTGGAATATATTATTTTAGGTATAATTTGGTACTAGGATAAAGCAGCATTAATTTTATAAAACCAGTCTTAAAAATCATTCAATAAGCTACATAGTCAAAAATAAAATTTGGTTGGGTCGAATTTCGATATTCACTAATCCCAACTCAAGCGCATCCCTAACGCAACCCGAATTATCAGTACCCTGTACGCCATGGTCACGACTAGACGACAATATCGTGACGTCACAAGCGCGGCGACCAGAAATTAGTGAAGTGAATGAATAATATTTATGATTAATTTACTTGTGATACCGAGTTCAAGATTTATATTAAGTGACTATTATAATGAGTGGGAATTTAATGACTACGGAAGAACTTCTTCGCATATTAGAAGGAGTCTCAGATGACGAAGAATTTTCGGAAACAGAATCTTTGGACGAATTTGATTTAGAGATTTGCATTGTAGATTTTGTATAATTTTGTTATATTATTCAAAAGATTTATTAGTATAAGACTGATTGGTAATTGTGATAATTATATATAATCGTTAATTGTTTTAATTTGTTACTTTTTATGCCAGGTTTATAGAACTTAATATTTAAAAACATGTATACATAGTACATACTGTATAACATTTTATTAAAATTTTCTATTTTTTCATAGTTTTTATTTACCTTCTTAACCTATTTCAATCATATATTTTTAAGTACCTGTTACATTCGGAATTATAAATCTGATTTAAAAAACGTGTTTCATTTATTATAAAATAATATTGTACTAGAACATCGATAAACGAGATATTACGTTGCCACATCCCTATTTCGGAAGCGAAGTAGTTATTAAAATGGCGGGCCGTCCACGCCATGGTCACAATATGAAGACAGCGGATCAAGAATAGTGTTGTACCTACAGTTATTATATTTAAATATATTGTAGTCTCATATCTGTTATTACGGTATTATACAAGTCTGTAAATAGTGTATAACTATTACTTTAATAGGAAGAAATGTAATGTCGAATTAAATTTCAATGTTATAAAGACATTACATTTCGAAATTAAAGACGAAAATGAAAATAAAATTGATTATCGATGAAGTTTTGGAATCCCTATTTTTTTCGTAGGTATTTGCGGTGAATTTGTGGCCTGGCGTTGAGGGCAAGTTCATGCGTTTTTGCTCTGGCGTTCAAAAGGTTAATGGATGACTAAAGGGCTCGTTATTACATTATGGTACTTAGTAACGCGGCTCGTCCACTTATGTCCTATGTTCCTATCTAGCTATTTTTTAACCGACTTCAAAAAAAGGAGGAGGTTCTCAATTCGACCGTATATATGCTTTTTTTTATATACTTGATGGGCCGACGTTTGATCACTAGCTACACATTGTTTACTTAATTAATTACACATTAAACTATGCTACGGGAAATTTCCTGTAGTATACAATAGTTGATCACAGGCTTAATTTATACAACTGCCTTTGAAATACGAAAATCAGAAATTGGATTATAAAAATTAACAAGAAAATGCACTTTTACAAGAAAATTGAGTCTTAACTAAAAATCACGGGTTAATCACGTAAATACACTGAAAAAGCTCTACTAGTTTCGAGCCACAGAGGGCTCTTCCTCATGAGCAGCGTGCGTATTCGCGGCAATTTCGCACAGCCTACATCGATGTCGTAGGCTGCGCGATTTTTAGTTAATTTAGTATGCCTCACGATAGTTAGTATAAAAATTGAGTATTACCAAATCAATAATGTAATTAACGGATAAATGTTACTTAATTATTATTGCTAGTGAAAAGTATGTATGAAACATACATCACAACCTTAGTTTCGTTTTGATAATATTAATATTGGAGACATTGTTTACACTTTTTGGCGGTAAATTCGAAGCCGCCATGTTTATTGGTTTTTTTTTAAACGGTAGGGCGAAGTGAACGAGTTTATGCAACATGGTACCTCACAATAAATGTTAAACATCAACTTAAAATACGTGAGATCAACTTACATCAGAGATCATGATCTTCAGTCGACATTTTAATAACTAATATTATATATTTCATTTATTTATATTTTGTTCAAAATTCCAGACTCAAAATAACAGATTTTTATCACATAAATACAGTTTTGGCAGACCAATATAAAAATATGAGCATTTTTGATATTATTAAATTAAAACAAAATTTTAATTGCACAAGTTATTACTTATATTTCCATTAAAAAAGTATTATTTAAAGATTTTTCATCAGTTTTATATGCAAAATTGGAAACATTCTTACTTTCTACCCACATTACAATCAGTCTCTTGCCCCATTTCTTCAGCCCAACATTTCCTTTAAAAACAAATCATTATTAAAACCACTATCGAGATCAAACATAAAAAAAAAAAACAATATTATTTGGTCCTCTACCATAAAATACCAATTCATAATCATTTCAATATAAAACAGTTTTGTATAACTTGTTAAAATCTGATTTTATATATATACGGATAATAATTATAATAACTATAGCAAATAATATGTATTGTAGTGTTACCTAACCTAACGCGTCTTGGACGCACTTATAAACTAGTATTAGTAACATTGACTGCCTGCCATTCAGAATAGAACCATTAAACAATTGCAAACACTAAATGTGTTTCAAAAATAAATGTGAAAAAAAGTATTTCATCTCGAATTTTAGTGCTAAAGGTAATTACAGACACATTAAAACATGAATAAGTTTGTTTATCGCTCAAACTTACTATGGGTTACTCGAAAAATAAAAAAAGTAACTCAGTACTAATACATCGCTAAGGAAAAACATGGAAAGAACTCTATGGATAAAATGTCCTTATATCTTAATATGCATTAAATACATATAAAATTGTTGTATACCACCGTAACTGCCTTTCCCGCCAACCCTGCTTCGACTCAGCCTTCATTATATATCTGCAAAAACATTTTTAATTATCATAAATTTCCGTTTGTTAATCTTGCTAAAACGCGACAACGGCTGAACCGATTTGGGTAATTTTGGTCTTGAAATGTTGGTAGAAGTCCAGGGAAGGTTTAAAAGGTGAGAAAAAAATTGTAAGCTGTACGAAATTTACCGGGTCAGCTAGTTTTATAATAAAAATGCTGCTTAGTTGACTACGGCCTTTATTTTTCCAAAGACAGATAATTTTTAACTGAGGAATAACTTTGAATCCTTACTAATATTATAAATCGGAAAGTGAGTTTGTTTGTTTGTTTGTTCCGCCTTAACGCCTAGACCGTAACTACTAGACCGATTGCTTTGAATTTTGCAGACGTAAAGTTAGAAGTCTGGATTAAATAATAGGGTACTTTTTATCCCGGAAAAAATTGATATATCCTAGGAAAAAGAAAAATATTGGTATAGATGGCGCTGTATGTACTGGTATAGATGGCGTTGTATGTCATTTAAAACCAGTCAACGAATTACCTACTTATTGGAAAAATCTAAATAGTGCGATATAACCGAATTCCACACGAGCGGAAAGCTATTTGTTTGTTTGCCTGTCTTAAACGGCAGAACGGAGGTACTAATTTAATTTTTTGATTTTTTAACTGAAGGTAGTTGAACGGATGGATAGTCACATAGGCTACTTTTTATACTTTTGTGATGCGAGCGAAGCCGCGGGTAAAAGCTAGTATTTGATAATTCTTCTATCCTGAAAACTGTCAAATGTCAATTTTATTCTACAGTCAAGAATTAACTGATGATTGTAAAATCGGCCCTTAGTAGTAAATATTGCTAGGTTAGGTGGTTTAACTATCCTGATTATGCATTTAATGGCACGGTTAGAGAACCGTGCCATTAAATGCACTATCAGGATAGTACATGCAGAGGCATGTAATGACACGGTGTTTGATATTAGCGACAAGTGAAGGCACTGCCAATGGACCTCAGCTACGAGTTAATGAGGCATTGATGGTCTTACCTATAGAAACGGATTGCTTCAACTTTCTTCTCCAATGCACTTCAGGCCCAGAATCAACGCTCGGCTCCTCACTATCTTTCTTATCTCTATCTCCATACAGAATCTTCTCGTACAACGTCTTCTTATCCTTAGGTGGAGCACCCAGATCCAAGTTATTTAAATTAGTTTGTTCCTCTAATTCTATCATCTTCCGCACATCTATCGGAGGTAGAGGTATAATGGAAGCTTTTCTGATTTTATGTACATACTCGCAATGCTCAGGGGAATTTGCAACGGTTTTTTCTACACTAGCAGTTTTATTGCCAACGATCACACTCTGCCGCGCATTGTTAGCGACCAAAATGTACGACTTATCTATTTTATTATCTTCATCAGCATTTTCTTGCTTCTTGTCGGTCTCATGCATATGTTTTTGCATCAGTTCCTCTGGTAGAGGTGGCAGTGGGTTCATAATCTCTAGTTTGAACTTCTCGTCCTTTTGGTAGTCATCAAGTTTAGTGGTGTGTCCGTTGGCTTGGATCTGCTTGAGGATGGTCTCGTCGCAATCCACCGCGGTTGCAGGCACGTACTCCGGGTGTGTGTTGCGGATGTGGCGCTCGAGGTTGTCTTTCCTTCTGAAGCGGCGGCTACACACTTTACAGCGGAAGGGTTTGGAATCTGAAACAAATATTAGCATCGTGAGTAAAAAAAGCTTTTCTCGATTGGAAATAAGACGATGCCTAGTGTTTCTGTAACTGTTTATCTATTACGAAATTAAGATATCAATATTTATATACTTTTCCTATTTGTCAGTGTGAATGTCAATGTAGTGTCGTACCTGTATGGACGGCGGCGTGTCGTCGCATGTCCTTCCCGGAGTGGAAGGCCCGCGGACAGCGCGGACACTGGTAGGTGCGGCGCGAGGCGGTGCGGCCCGCCGCGCCCGCGCCCCCGCCCCCGCACCCCGCGCGCACGCACCCGCCCCACCCGCCGCAAGCGCACTTCCTTTCTACGACATACTACCATGCATAAATTCGAACAACACTTTCATCCATTTACTACAAGATATCGGCCTATCTGGAGGTCATTGGGGAGGCCTCTGTTCAGATGATTGACTGCAAACTACTTTAACATGTACCTACCTATTGTATTTTAAATTAATTGTATTTGCATTTTCTATTCTTTAATTCCTTTTTTGCTTGCAGAAATTTTTATTGTAGGTACTATAAATGCAATTTATGTTTATTTCATAATAATTAAGAACTTATAGGTTCGGTTAGACTTCTATCTCTCTTGTGGTAAGCTGTGACGCGGGCGATGAACACGCAGAATTGCCTAGAAGTAACCTATTCAGAAGATACGCAAAATGTACAAGAACACTTAAGTTAATTACAAATTATTATTGCTCTCACGTCAAAATACCCCAATGCTCAATTTTAACTCGCACGTATAGTTCTTTATAATAGGTACGACAGATCTTCCCTATACGAGAGTGATGGCACGACATTTAAGTTCAACTTAAAATTGAGTATACGGGTCTTTCAGTATACGGGTATCAATCTTTGATTACTAAATGCCTGCCACCAGAAAACTATTAAGTTCTTGTTATTGGCTCTTTTAAGAAAGTTATGTTTCTGCCACCGACAGAGGGTGCAAATGGAAACTATAATCGTTTTACTAAGTTTATTATAATTAAAATTACATGATAACTCCTAAAATCTAACTAACCTAAGAGCGAATGCGTTCGATGTTAGAACAACACTGCTTTCTTATCTTAAAATTATTATTTTACTATAAAATTAGTATGAAGGTTTTATTGATACAAGAAAATAACTTAGATGTTGTCTTACCGTGTTTCCGTATATTATGTTTCCTTAGATTAGAACTATCTCGGAACCGAGTCCCGCAGGTAGGGCAGGAGAACGGGCGCTCGTCCGTGTGCGTGAGGCCATGTTTACGTAAAGACGAGAGGTTGTTGAACGCCTTGTTGCATTCGTTGCACGCAAACTTCTTTTCCTCTGTAAATAAAGTTACAAATTAACCTATACTTATACGCGCTAATCTCAGACACTACAAATTTGAATTAAATAATACATTTTGTTAACTAAAAATCGCGAGTTACTCACGTTAATATACTGAGAAAAGCCATACTAGTTTCGAACCACAGAGGGGTTCTTCCTCATGAGCAGCGTGCGCTGTTGACCGTCAGTACATTCGAAATATTATGAGATTAACCCGCGATTATTGGTTAATTTAGTATGTCTCACGATAGTTATTTATTATAAATACAATTTGTTTTAGATAGCCCATTTACCGAGGTTCACCGGTTGCCTCCGCTCTGTTCGGCGCCTATTGATCGTAGCGTGATGTTTTATAGTTAAAATAATGTTTCAAATCGGCCCAGTAGTTCCTGAGATAAGGGCGTTCAAACAAACGAACTCTTTAGCTTTATATAAGATTTGATAGAGATTGTAACGATCTTCCGCAAAGCAGGAACATCAAGAGTAGAATTTGTAATTGGATCATTCAGATATTTATTTTGATAATTTTTCCGATATTGCTTGCCTGCCTCTAGCTGCCATGAACTCATCTAGCTGACAAATTGGCATCAAATTATTATGTAGCAGATACGATGAGCTGTAGGTAATACTCACTAGTATGCTTCAATTTATGTCTCTGCAACTTGGACATCTGGAAGAATCCCTCGCCACAAACATCACAAGAGTACGTGCGCTCATTGCGGTGTACGCGCATGTGGTACTTGTAATGCGACATGGTTGCAAACGTCTGAAACATACATTGGAATTATTTATTTATATTACTACTAGCTTTTACCCACGGCTTCGCTCGCGTCACAAAAGGATAAAAAGTAGCCTATGTGACATATACCAATACACACAGCGCCATCTATACCAATAATTTCGTTTTCCCTCGAGAATAACAATTTTTCCGGGATAAAAAGTACCCTATTATTTAATCCAGACTTCTGCAAAAATTCAAAGCAATCGGTTTAGTAGTTACGGCGGGAAAGTGGAACAAACAAACTCACTTTCCGATTTATAATATTAGTAAGGATTATGACTGCCTCATTGGCCGAGTGGTCGCAAGTGCGACTGCCGGGCAAGAGGTTCGAAGGTTCGATACCCGGGTCGGGCAAAGTATTACTGGGTTTTACAAAAAAATTCACAGTAGTAGCACGGAGTCTAAAATTATGCCCGGTATATGCCACTGTACAATGTAACACCCCCTTTGCACTATTTATGTTATGAGTCCCATGTAATAGGAGGTGAGTCTAGTGCCATACACCGGGCACAATTTTAGACTCTGTGCTACTACAGATAATTAAAAAAATTCAGTAATGCTTTCCCCGATCCGGGAATCGAACCACTCGGCGGACAAGGCAGTGATTGTGTTAGTTATCTACCATATGTCATGTTGTTATTGTCATTTAACACTCAGTCTGAATGCCCTATCTGTAGATTACTATACAATTTTGGCATAAGTTTCATAGTTTCCGTATTTTTTTTTTAGTTTTAGAATTTTGATTAATGCATAATTATATCTTTCATCTATGAATTTATAAAGAAAATTGAATTAAAAATTATTAGAAAACTTCAAGTTGGGATTGCTGCAATGCTTGAAAAAACCTATAAGAATATAGTAATACAGTATTTGTATACATAAATCCTGCAATGCATGTTGTTCCATTTAAGTCAGCGCACTCAGAGCTAATTTTATTTTATTTATTTACTTTGGGTAACCCTTTTGTTTTTGGGAAAGTTTTATAAAGAGGCTTGAGAATTGTCATATTATAAAAGTATCCTTCAGGCTGGTTGATACTACCCTCTTATCTGCTGGTATATGAGATACATAGAAAACACATTGTGTTTTGTGTAGATGTGCATTCCGACATACCATGGGTTAAGCTTCGGTTGTCATATTATTTAGTACTTTAACAAAACCTTACCTATTTGCAATTTAAAAAAGAAAAAGCAAACAAACATTACCTTGTTGCATTCTGGACATTGGTACGGTTTCCGCTGCCCATTGCAGTAAGCATGGTAAGCTACTTGACTAGGAGCATGAAACTTCTTCTTGCACACCGTACATACAAATGTTTTGCCATTCGCATCTTAAATCAAATAAATTAGAAATCAGTGTTTATTTCCATCATCATAATAATTATTATTAGCATCAAGAATTTTATAATAAATTAACAGAAAAGATCACATAATGAACTTGATGAAGTATCTTAAACTTATCGTATCATTTTAAAGTAGATCTAAAAAAGTGATGTGATTCCATATCAAGGATAGTTTCAGTTGCAACTCCCAATGCTTAGTAACCATATCAATAAAACTTTTAACATAAAACCTATGGAGTATCATTACATTGTTTACAAACAAATCAGCATTTTGACATTCCAATCAATATGGCTAATTTTTAAAAACTGTTCATCATCTTACCATTTTCCACTTTAATGTGTGATGTTTCCAGTTTCTTTTTCTTGCAGAACTCATCATAGATCTCACCCTGTATCTCCTTATCCAGTAAATCATAGCAGTTGTCAGTCTCTGGTGGCGGACTATCCTCCGCAAATTCCTCGTCTAAACTCTCGTTCAAAGCTTCATCAACCCTAAGACTCGATTTCTCACTAAGGCAAGCTTGGCACCCAGTCTTCTCATGCAGTAAACAGTTCATACATTTCACATGACCACAACTTTCTGTTACCAGCCGGTTATCAGTCGCATTTACAGGCTTTTCATTGCGGCAATTCGTACAAACTTGCGGGTTCATATTGTAAAAACTCATCAGAGGTTATCCCAGAATTTAAAGTATAGACCAATTTTAGAAAACATTTACATTACAAGAATGACACGAAGAGTTTTATTTAAGTATAAAAATAACATTGCAATAGAACTACAAGCTTAAAAACACATCAAACAATATTTCCTTCATATCGCGAAGTGCAAAGCTAAAAATGCTAATACGTTCGAAAACAAGGAAGTTTTTAAAAACAAAGCTTTATTTACTAAATATATATCAAACTATCCTTGATTAAAAATCAAATTAATTAAAGAAGTTTTATTTTCAGAAATATTATTTATTATAAATACTGAACAATACATCCTTTGATCGAAATATTACGCATTTACGCTGCTAAAGAACTTACTAGTTGATTATAATGGATATTTTTTTTTATTTTGAACGAACCTGACGCTTTTACTTTAGAAGCTGTTATTAGTAGTCTGTGGTGAGCATTGACCGCTAATCAGTTTTTTTTACTATGCCCAAGTCCATAGACTACGCAATAGGGTTGGAAAGGGAATGGGCTACGCAATAGGGATGGGAAGGTCAAGGCTAGGCCTCTTTAAGGCCCTAGCTAGGACTTTAAGTGAAAAATGTCCTAACAGGGATCGTTGTGAATGGTAAAACAATGACCGAAATTTTTCTAATGAACAATACAACGTCCTTATATATCTAATATATCTATATCTAAGGACGTTGTTTTGGTTTAAATCTTTACTATCGAGGTTCGATTCACTTGTCATTTTAAGGGTATTTGAAATTTGTACGTTTACTTCATGGGCCATTTACTTGGCAAAAAACTTTGATACTCTCCTTGCACCTTGTTCTTTGCTAGTTAGAAGTAGGGAGGCAAGGGAAAAGAGAGCTTTCAATCGTTTTTCCGGTTTTTCATTTCATGTAATCAAAACAAATATGCTATGTTTATTTAGCAGCATTATTTTTGTATTAATCTCAAAAATTTTTAAGGTACTTAATAATAATGGTTTGATAAGCATGCATTATCATGCATTCCTATAATTGTCGCTTTTAGTGCACAGATTCGATTTGCTCACTGGCTTTGCAACGCAACACAGCGTTATGCTGAAGTTAGTAATCTGTGGAATCTTGCAGTTGTCATTTCGTTATAATTTCGTTTCGTAGGTACGCCTTGGAGAGTTTTTTCCTAAAAATAAATAGTTAATATAAAATAAATATATACGAAAAATGGTAAGTTTCCAGAAGTATACATTTGTCTGTAACTGTAATCCAAGAATTGTGTAATCAGTATTAAATTGACGTGCGATTTTCGCTTGAAAGATGTAACCTCAAAAATGGAATTTGTTTTCAGGATGTCTTTCTCATGATTAGGCGAAAAAAATTAACCATCTTCACTGACGCGAAGGACACGACAACGGTTTTAGAACTGAAGAAAATGATAGAAGGTGGGTGCGTTTATCGCGATATGAGAAAATTCTATTTATAGTCGGGATACAATGTCGGGCGCGCAGCGCAGCTTTTGTTGTTAAGCCTTGTGTTATTCTTCATTGTTCGTGAATGTTTAATGTGCTGGGAATGTACTCAATTGCGACATTTTTTCCAGTGGAAAATATGACTCGTTTTATTTTCCAGGTGTGTTGCTAAAACAAGCATTATGTGTATGTTTATGACCTAATAAAAAAAGTGTTAGCATAATTCACTGGCAGTAATTATGGAATAAATACTCGGAGAAAGTGTATACTGTTTCCTAGGAAGTGCACTATTGTTGTGTGTTTAGACTTTGGACAGTGATTACAGTGTCAGTGTAATCAATATAAAGCAAGATAACTAAGCCACTCTCAATAAACATAATGGAGAATGATGAAAGCACAGCAAAAAGATATATTGTTTCTGTTTGGATCTTTTTTCTCTCTACTTTTGACTATGATAACATTCCTAATAATAATAGCCAACTCTTCTAAAGATAACCAACAATGATAGTTTAATGGGTTATCATACAAAAAGGAACTGAAAGAAACTAAAGGACATATTTTATCAATATTGCAGTAAAAATATCATAAAAGGCTTGTAGCCTTGTATGATTTCATCAAAACTATACTTAAAATGTTTTTAATTTAGCTACAAGCATAATTGGATAGAAAGAAACTATTTCAGATGTAGTAATCACAAGAATTGGAGCTGCATTGCCAAACGAGTGCTATAAAAGATATGACCGACATTACATCGCCAGCATTATGATGTTATTAGTACATTACATTATTGCTCTAAATAACTAGTACACATTGTACAGAAGGTTTATGCTGTTATTTGGTGTTATATTACTTGATTTTTTAAAACATTGGTCAATGGAATTAGAAAGGGCATAGAATATTCACTTAAAAAAATCTAAACTGTATATAATGTGTCTTTAGGTGGAGAGTTTCCCAAAGCTACTATAGAAAATGTAGCATGAATTAGTCCTGAATGTAAATTATAATAAGTACAATTACATCATAATTATCCATTATTGTATCATCACCAAAAATATTAATGATTTTGTTATCTAAATCACCAGGTATCTTGAAAGTGACACCACAAAGTCAGATGCTGTTCAACAAGGACAGTCAGCTGATGGACGATGAGAAGACCCTTGCTGAATATGGCCTGACATCGGCTACGGCTAAGGCCCAGAGTCCTGCACCAATTGGATTGGCTTTAAGGTATACACAATTTTTCAATATCATCATCATTACGTATTAGCCAGAAGACTTAACTGTTTGTGTTATCAGTCCTACATTTTAAAGACTACCGTATTCTTTATAGGCTCAAAAAACTGTTCTCATACACCAGTAACAAATTTTGATTTTGATGTTTTAATTAAAATACTTAACATGCTAACCGTGCCTACCTTCAGCAGTGTCCTGTCGGCAGTCAAAGGCTTAAAGGAACTTATCTGATTTAGGGGTTGAACTCAATATCTATTATACTCAACAAGATCATAGTAAAATATGATGCTGAAGAATGTTACTAAATAAAGTAGCATTTCAATAAAGGTTCTATTTAGGTTCAAGTAAAAACAAATTGTCATCACCAATTAGCAGCTGCCTGAAGCATTTACATAAAAGTATGACTTGCTAGAATAGGTTTGGATAGCTCACTGTGTAATTGAAATGTTGTGTGAAGGTCAATCACTTATAACAATGCCTAGTCCAACCTTTATTTACCCAGAATATTTTTGACAGTAAATGGGTAGAGACAGTATTACTCTATGCAGTGGCGTAACTACAGGGTGGCAAGTCAGCAAGGTCACGGGTCCCCAGCTGGAACGGGGTTCTGTTCTAAGGTTTTTATCTGAATTTCTTTGTTTTTTGTCGGGCATGGGGCCCATTAACCTCTTATCTGCCTATGAGACATAATAGAAAACACGCTCCCGGCATATCATGGGTTAAATGAATTTGCCACGAGTCTCGAACGGTATATAGTTACGCCACTATTATTATATTATATGCTCTGAAAAGATATGCAGAAGAGTAAGTCAAAGAGACACTGTGATTGGACGAGTTTGACATTGTCCCAATAAGGCCATCTAGTGTGTAAAAAACAAATATGTAAAGTCGAGTGATTCGATGCTGACAATCGATCCCTGGTTTATTTTATAATAATAATTAGCGAACAATGCTGGACAATCAAGGCAAATTAAACCGGTGCCTAGAAGTGAAATGAGACAGAAACAGTCGAGTCTGTACAGAAGCTGTTAAAAATGAACAACAAATTACGTCTAATAATAAACATGTAGAGGTGAAATAATTTTGGCTTAAAAAATGGGTTTGTATTTGTCGCGTTCGATATTTAATTTAACAATATTACTGAGGCATTAGTACGAGTTTGTTTTATTGGCTGGTTCCAATGAACCAACCAATGACAGCGCCGGACGCGGTCTCATTTCGAATACTCTAAACCTAAAACAAACTAACAACAAACTAAGCCCTTTGAAAAGATGTCTGTAAGTAAAAAAACAGTTGTCAAACTCCAGAACTGAAGTTATGACAAACCTTTTTTTTTAAACGCCCCACACTAATATTTTCTCGGGTGTCGTAGGTGCGTTTACAAACATGGGTACAAGTTCACATACACATGACACCCAGACCCGGGACAACAATCTGTGGATCACACAAAGAGTTGATCCGTGCGAGAATCGAACCCGCGACACAATTTTACAATAATTTTATTCTTCATAGCGTTACTTTACAAGTACATATTAGATGTCAGTGCAAAGTCTCATGCACTTAAAACTAGGTGTGACCCTGCAGTGTACGGTAAATAAATGAAATGACATTGGTTTTATTGCCTTGACACCATATCGATTTCGAGCCAACACTGCACCACTCCACATATTACTCCATGACCTGAACACGCCATGTAATGAAAGTGTTACCTAGAATGATTCCATTGCATTTTTCACACACATAGGTAGTTAGGGCTTAGCACGAATGTCATTACACTTTGCGTCGCGATAATCGCTCTTATTGCTGAGCCATTAGGTAGCAGTTTTTCAACTCAGTGAAGTTTAATGTCTTTGCTCGTTAACAATATTAAATGCTTAGATAATTATTATTATATCTTAGGTTTGATATTAGTTCACTGATTAGTAATTTCATGATATTTTTGTTTTGACTAAGCAAGGTACTTAAACCATTCGTTATGACAAAAGTGCTAACTGAAAAATAACATTACATTATATAATCACGCCGTTTATGCCCGAAGGGGTAGGCAGAGGTGTACATAACGGCACTTAACGCCACTATACAATGTAACACCCACTTTTAATTTATGAGTTCCATGTAATAGGGGGTGTGCCTATTGCCATATACCGGGCACATTTCCGGTCTCCGTGCTACTACTGAGAAATTTTAACCTGAGACCCCTTATCCGACAGTCGCACTTGCGACCACTCGGCCAACGAGGCAGTCAATTGTACTGAATATAGTTAAATAATATTTGAAATATACATAAAAGTTATCAAGAACGCAATTTACTGTCCAAAACCGCTGCGGCTCACATGAATCGTACAGTTATAATAATATTAAAATAGTGTCAGCGTCATGGATTGTGATTCGTTGCTATGCTACAAATTTACAATAGCATTAATTGTTTTATAATTACCTCAAACACTTTGGCCGAAACTTGACTGTTGACAGTGTTGACAAACGAATTCCCTGTGTTCGGGACTTCGGGTCATATAAAGACCTATTAATGACCTGACGATTTCTAAATATTTATTTATTTATTTAGTTATATTTATTTAGTTATAAGTTCGTCCTCATTACACAAGACTCATCTAAACCTGGACTTACTTTTAGTTATTTAAATTACTTAATTATAGTCTGATGAGTGAGATCACTTAGGACTATTTACCACGACACCGATTTGTACCTGGTACATAGCAATAGGGTAGCATTAATATTGTTTGGACTAACAGTGTAGCTGATAAAACACACATTTCCTGTCTATGACCTAATAACACAACATAATATTTTAACTGACTTACAATAAACATACTGATAGATTATATAATACTAGCTTCTACCCGTGGATTCGTCCGCGTTTCTGTGGGATAAAAAGTAGCCTTTTTTTATGGCATAAGCCAGTAAACGAGCAGACGGATCACCTAATGGTAAGCAATCAGCGTCGCCCATGGACACCTAGAACAACAGAGGCGTTACAAGTGCGTTACCGGCTTTTTGGGGATTAGGAGTTTGAGGATCCATGGGGATTCAGGGATTGGGGAGATTGGGGAAGGGGAGGGTAATTGGGCCTCCAACCTCAATCACACGACGAAACAACGCAAGCGTTGCTTCACGTCGGCTTTCTGTGAGGCCGTGGTATCACTCCGGTCAAGCCGGCCCATTCGTGAAAAAGCATGGCTCTCCCACACTTGTTTTTATTTTCCCTATGTGTTTTTCCAGATCATAAATCTATCCCTGTTTCAAATTTCATCTCGATCCCCTCAGCCGTTTTGACGCGATTGAGTAACAAACATACAAACAAACAGAAGCTCACAAACTTTTTTACGTTTATAATATTAGTAAGATAAGATTATGGTAAAATGTATTTTTTTGCTTATATTTGTACAGGAAGGAAAATGGCGAGTTTGAACCTCTGGATCTGACTCCTTACTCTTCTCCCCCGGACCTGCCCGACGTGATGAAGTCACAGGAGACCAATGGCCAGGAACAAGTATGTACTCACTTATTACCACCACGTGAGAATCATCAGCCATTCATGATAAAATCTTAACAAATTTAAACAGTAAAGTGTCTGGTTTTAATTACATTAATAAACAAAGTCTTAACCCTTTAACCGCAAAGTTTTACCACCCTTGACTACCTCCAGCGCCATGTTATTGAAATAGTGAGGTTTTATTCACATAAATGTAAAAGATCTTCAATAACCTTAAACTAAAATTAAAACAATAAATGAAAATATTGAACCCTTTAACCGCCAAATATTGCTTCCCTTACCTTTAGCGCAACGTTCCTTTGTAATAGTGTTGGGAATACCACATATCGATGCATAATTTGTTAACAAAAATAAATGTCTAATGTGTCAAATGTTTTATTTACTTATTCATAAACATAACATAACATCACGCCTTTTATCCTCGAAGGGGTAGGCAGAGGTGCACATTATACCACTGTACAATGTAACACCCACTTTTCACTATTTATGATATGAGTCCCATGTAATAGGGGGTGAGCCTATTGCCATATACCGGGCACAGTTCCAGACTCCGTGCTACTACTGAGATTTTTTTTAAAACCCAGTAATACTTTGCCCGACCCGGGAATCGAACCCGAGACTCCTTGCTCGGCAGTCGCAATTGCGACCACTCGGCCAACGAGGCTGTTACTTATTCATCTTACATTATTAGTCTTCAATCAATTATTTAACTACCTAACTACTACTATATTTAGGTGCGTGTGCTTGTACAGTATTTTTTTGTTGAATTAAACATTTAATGATGGTTTCACATCGTTACAACTATCCTCATTTGGTTGGTAATCCATTATTCGATTAAAAAGTATTTAATAGGTTGCTGTGTGTGTAGGTAACAGTAACTGCCTGCACTAATGACATTCCATATTATCGATCTTTCTATTTTGTATCTTAACTAAAGGAATACGAGTCGTAGTTGTGGTAAATAATAAAAACGTATTTTAACTATAAATATAAATTTATTTCGCTGTTAGAAAACGCGGCAACCTGAGTTAACAACACAGAGACAACGAGAGAGAACACAATAGTGGCGCCATAGACAAAAATGAAATGTTTTGGTTGCGTTCACCATTCAAATTATTTTAAACTAACATATTTTGTTGCATTTTAAACTACATATTTTTACAGATACTTGTACTAAAGTAACAATGGTTATTTTGTAAAGAAAGTACCACACTATTCAAATGGTTATAATAATTTCTTTCAATATTGCCTTGATTATTCTTTGATAAACAATTAATTATATTTTTAACTAGCTGTTGCCCGCGACTTCGTCCGTGTAGAATATGATTCGATTCATGTTTTCTCCCATAGGAGCATTGAATCGGAATACAAATTCCTATCACCTATGTCAGCCCATACCCTGCCTGTATACCAAATTTCATCAAAATCCGTTCAGGTTATTTAGCTGAACTAATTTGAATGAATTTTTGTTTATACATTCAAGTGGATATGCAGGACAACGTCTGTTGGGTCCGCTAGTACATTTATAATATAAGTGTGATTCACTCATCCCCTGATCTCGTAAAATTACGTGATTGACTATACAGGGATCGAGTCGTTCAGTCTGCGGTTCAAATATTTCTAAATTCAAAGTATTTATCATTAGAAAAATTGAAAACTATCTATATCAATAAATATACGTCCTAAATCTTTAAATTATCTAAGGAGAATGCCCAAAAACCCCAGAGTCAATTAAAATAATTTATGAATAATATAATAGACCAAGTTTAAGGTCGGAAATACGCTGTGCGTTTTGGCCGAAACCTAATTTACTATACGATACCATCACACCATAATAACTGAACGGGCCAGCAACGTGCAGCATATTACGACTTTGTATAAGAGAGAGATATAACTTGTTACTAATAAAAGAGATAAAGTAATATTACTTCAGTAACTAGTGGTTTAACGGTAACGGCGCTTAAAGGGTTAAACTAATTTGTTACTAAACAAAGTTTTATTTTGCCATTGGTTTAAATACTGAATCTATCTTTCTAACTTTGTTCTGATTTGGATAAGCTTTTGAACATTTTTATATTAAAAAAGTTCAAGCGTTGAAGTGGACAGTATTATAATGAATATTCCAATGTTCCAGATGGATCAACACTAAACGACTCTGCTGTGGTTTGGACGAAACTGATGCGAGCACCAACTTGGCATCACAACGATTTTGTAATATACCTAGTTCATTCGACTGAACTAACTCGCTCGGGGGCTCCACCATCGCCCGCGAGCGACAACTTAATTATATTTTTTTGCATATAACATATTTTGTTATTAATTTATCGATCATTTTGCTCGATTTTAACATATTCTGTTACGTCTACACGTTTCTTTGTAGTATTTTTGTGATGCTTTGTACGAAGGGAGTGTAGCTTTTTGTAGTTTATTGCGAAACTTCAACCACGACTGCTCAGTGGTTACACATTTGTAAGTGGTTCATACTAGTTTTGTTACATATAGATGTTGAGGTGACCTCTGCGCCGCCGGCCGCACTGTGCTGCCATCTGTTGGCACTCTGCGGCGACAGAGTCATTCAGGGATGTATCGGTAGTCGAGTATTAGTCAACTAGTCTACATTATATCCAACGTTTACAACTTGAAGCGCATGGAATACCTATTACAGGATTACGAATGAATTACATCGATTAAGTTAGCTCAATTGAAACCTAGGTTTTAGTGCTAATAGTATTTATTTTAACTATAGTTGGTGTAACATATGGCAGCCGGTACATCTCTACCGAATACACACGAGAATAGAACCTCGCGCGGTGCGGACATATACTTATTGGCACAATTGATATTAATCATTCATCATCTATTGTGGCTTCGTTAGACTACCTAGGCCATGACGTCACACCATTTGAACTTATAGCTGGAAATATAAAATGAAATGGTATCTCAATTATTGAAATGAATGTTAGAAAGTTTGTGCCTATAATTGATCGCACTTAACTAGTTGATAAATGTTTAAACGATCTATGTTACTAACTCCGCGACACTTTGATTTTAAAGCTTGACGCTTCAACTTGTACCGTTTTGTCATATATTCGAGGGTACCCTAATATTAAAGTCATCGTTCACGATAGCATTGTGTAGGGTCGTCGGTGTGGGAGTGTGTTTACTTGCAGCGCCGTGGCATATAAACTATATTTTGATTAATGTTGCAATTGTATTGCTAGATTACTGTAAGCTTACGTTACCACGCGTGCTACAAATAAACATATTCTATTGTCTTTTTAATAAGCAGTTTGTTTGAAGCATAAAGTAATACTGAGAAACTCGCTGCTGCGCTCGAAGCAAACTGATCTCGTGACATCTGATTTTGTATGTGGATTTTATAATTTTTAATTTTATTACACAGTAATGCAAGTTGTGACGGCTATATTTATTTCTGCTAGGTTTCTATTAGTTTCGGAATACTAAGGCAACATGAACTGTTGGTCATTGAGGTTGGATCCGATGTCGCCAACGTTCTGGTGGATGCGACAGCGCTGGTGGCAGTGGCACGGCTTGTCCCACCGTCCCACGCTCTCGCACAGTTTGTCAGTGTTACTTTAGTTTCGGTCACGTTCATGTGTACACATTATAAATATGATTTTAAATAAAATTAATGATACGGTATTTAACTGAGATAGTATAGAATGGACTATAGATAGTAGCTAATTTAATAGGGGTAAAATAGGGGCTTTTTATATTTCATAATTACAAAAATAATCTTCGTTTGTCTGCAACATTCTTTATTGTGATTTATATTAAAAAAATAACGCATCGCAAATGAATTTGAATGTTTCTAGTTCCTCTCAATGAAACAATGTTTTCTCTATTTTTTATGTAATTTACTATTGCACCTTTATTAATGTAAGATATTTTGTATATTTTGGTTGGGGTTCATCCATTATATACGGCGTCATCGCTGCCGGTGCAGCTCGCGACACGCCCACACGTCTGCTCGTGCGAGCGTGTCCGTGGCCCACTGACAGACGAGCCGCTTTCGGTGCATAGCTAGATAATAACATACTAAAAATTTTGTGAGTCAGACTTGCTACCAAATACACTTTCTTTTTTAAATTCATACCCAAAAATAGGATAGTTGGTGGGTAACAATATTGCACCTAATTGCACTTAAAGTAAGATAGAGAATTCAAAACCATTCTTATGTGATTCAGAACCACTACCATGAGTTTACTTGAGTATTTACGTGTCGTGATAAGTCAATGTTTTGTACCATATGCTTTCTCTCTATCGAATTTGTAGTGTGCGAGTAAACCGTGGTAGTGGGGATATAGTTGGTGAACTAGTCGAGTTCAAGGTGTATGAAACTATAGTGTGGTTAGCTGTTACGTCTCATATTACTCAACTTTGTTTACTGTGCTGGTACTAACCTTGCAATGTTACGTACTCAGCAAGAACACATTTGAAATTATGTATTTATTCATTTAACATTTAAGCTATTGTAATCTAAGGTCTCAAAACGGAGAGGTTTTGTAAACCAAGTACTAAGTAAATAATTGAACAAAACCGCTTGAAATACATAATGAGACTTAGACAAAGAATACCTAGTGTAGTTTCAAGAACCCACAGATGAACCAGCAGGAAATAAAGCTGTTTTGATTTGTTGTGACGAGTTTTATTTATACCTATTTCCTTGTTTTTAAATCCTTGGCCATTGTTCAAATGATGTCATCAATCTCATGAATCTAAGATGTTGAATAAGTTTGATAAACTATCTGCCTATATTAAAAAAGGTGAAAAATGTGTGTGTTTTAACGTGATAATATCCTAATCCTGACCTGACCCGACTAATTGAACAATTCTTTTTATGTTGGATAGGTTTTTTGTCATGGCTGTTAGCTATAAAACCGAGCGGTAGGCGCCGAGCAGCGGGTGAAACCGCACCGTAATAAAAAGTAGTTACAATAGTAGAAATAAATAGGTATGTATTTTTATAAAAATAATAATTGCTGTGCAACTTAACAATTACTGTAAAGTTGCCTGTTCTTATGTCAGGGTCAGCTACGTTAAAATATAGTACATATACTACATTTAAAAAACCTACTTCAAACCCCTCTCTTTTTAAGTTCGGTTAGTTATTATACTAAAATGTTCTAAGTGTAACACACTTTTCTGAAAACCGCATCAAAATCGGTTCAGTCAATCGCGCACAAACATGCACATAAGTACATACCGGTCTAATGTAAAAACAGCTTTTGTTAGTTTTTCGCGCGCTGATTGCTTACCATCAGGTGATCCGTCTGCTCGTTTACCGGCTTATGCTATATTAAAGTTTGAAAAACAAAACCTGGCTTAGTTTCAATTTTCCCGCCACATCATGACGTTTTTACCGACATATAACATAACATCACGCCTTTTATCTCTTAAGGGGTAGGTAGAGGTGCACATTATATCACTGTACAATGTAACACCCACTTTTCACTATTTATGTTATGAGTCCCATGTAATAGGGGGTGAGCCTATTGCCATATACCGGGCACAATTCCAGACTCCGAGCTACTACTGAGAATATTTACCGATTTAAAAAAATTTACCGACTTAAAAAATAACGACGATGTATTGGCTGATTGTTTTACTCCGCCATTTGTTAACCGTTTTCTACTTTTTGATATTTTTTTTATTTTTCATTTCCGATTTCTTGTTTTGTTTTTGTCTACTGCTAAACATTGCGTTTCAAAACGGAGGGACACATAAATGTCATTGTCAAAAACTTCATGCATGTCCTAACCTAACCTCAAAAGTAAACAAAATCTCGTGGATATTATTGGATAGAGTGAGGGAACACTAGACAAAAAATATTTTTACTCAATAAAGTGACTTAAAATTATATTAATATTTATTTACATCAGTTTATTAAGTACTTACAATGGGTAAACGTAAAGGAAAGTGTGTAAAGAAGAATCCGTCTTCTAAAGAAGCTCTGGAGCCAGAGCATTTAGTAAAGGCTCCTCATTCCTTTGTAATTCATCGAGGACAGTGCAGCAAGGACCTCATCGACCTCATGAAGGATTTCAGAAAGCTAATGGAACCGTTTACAGCATCACAACTAAAGGTTAGATTTTGTTGTGAAATTTTGTGAATTGTGCATATTATTACGTCGTTCTGTAAAAGTTTTGTATAAAAAACGATTGTCAGACCATATATTGACATCATCAACAGTTGTAGTATATTAGAAAGCACTTAAAACTAAGTAAAGTCATGTTTATATAGTGATATAAACATGACTTTCATTATGAGATTAAGTGTAATCTGCTCAATATTTCATAATGTTGCTTCAGTTGAATTGAATTCTATTTGAAATGTGTGCTTTGATTGTATCACTAATTAAAGTTACTTTAAGACTGGCCTATCTCTATTTATGTTATGAGTCCTATGTAATAGCCCGACCCGAGAATCGAATCAAGGCCCTTTGTCTGGCAGTCGCACTTGTGACTACTCGGCCAATGAAGCAGTCGAGGTTTAGCAATGATCTTGTTTAATGAAACCTAGCAAACAAACAAGCATAGCAAGAGAAACAACATACCTCTGTGAATTAATGAGTCTGTTTCAATTATTGTACATACATACACAATATCATAGGAAAAGTAAAACATTAAAAACTTTTTATTTTTCAGGAAAGAAAAAAGAACACAATAAAAGATTTTGTGTCAGTATCAGGGTACCTGCATGTCTCCCACATGATGGTGTTCACAGAGACGGACATTGGCTCGTACATGCGCATGGCGAGGCTGCCTCGTGGACCTACACTCACGTTCCGGATACATAGTGTAAGCAACTACAGTATACACCATAATTATTTTTTTCTTCATTCAAATTTTACTTTAATCTAATCATAATCACATCTTTCATTTAAAATTTCTTGTAATAAGCAAATGACGGAAAATAGTGGAGATAAATATCAGAGATTTTATTTTTTAATAGACAATAATAAATTGTAGGTGTTTCAGAAGTTAACATGTCAGAGGCGAGGTAATAGTTAAGCATTAGATACTGGATACCATGCAATTATTGACAGTTAAAACAAACTAACCCTTTTCACTTCCTATCAATAATAACCCCTTTTTTATCGCGATGGAAATCCTCATAGACTTCTTAATCTTCTTATAATATTATTTGTTTGTATCCACAGTACACTCTAGCCCGCGATGTGATATCATCAATGCGGAAACAGTATGTGATGATGCGCGCCTTCCAAAACGCTCCACTTATTGTGTTGAACAGCTTCTCTGGGGAGGGTATGCACATGAAACTCATGGCCACCATGTTCCAGAACATATTCCCCACCATAAATATTACGACAGTAAGTATAACCTTTTTCAGATGTACTACTGAAATGGTAAACAAACTTATGGACCAGTCAGATTGAGAGTTATTACCAAAGCTTTTTAGGGTTCGATAAAATGAAAAAAAAAAATACAACACTAGTGGCTCCGTTTCTTTACTAAGTATAGTATCGAAATTACTGTACATTGAATTATTTGTAACTAGAATAATAGTTTACGACTTTAGGTATTACGTGTGTATTTTTCAACTAATTCAAATATTGTTAACTACAAATCCCGGGTCACTCACGTGAATGTACTGAAAAAAGCTCTACTAGTTTCGAGCCACAGAGGGGCTATTTCTCATGAGCAGCGTCCAAGGACGCGGCGATGTCGCGCAGCCTACATAGATTAAACACGATACTTATTATAAAAACAATTCAAATATATTTAATTTCAGGTAAAACTAAAGAACATTCGGCGTTGCGTACTAATGAACTACAATCCTTCTACAAAACTTGTTGAAATGCGACACTACGCCATCCGAGCTACTCCCGTTGGACTCAATAAAGGAACTAAAAAGGTATTTTAATTTATCTTCGCACATAATCACAAATACCGCACTGGGATATTGTTATTAAAATATTGGGTCGTTTTGCAATTCTTCTACTCCAGCAATGAACAATATTGCCTGTTGACTGTTGAGCATGTTTTTCAACATTCTTCTTCTAAATTTAATATTCTATTTTTTTTTCAATTTACAGATGGTGCAAGGCAAAATTCCCAACTTAAATCGTTGTAAGGATATGTCGGAATTTTTCGACAAGTGAGTATTGCATTTTTTTAAAGTAATTGTTTTATTTTGTTTTAATAGGGCCTACTAATATGTATTACTTCCTTGACTTATTGTTCTCATTTATGACTTTATTTTCCAGAGCTGGTATGTTATCAGAAAGTGAATTCGAGGACGATCCAAACTCGCAGGTGGTGCTGCCACAGAACTTGGCGTCGAGAGGAGCTGCCGCGGAGTCCAAGTCCGCCATCAGACTGTTCGAACTAGGTCCTAGGATATCTTTCCAACTTGTCAAGGTTCGACCACTCCACTAACAAGGCAATGTAGTTGTAAATGTTACTAAATTTTTATCCAAAATTCATATTAAACTTGTTTATTCAGGTAGAAGATGGTTTAATGGATGGTGAGGTACTATACCATAACCTTGTAGAGAAGACAGAAGAAGAGAAGGCCTTGATCAAAAAGAGGAGAGAGGAAAAGAGGTAAGTTATATAAACATACATTTGTTTCATGCAGTTTTTTTTTTAATATTGATGTTATTAAGTAAGTAAAAAATGCTGTACCTACATTACCGCCTCAACATGGCGAACATAACTAAATTTCATCATGCTAAGTTTTCTGTATTTTGTTATCAGTAATATGTAACTGCGACTACGATAAAGGTATCGTATAAAATACACTAAAATAAGTCATTCCTTACTTACTAATTTTACTATTTCAGACGACTGAAAGAGAAACGAAAGGCACAACAAGAGGAGAACGTCAAAAGGAAAGAGGAAGAGAAGGAATCTCTCAAACAGAAGGCGCTGGAGGGCATGAAGAAGAAGAAAGAAATGACTGAAAGTCAGAGGTCAGTCACTTTCTTATATTTATTTTGTCACCAGTACCAGCTGCAGCGAAATTAAGTTATCTTGTTCTTTGAGAGTTGGACCTAATAAAGTTGTGTAGTTAAGGAATGAGTTTAAAAGGAAAATGGTTATGAGAGTGTCTAAAGACTTTAATAGTTTTATATTATACTAGCTACTTCCACGCGGCTTTACAGGCTCTGCTCAGCTCCTATTGGTCGTAACGTGATGTTTTATAGCCTATAGCCATCCTCGATAAATGCGCTATCTAACACAAAAAGAATTATTCAAAGCAGACTTGCAGTTACGGAGATTAGCGCGTTCAAAAAAACAAACTTCCGCTTTATATAACAGTATAAGATTGTAGATTGTACTTTTATTTCAACACAGGTTGCTCCCACTGTGATTTTCAGACCGGATGATTGGAAATCTATTTTTGTTTAGTAACCTTTATTACAATGCGTATTTTTGGTTTTGCAATCCTCCAGGTTGATGGAACTGGCGAATGCAGAGTCCCAGCACGCCGACATGGAGCAGGATGACGAGGACGATGACGCTGATTACTACAGACAGGAAGTCGGCGTCGAACCAGAGAAAGGTACATTCAATACTCATTCACTGGTTGAAAATAGATCGATTCGTATAGGTTTTCGGATTATGTTAAACTAGCGACACGCCCCGGCTTCGCACGGGTGCAATGCTTATGTAAATATACCTACTACGGAATGTCCTTATACAAAACATTCACAGCTTTTTTGTCATTAGACAATTAAGGTGGACAATACTGTAGTACATTATTTTGGTCTATATCGTAGGGTTCAGCCAGCGTTTGCATTATAAGCGCAAAAGCGTGCTTATTTACGACATCACATTAGAAACCTCTAAATTTATCAGTGTTTCTCTACTATATTATGCATGTATTATACATATAAACATTCCTTAAGAAATCTATTAAAAAAAACTGCATCAGAATCCGTTGCGTAGTTTTAAAGATCTAAGCATACATAGGGACAGACAGACGGCGGATAGCGACTTTGTTTTATACTATGTACTGATAGTCATTTTGGTTGCTTTGCAAAATACCCTATGTGGGATTTTTTTATATCGTAGCACAGGTTATCGTATTAGCTGACAGGGTACCATATTATGTTTAGCATGACCTTTAACTATATTTTTATTTCTAGACCTCTTCACACGTGACACAAGTAAAAAACGGAGAAGTGACGAAGAAGGACCTCGAGGATTCAAAAAGATGAGATTAGATAATAAAATAAAGAAAAAGTTCCATAAAAGTCAAGAAATAAACAATCAGAAACAAGATGGTAGAAACTTCAGAGGAAACCAAAAAGACGGCAGAAACTTCCACGGCAATAAGGCAGGCAAGAAGTTCCAAAATGATAAGCCAGACGGCAGGAAGTTCCAGCATGATAAGTCAGGCGGTAGGAAGTTCCAGCATGATAAGCCAGGCGGCAGGAAGTTCCAGAACGACAAGAAAGGAGGTAGGAAGTTCCAGAGAGATGGAAATGATGGACAAAAACCTTTTAACAAACAGAAAAAAGTATTTGGAGGCAAAGTAAATAAGTCTGGAAAAGGAGGTTTTAGTAAAGGCAAAGGGAAAAAAGGAAGGAAATAAACATCTAACCAAATAGGTTTAAGTATTGTGTATTTAAATAAATTACAAAATATTGTTTGTAAAAATCAAATGTTTTATTGTAAACCTTGATTTATGAATTACATAATTAGGTACAAAAGGCACTTAAATCTAAAGATTATGTAACAGTAACTTGACAACGATTGCGATAATACAAAATAATTGTTATAATTACAGGCGGGAACAGTATTTCGTGATGATCATAGCATATTGGAACTATTTACGATATAGGTACAAAATTATAAACTGGGTTGTAGAACTTATATGATGAAGATTATATAAACCTGATTTAAAGTTAAACTAAAGTAAGTAGTAACACATAGATCGTAAATTGAACTGTACACACAACTAGTGAAATATCTATTGAATATAATAATATAACACACAGATATAAGGCAATATTTTGTGCACATTATGTTTAAACAACTGCAAACTTCACTAGCCATTATAAATTTGAATCAAAAACTGATGGAAAACCTACACAAATTGAAACAAAACAGTTCAAACATTATTATTGTTAACAACACCACCTGCGCCTGCGCGAACGCATCATAAACTTAACAATTTTAAGGTTTATACTACTAGCGAGCTTAGCTACAGATCTTACATCTCCTAGTATGATCCAGCACGAATGATAACCATATTTTGACGTTTTTTAAACGCAAGTTTGCGTATGTGTATTTTCTCATTTAAATATTAATACAACTCCCTTTGCTAATACTTATGTTTACTTACTGCAAAGTAGACATGATTAAAACGGATGATGGCAATAACCGTAAAATAATGAGAAAATAAAATACAGTACCGAATGAGATGTTATGATGGTGCTAATCTAGTTAGGTCTTTTTGTCTAATCACTAGCTGTCAAGAATTGAACGTTCAATGATGTAACTCTACCTAATACGCTATTGGACGAAGAACGAGAGCTTCATACTAGCACCATCGGGTGAGAAAAAATACAGCCTCTATTCTTAGGGTCAACACGTAAAAATCTGGCCATGGTTCGTCTCTGGTAACATACATATCCTTTAGATCAAGAAGACGATATCATCGGCCATCATCACTTGGTTGTCCTGTGTCATCTTGTCTAGCGCGGCCAGTATCTCAGCATCATCGAACGTCTCGTGCGAGTACTTGTCATTGACGTATGACGTCACGCGGGATAAAGGTAGAGAGTTCGCTCGCTCCTCTTTGAACAGCTGGTGTAACGCTGATTTGAACTGGGATAATCTGAAAAGAGTACATAATGTTTGGTTTATGTTAAATATTATTTAAATGCAGTTGTGAGGTAAAGGGATTTTGTTGATTAATTTATATTATTAAACTAATTGTTGCCCGTGACTTTGTCCGAGTAGAATATGAATTTTAGAACATAACTCTTTATATGCAGGAGCAGAATTATTTAATAACAAACAGACTCCAATTTTATTTATCTGTTTAGATTAAAAGACTAGCTTTTGCCAGCAGCTTTGACCGCGTTCCTGTAGCACAAAAGTAACTTTATGTATTATTCGAGACTCTATTCCAAAAATCATCTCGATCCCTTCAGCTGTTTTGTCATGATCGGCGATCAAAGTATAAGCTCACCAACTATCATATTTATTCTATTAGTGAGGTGTAACTTGTAAAATTAAGTTAACTGATTATAACAATGCACCCCTGGAGTATGGCCTTTCTACTTCATATTTGTATTTAAATGAACTATTTAAAAAGAAGCTCACTCTTAGTCAAAATTAAACTATCTTTACTCTAAGCTACTCCTTAGAGTAAAGATAGTTTTATTTTGACTAAGAGTGAGCTTCTTTTAGGTGACTTCCATATCTCAAAGTTGTAAAAAGCAAAAATTTTTTGAAGTTATAATGAGTTGAATGTCAATTAGGCGTTAAATGAATGATGAATCAGCGGCATTTACCTGTTGGTATCAATGGTCTTCTGTGAGGACCTGGTGGATCGTTGCGTGGACTCTGGCTGTGAGGAGCGCGCGGCCCGCAGTACTGGCTCCGCCTCTTCATCTGATGAAAACGTGTAAGGATCCTCGCCTTGAGCACCCGCCTGAAGAGAAAACACATGTTATTAAAGCAACTTCCAAAATGTAGCTTAACTAATTATTGAAGGATGTGGTTGCCGCAATCTAGGATTATCTCCTGTGTTGTGTTAAACATAAATTCACATCTCTACATATCACACCCGGCTTCAGAACAATAGGGATGACGACAGGGTATGAAAATTAAAAATCTAATTTCCGTCAGTTAGGTGATGAAAAAATATTAGACACGTATTTTTTTATTTTGTAGTAGAATAAAACAATACTTAGATAAAACGAATCAAAGTTTAGGAGTGGGGGCTAAAACGTCATTTCTACATATAAAATGTACATAGAAGTGACGTCACGCGACATTTCAAATCAATATATCGTCGAAAGTATTTGTTTCTGTAAGAAAATAAAAAATACGTGTGTAATGTTTTAAAATAATCTACCAGACGGACATTGAAATAAAAATTAGTCGTCTACCCTATTCTCTGTGTAAAGAGTTGTTCCGTGCGGGAACAGAACGACACGTTGCGCCGCAGTCAGTTACCCGGCCGCTGCGTCAACCGTAACACAATTTGAACTTTTGAACCGACACAATGACGTGTATTGTGTATAAAAAGGTATAATTACCGTTCTCCTGGACTTCTTAGCGCGCGGCGGCGCTGTTTGCTCTCCATCAGACGCTGGCTCTTCATCTTCAGACACGCGGCGCTTGCGACGCTTCTCTTTTGTTAAAACCTGACGACCCATTCCAATATTAGGTACTGAATCACTCTTTATCTCATTTTACAGTCATATATATGTCTATTAAACTGGACACTATTCTAAACTCCGGGGTATTACTGTGTATTTTCTAAAATCTTAATAATAGTTTTAATTTAAAAAATTTTGAAATTAAACAACAATTCTTTGACTAGTATCTACTGCGGTCTGAACAAATTATCGTTACAATATTAATTTAGTAATATGTTCTCATTGTTAATGTCAATTACTCAGTAGAGCGCCATTAATTAATTGTCCATTAATAACTAACTTTTGCTCATGCTAACTTGCATAGCTAGCGTGGTAGTTATACTCTTTGTTGCGAAAACGGCAAACATCATGTATACGATACTCCGCGTATTTCCTATAAAAACTATAACACCAAGGATGACGCTTTATTGAAACTGATATTGGCATCTTTTCTGTATACCTATTATTATAAAGTGATATGATTTCTCTAAATTAGTTGTTCTTACCTTCTTGAAGTACGCAAACTGCACCAATTCGATGGCGGCGTGCGCGTCATCCTGCGTGATCTGTGAGCTGAGGCGACACTTGGCGTGCGCTGTCGACAGACGGATCAACGTCTCCAGGGTACGGGCTGTTACCGGTTGCGTCTACAGGACATAATACAGAGCTTATGTAACTTAATTTAGTAGACAACCTTTCTTCATAAGGGGGAAAGTAAAAGCCTCGAACACAGGCGTTATGTTGCAAGCCAAAAGGTTTTCTACCGGAAAATGTCGGTGAGTGTGCGGGGGGAATTGCACAACTTGATTCCTCCTAGTCCTTTCCATCATCGTACTAAAAGACCATCGGCAAAGCGTCACCGATTCCTGGTAGATGTCCCACCCACACTCACGAAGCGCTTCGCATCAAGCTTCCTTGTCGTACTGCTAAGGAGTGGAATTCTTTGCCAGTCTGTATTTCCTGTAGGGTATACCTAGGTGTATTCAAGGCCCGAGTGAATAGATTGCTTATGAGACGACGTCCTCCATCGTAGACCGCATCATCGCTTACCACCAGGCGAGATAATAGTCAAACGTCAGCCTATCAAATATAAAAAAAAATTATAATAGGGAGGGCCAAACTTATCTCTCTCTCGTTCTCTCAATTACGGCTGAAATTAATGACCGATTCCAATCCAGAATCTTTAAATACATAGATGTTATGGTGGAGTCATTTGATATTGATAACTATATCGTTTGAATAAAAAATACTTACCCTTGCCACATCGCTGTCCATCATATCCTGGTTCCTGAGCCGGGCGTATTCATCAGCGATGGCGTCGGACGCTTCCTGCGTGAGCTTGGGCTTCATAAGTCGCGAGATGTGTATGAACTTGCGCATAAACTTCGTGTTCAGGTACTGCTCCTTCTTGCTACGAGTATTTCCGTGTAATAGAGGATCGTATTTCTCGTATATTGATGCATTTGTTTCCTGTAAACAAAAATGAAATTGATAAATGGTAGCTTTAGCAAAAATATAACAATTAATCAAAGGTATTGTTCATTTTATTTTCAATGTTCGTATTGTTATATATGCCTTAATAAAATAAAAATTGATAATCGAAAAACTTATCAAGCAAATAATATGTCTGTCATTTTATTATATAAAATTAAGCCTTATCTAACATACAAACATGTTTTAAAGACATAATATTATTAAACTATTGAGAATGTGAAGGTTTTCTTAAACATAAATTTTTATAGTTACCTCAGTTTCATCATTATCTGGATTTTCAGTAGAAAGCATCTCTACTGTGGAGCCCATTGGTAGTACTTCACCGTCTTGTTCCTTGGGGTTCCTAAAATATACATAATATGTATGTTAATAGAGTAGGTATGAATAATTTAATACAGAAAACCAGCATAAAACAATAACCAAAGTCAAAGCGCCCAAAAACCGGCAACTAACTTATAACTCACTAGCTTTTACCCGCGGCTTCGCTCGCGTCACAAAAGGAAAAAAGTAGCCTGTGACATAATAATGTACCAATACACATAGCGCCATCTATACCAATACTTTTGTTTTCCCTCGGGAATGTCTTTTTTTTCTGGGATAAAAAGTACCCTATTATTTAAACTGGACTTTTAATTTTACGTCTGCAAAAATTCAACGCAATCGGTTTAGTAGTTACGGCGTGAAAGTGGAACAAATAAACAAACACACTTTCCGATTTATAACATTAGTAAGGATAGTGTTGCGGGCATCCACACGCGGCGCCCACGCCGATTGCTTGCTCAGGTGATCCGCCTGCTCATTTGCCTTATATTACAAAAAAAACGTAATGTTAATGAAGTTTACCTGTATCTATGCATCCTAAGCACGTGTTCAGATATCATATTGTCATGGTCTGCGTCCGCGATGTCCAGCATCACGAACAGTAAATCGAAACGGGAGAGCAGCGAGTCTTGCAGACCTATGTTCTCCATGGGCGTCTTGTACTGGTCGTACTGGGGAACATAATATTAGATTTATCAGTTATGAAGATAGAAAAATAGTTATGTTTTCGTCACAGAGTGAATAAAAACTGTTTTTATTTCTTTTTACGAGCAGATACGAAACATTTTATACTACAGTCATACCAACCAAGCCCAACAATTCTCTATGTCAATTGACAATGGACAACTTGTCTCTTACTCTGTGGTCACTGTAGTCACGAACAACTATACCAATGTTTCTGAGATTTGCAACACCTTAGAATTCTTGAGGAAGATTTATATGTATAACTCATACTGAACTAAAGTTAATTCATCATAAACAGCCTGTGACATTCCACTGCTGGACTATGAACTTCCTCTACACATGAGGAGTTCAACATAATGTCCACATTTGGCAAACAGGTTGGAGATAGCAGTTTAAGAGGTTGAGGTTTTTTTTTTTTTTTTTTTTTTTTTAATATTATAAATTATTTCTCCACGGACTCTAGGTCCGTGCCCTTGTCATACAGTTTTTTAATTATAATACATCTAGTCAATTTTTATAAAGTAAAGAGGGAACCTAGTTACACACTACAATTAACTACATCTAAAATTATTACCAAAAGTATAGGTTACATAATAATTAGGCACTATTTATTTATTTCTATTTCAAAGGCTTTATGAAACCAGCCCACCAACAAGATGGGAGAGCCGACCTGACCCAGCAGAAGGCACCCGTTCACGAGTATGACGTGTGTGTCAGCAATTGGTCCGGTCAACCTTTTTATTGGGAACGGAACAACCCAACACACAGCGCCACCGACTGTAGGACATTTATGTGTGCATGACGCCTCAACCTTTGCCACATGGGCCGATTCCAATAAAGCGTACAATAGTCCAAAGTCAATTGGTTATATTCTATTTCTATATGTTTCTGCACACACATTTCCTCATGTTGCATTCGTTCCATCACAAGCAACACTCCCCGCCCAAGAGAGCACCCATGACTGCCGCGTCCCTGTGTCTGATAGCCATTTTCAGGTTGTAGTCCTTAATACCTTGCTCACCCTCATCAGCCGCCTTCCTGATTAGTTTGCTTATCGCGTCTTCACTGTTGTCTGTGTAATAGATGCAACCATGCGTGTGACGCGATATTGCTACTACCGCGTGTGGTACGCTGTCATGTATTTGATGTTTCTTTGTTGCTGTGTTGACAACAATCACATTCGCACACGAAAGTCCCTGTGCCTCGTGTATCGTGAGCACGCGTGATCCCACGGTCGACCCGTATCCCTGGTTCTTAAGGGATTCCTTCTCTGCCTGAGTGTGTACCAGGTATAAAGTGTCGGGGAGTGACTTTGGAATCATCGCCCCCGAGAACCTTTTTATCTCGAGGGATCTCACGAACGACCTGGACGAGTATATGCCACTGTAAACTGTGCTGAGGGCATACGCCACATCCATTGGATTTCTGTGGGTACACATCAATTCCTGGCTTATGGGCGTGATATATGTAGGGCGGCTGTAGAGTAGAGGGAAGAGGTTATCACGATCTATAAACGGAAGCTGATTTATGTCACCAATTAGAAGGACTTCCTTGGCTCGAGTTATTCGGGCGGCCATCACAACGGCTCCAAAGTGGTTCATGAGAGCCTCATCTACCATTAGTCGATGGCAGCTCTCTCGCTCCCCCAAGCCGTTTACTAGGATGGACGCCATTGTTCGAACCCTAGATTTGACGAGTCCTCCGATTCGGCAGGATAGTTTGCCTCTGAGGTCATTTGCTGCTTCGGTTGTCGTGGTCACAATTAGATCTTTGCCCGCTTCAAATTGATCTACTATCCATGTCGTTTTTCCGCAACCAGGGACGCCATTTGTCCAGCGAAACGTCGGAGTATGCCAGTCTCCAAAAACTTCGCCGTCTGATCCAGAATCAGAAATGGATCTTGCCATCTCTAATATTCTATCGTCCAGCATAATTCTCGTGCATTTGGCAACCACTACTAGGGAATCCCCTGGAGGAGTTTTAAACTTTAACACTCCGCATCGATCGGATTCCCTCTCGTCCAGAGACACAAATCCTGCAGTTGCGTTATAAGCAGCCATACTTCGAGTTATAGAGGTTCCTCTCAGTACCCTCGAGGTGTTGTTGTCGTATATGACTGCTTCTGCTGCTTCGAGTCTATCGTTCAGTATTAGCTCGTTTCCTTGCAGGTAAGTCTGCAGAATGGATTCGCATTTCCGCATGTTGACCTGCCTGGTTGCCTCCACCACTGCGGTAAACTCGAGAAAAGCATTTACGACATGGTCTCTGGTAGTGGACGCTTGTCGAAGCCTCGGCGGACAAACGTGACCCATAGCTGCTCTTGTTGGTGATGACCTGGGGGGAGGAGACTGTATTTGTGCGCCTCCTGATCCTTGAGCAGATTTAACCACATTTTTTCTGAAGGGTGACGAAATCAGTCCGGTTACTGAGCATATGGCCGCTGTTATTGCCCACACTCTACCTCGTGATTCTAATTTTTTATTTTCCCTCTCGGTGTTTTGTTGGTGTTGTTGCAGAGCGCTTTGTTGCCTATATCTTGATAAGAGGTTGAGGTTACTCAAGCACTGTTTTGTACTGCCTTGTTGGCCAAGTGGTCGCAAGTGTGACTGCCGGTCAAGGGGTCTCAATTTCGATTCCCGGGTCAGGCCCGGAGTCTGAAATTGTGCCCGGTATATGGCAATAGGCTCACCTTTACTATTACATGGGACTCATAATATAAATAATGAAAAGTGGATGTTACTTTGTACAGTGGCATTAAGTGCAGTAATGTGCACTCTGCGTACCCCTTCGGGGATAAAAGGCGTGATGTTATGTATGTTCTGTAATGTGTAGTACACCTGCGAGGAAAGTACGTAGTAGCAGGCTGATCACAATGGTATATTACTCTATCTGCTATACTACTCTGCTGTTATTACACACACACCACTGCAATTAATTATTAAAGTAAATTTATGAGCTACTGACCCTTCCATAGACTGGGTTAGCGGCGGCGAGCACGGAGCAGCGCGCGTTGAGCGTGGCGTGTACTCCCGCCTTGGCGATGGTGACGCGGCCCTGCTCCATCACCTCGTGGATGGCCGTGCGGTCTATGTCCGACATCTTGTCGAACTCGTCGATACACACTACACCCCGGTCTGCTAACACCATGGCGCCTGCTTCCAGTCTGCGGACAGAGTACACATAAACTTCAAAAAACTGCAGATCGTCATCAAGTACATCATAAACAATATAAAACAATAGTTTCACTGTCCATTATAATTTAATCGTTTAGGATAGGCATCCTAAAATTAAAGAGCTGCGATTCTCGCCAACAATGTACGTTTTACAATTTGAAATGGATGGATGGTAATTAAACATATACATACATACTTATGACTACAATTTCTACAATTCCAATTCCACCACCTTTTCCATGATAAAGTAGTCAAGTATGATTTGATTTGATTGAAGTTATTAGAGCCCTTAGAACTGGGACAGTAAATATTTGCTACTGAATGGTTTAAAGCCAACCTGCGGTCTCCAGTCTCTGGGTCAGTGGTGACTGCAGCAGTGAGACCTACTCCAGAAGACCCTCGACCAGTAGTGGTAATGGCACGCGGCGCCGTCTGCAGCACGTAACGAAGTAACTGGGACTTTGCGACCGACGGGTCTCCAATTAGAAGAATGTTGATGTCACTGTAACAGTATACATAGAAGGTTGATGTAATTCTTTGAAATTATTTGTTTAACTATCATTTGTTTAGTCAGAAACCTAATTGGAATGCAAAATATCTACTAGTATCCACCTAATGTTCCTGTTCTTTGTGTATTAAGTAATAGTAAGTAATAAAAAGAAACATTCACTATTGGTATGATGACAGGGTACGAAAATTAAAAATCTAATTAGTCCGTAAGTTAGGTAATTAAAAAATATTAGACACATATTTTTTATTTTGTCGTATAATTAAACAATACTTAGATAAAACGAATCAAAGTTTAGAAGTAGGGGCTAAAATGTCATTACTACCTATAAAATGACGTCACGCGACATTTCAAATTAATATATCGTCGAAAGTATTCGTTTCTGTATGAAAATAAAAATATGTGTCTAATGATTTAAAATAATCTACCAGACGGACATTAAACTAAAAAATAAGCATCTACCCTATTATCCATTTTTGACTACTATAAATTCCAGTAAACTCCCCACCATCAGCAAGTTAATTCTTGATATCAGTAGCTATCATAAACATTTTGGTGTATAAATCTTACCCTCGAAGTCTAGTGCCATTAGGCAGGACTTTTTCCATTCCACCCAGCAGCAAGCAGAGTATAGCCTTCTTAATATAATCATGTCCATGAATAGAGGGAGCTAGTGACTTGGACAGTAGTTCGAACATGTCTGTATTACCACGCTTGGCTAACCTCTTGCAGAGCTTCACATCCTCTAAAGTAATATTCATGTTCATATCCTTGTTGATTTGTGTTACATTGTTTGCTATTAGAATTGTCCTGTAAACAAATCATAGATTGGTATTATTTTTTCTTATTGGAGGCAAGGCTCTTATTATCTGCAACTGTGAAAAAAATGTAATCCTAATTGGCTTGATCTACAGCCACTAAGGTGTCAGGTTTGGATAGAAAAGTAAAAGATATATTTACCTGAAAGTACCAGCAGTGAAACTACCCTGCTTGTTAGGCAAACAGCGGTAGTTGCCTACAATCTGCACTCTGTCTCCAGGCTTGCACTTGTCCACTAAGTCATCATCACAAATGATGTCCACACTCCTGGGCAGCTGGCCTGCTGGTGCCCGCTCCGGCATCTCCTGGACTGTCAGGGTTTGGTGATCCTTGTAGCGGGAGAGACCATACTCTGTCTCCAAGGGATTGCCTTCATCATCCTTAAAGAACATAATATTCTTCATTTTATAAAATAAAACATAATACACAGCCAGCCATGACACCAAATCTCTCTGGTTCTCCAGCATTACATACTAAATATATTATCATTTTTCCATGAAATGATAATTCATTGTCAATGTTGTTAGCAGTATGTGATAAGATAGATTTACCTTAGTGGGGTAGATAGCTGAAGTAGGGAAGGCTTCAAAAGAAGTCAGGTCAGTATATTTCCTCTCCATAACCTTCTTTGTGGCCGGGCAGTAATGCACACTGCGCACTACCTTGGGGCGCACAAGAGACACCCTGGTCACTATACCTTCCACACATATTAAGTTACCCAGGTACCTGGAAAGATAAAAATTATTGTCTTAATTCACACATTTTTTAACTAAAATACTTATCCCTTAAATTTATTAAGGTAGGCTAGGAGTCAAGTTCGTCCCGTCATCCTCTTCTGCTGCCTGGTTTATTCCTTAATAGTTATATAAAAATGTACAAACTATAAAAATAGAATATACCTTGACGTCAAACTCCTAGGTGTAACATGTTTGTTTCCAAAGCTACCATTGAACGCGACGAAGAATTCCTCTTGAATCTTCGCGTACGTAGGGTCTATAGAGGAGACGTATTCTTTCAGAGCTTTTTGAAACGCTATCTGTTCTTCAAATGCACTGTCAAGCAAATTACGAGCACGCTCCGGATTCTTACGTCGCAGATCATTAACGCTTACAACTAACCGTTGCGACTTATCAGCTATCATTTGTTTTACTTTTTCCATATAAATTCCTTGATCTTCCTAAAATTTATAAAATACAACTGTTAAAGAACGGGCGTAGAAATTGGATACCGGTACAAAACATTGGGGTTAGATCGAAACTTACCTCATCGTCTAAAAATTCGAGATATTCTCTCTGTAAATCTCTTAAACGTTGATCAAAATCACCTTCTTCCATTTTGTAAATAAAAATATATTATTGCTTATTTAACAAACAGAGCACTTACACTTGCAAATTTTTAGTTTTTGTCTGTGTATCTGTTTAACAAAACAATCTGACGTTTGCTTAGCTTTTGGCGCCAAAATGACATCGTGATTAGTGAGTGACTAGCAGGGTTGCCAAAGCTAATTCATCAAAATCCCCAAAATTCCTGATCGAATTCCCCAAATTGGGGAATAAAAATCCGCTGATTCCCCACAAATTCCCCTCAACAGTTTTTTATAAAATAAAACTATAATCAATTATTTAAATAATATTGATTGTATTAATTTGAAACTGTTGAGCTTCTAATGGATTTGAAACAGATATAATATAAAATAAGGATATAATAGAAGAAGAAGGATAAAATTCTTAGCATGTCTTATAGAAATCTGCAATAGCTGCAAAAGTGTACCTCGATTTTCATATTTTTTCAAATCTTACATATTCTCTCCAGCTTTCATGCTTTATGATTAAAAAAAATGTTGTTATCGATAATAAACGATGAAATATTTTCCAATTTGTGTCAAATGCCAAAAGATGTCAAAATCCCCGCATTTTCCCCACATAATGCCAATCCCCAACCAACTTGAGATTCCCCGCAGTTTGGGGAATTCCCCACAGATTGGCAACCCTGGTGACTAGCTGACTAATAGTGATGTACGTACTAAATAAATCGAGTACAAAAAAATAACCCATAAATATTTTGACAGTGATCTATAACATAAATTATGATTGGAAATACTTAAGACAAAACCGTGCAACCCTAAAAACAGTATTTTGTAACGGTGGAATGATCTAGGGCTTTAGCTTTGGAAAAAGTAAAAAATATCAATGCTTTTGGTGACCATAGAGCAACACGGTCCGCCGGTGGCCCGTGTTGCTCTATGTTGGTGACAATGCAATGGTGACAACACCATAATAATTTTGGTAAAGAATAATTGACTTATCGATTAATGTTTATTATATTGTGATCTATCTAGCATGTATTCACATCCTTCACCCTTTTCCTATGAATTTAGGGATTTTATGGTATCTAATCGATATTTATATGAAATATGCAGTTTTTATTGATCTAATGCTGAAGAAATCTTTATCTCTATCACCACTTCAGCACAAACCAACATGAATTTCACGAAAATTTTTATAAAAACATCGCCAAAATTAAAACTTTGACAGACGACAAAATAAACTATGACCTACAAAATAAACGATTTTATGTCTAACTAGTTGACCCTGCAAAATTCGTACCACTTATTATATTTTTTGAACCTTCCCTGGACTTCCACGAAGATTTCAAGCCCAAAATTAATGAAATCGGTTCAGCCGTTCTCGAGTTATAGCGAGAGTAACGAACGGAATTTCATTTTTATTTATATAGATAGAAGATATAATAAATATAAATATTATTTACATTGCATTGCACATTTATTTATACTGTTATAGGTTAGTTTTTGAAATTGATAATTAAGACTTGTGGCGCCCTCATTGAGTTTCTTATAGTCAAACTGTACCATCTATATAATTTATAGATCAATGGTCCCAGCAACGTATATAAATACCGTAACGTAGAGTTTTCGGGCTGTCATTTTATAAGTTTGTCCAAGATTGTCAGTTTTCATTAATAATAATATGTTGTTTGCCTATCGTCCGAGTTCAGGAATATAACCTTTGGAGTTGCTCTCGGAGTTAACAAACAGATATCAGTAAATAATTTATTGTGCGAATTGAATGTGCTTTATGTATTAAATTAAGGCGGCATAATGTCGGAAGAACAATCTAACTCAAGTTGTGCCTCAAACCTACCTTCGGCTTCTATTACGACCGAAATGCCGTCGGGACCGGTTTCAACTTCAAGCGAAACACCTTCGACTTCAACCGAAACACCGTCGGCTTCGACATCAAGTCAAATACCTTTGTCTTCAAGTTCGAGCCAATTACCTTCAAATTTAACTTCAAATCTTGCGCCTGAAACTAGTAACCCATCAACCTCAACATGTGCAGAAAAAGAAAAAAAGATTGATCCAATGAAGTTAAAAATTCTGTGCATTCATGGGCATAGACAGAATGGTGCTAAATTTAAAGTTAAATTAGCCGCTTTTCGGAAAATTGTTGATAAGTATGCATACCTTTCATATGTAACTGCACCACATGCTGTTGCTGACACAACGGGTGGTGGTGATCAAGGTAATTAAAACACTCTATTATTTTACTTGTGCTTCCCTTGAAAGCCAAATTTTGAATCCCAACATGTATTTTAAAGTACTTTTTTTATAATATTACGGGTGTTGGGTCACTTCTGACCGCTCTCCACTTACTCCATTAATAGACCTTATATTTCCAATGTTTAGAGACTACTTTTATATCATTGTCTGCATGGGTGAAGTGCTTCATAACCATAATGGAAAATTTGTTTGATTCAACTTTTATTTAATAACATTATTTTGTTATACATTGGCAGATCCCAGAACTTGGTGGTATAATACTGAAGACAACAATTACAGCGGAAAGTGTCTTGGTGGGCCTGCTTACGGATTTGAAGAAACATTGGAGGTAGTGAAAACGGGAGTAAGGGACCTTGGTCCATTTGATGGATTAATGGGTTTCTCACAAGGAGGCTGTCTTGTAGGTCTACTAGCTGCTATGCAGCAGAAACGATGTAAGAGATTTACCTAAGAGAAAGATAACAATGTTTAATTTTGTGTGTAGTATGTGAAATTATTTTTACCCTCTTTATTTTCAGTGTTGCCGTACAGATTCAGATTCGTTATCATCATATCGGGCTACTTATCTGGAAGTCTTGTTCACAGGGGATTCTATGAACATAACCTTATTACCATACCATCTCTACATGTCTATGGAGAAACTGACTCCATGATACCCAAAGGTAAAATATTTGATTTAATAAAATAAATGAATGAATGAAAATGAAAATTCATTTCCAAGGTAACAACATAGAAAAGAATATTACTTCTGCCAAACTGTAAAATAGTTTGTTGGCAGATTTAGCTCCCTCAAATAATAAAATTAATTAAAACCTTTGACATCGTAATTCACACATAATAGTTACCTGGTCAATAGTTTAAGTAGGCAATAAACTTATTCCAGGAGGCCTTAGCAAACTTTGTTGAATAAACTTCACGATTTTGTTTTTGAAGGAAAGTTTTGTGCTACAGCTACTTTACAAATCGAATAGCATGCCATAAGGAGCTGTATGTTATTAAAATATTTCCTCTTTTTACAGAAATGAGTGAATCCCTTGCAAACAAATTCAATGACCCTGTAACGTTTGAGCATCCCAATGGCCATTATGTTCCGGTCTCAGGGCCAGTGAAAGCAGTCTATGAAGACTTTCTTGCTGACATGTATCAGCAAAGGCTAATATACAGACAAGAAGTTGAGCGGACAGCAGAATAGCCATCTCTCTTTGAAGCTCATCCCATGCTTACCAGCCTTTTGTTGGCAGATAGTGAGTTGCCAGATATACCCCTTTTTAGACTACCACCTACCTATCAGCTGCTTCCACCTCCAAATCCAAATCCAAATCCAAACCTAAACCCAAATCCAAATCCAAACCCAAATCCAAACCCAAATCCATAAACCTCATTGCCTGGTTTTTATGGAGAAATGGGTAATATTGTATAGTGTAGCGATGTTGTGTGCAGGAACACTAACCCTGATGCGTCGTCTATTATGACGTCGATGGTCAGGAGGGGGAAATGTGAATAAATATGTGGCTGCAGGATGACCTATCAAAGAGTGGAATGCTTTTTTCTACAGAATAAAATTGCCTAAATGGACAACATATGACAATGTCGGTTTATGGCAGCAGTGATGCATGTATTTTATATTATTATGTAATTAATTATTATTCAAATAAAATGTATAACTGCTAACCTAGAATGCCTTTCATTATATTCTCAAATAACCAAGGCAATATTACACTCAAGAATTTTTTCATTTCCTACCTTCCATTTGGCTCGTTGGTCGAATGCTCGTGTACACGTGAGTGTGCAATGTGACTACCTACCTTATTATTTTGTGATTGACAAGACATGATAGGTTAGTATTATTATTGTGTACAGTGAATTTATATATACGCGGTGAATACATTGATGGGCTACAGATCCAAAAAATTATAGGTACCTACTTACTGAAGAATAGAATGTATGTATACGTATGTTGTGGGGATCTGGGACCTAGGATTATAATAATTTACGTACCTACCTACCTATTTGCTATATCTTGACAATATGTATATTATGTTCGATATTCACCTGTATTACATGGAACTAGAGGAATCAGTGTGCCTACACATAGAAATCAAGAGAATAATTTGTAGGATAGGGTAAAACGTGGAAAATACAGTAAGTAGGTTTGGACCCAGCAATAAATATTATACCTACATCGACCTCTAGAAAGTAAATATTCGCGGGTAATAATGTTAACGAACCGCTAAAACAAATAAGAGCTCGAACATTTGCCTTGAATCAAAAAGATGAAATAATTTGTAAAATACCTACAAAAAATAAATTATTTTCAAAAGTCTATTTTTGTCATTTTTACACGGGATTAATATTTTATCGCCCCTGCGCAGATTTTTATGGCATAGGAAGCAAACCAGCAGCCTCTCAGTATATATTGTGTAGTATAAGCAGCAGCAGGATCACTTGATTGCAACCGATTAGCGCCGCCCATGGGCACCCATATCACCATCGCAGAGGTTTCACCTACTAGGTACTGCTGCTATTGATTGTAACGTAATATTTTATAGCCAAATGTCTGCCTCGAAAGACTATACAATCCAATACAGAAAGAGTTATTTAATTCGTACCAATAGTCCTGAAGACTAAAGATTAGCGCGTTTCGTTTATTTAACCTAACTACATTGTCTTAAATCATCGGTTTTAAGGTATATAATTGATAATGACAAATAATTACAAACTATTCAGCTTTAAAATCAGTAATATGACCATTTATTTATTAACTGAGGACATTAATTCATTTAGATAGGCAGTCACCTAGTAGCTACATCCTACTATTAAAGGTCCTGTAAAAATAAACTTAGTGTCCGCATCCGCACCCCAACAGAAAGGTTAATTAGTAATTAGTATTAACTGCACAAAAATGTATCTACCTAAACGTTTTTTCGACTTCGTCAAAAATGAGTGAGTTATGTAACGCCGAAAATGCTTATCTTTTAACTATTTTAATTGTTACCAAATAGCAATTTATAAAAACAACGGGAAATCGGGGTCAATAGATACAGGAATGGAGTGAATAAATATTAGATATGTATTAGATAGAACATTTTCTCAACATTTATTCACCCCTCTTCTATATATCTATTCGCAGTTCGCACTTTGTCATGTCGGCTGAACTATTAAAATTTTCGCGCGGTTTTCAAAAACGAGACAATTTCGCGTACCTACCAAAGTTCATTTCGGGGAGTGTCGGGGACTCTGGGACAGTAAAGGGACAGTCCCATTCAAATCGTGCCGTTATAAATACTGGGTAGTTAGAAGAAGTTGAAATAATTAATATAATGGTTTGAAGGAAGTTACGGATTTTTATAATATTATTTTGTGAATTTTTGAAATTAAAATAGTTTTTGAGTAGAGTTAACTTTTATTTTTGTGAGACGAAACTTGGGTGAGACCTTGATTGATGACACAAAGTTGACAAAGTACCTAAAGCGTGGGTCAGGTGGTGGTGTCAGCGTGTCACTGTCAGTGTCAATGATGAATGAAAGAAACGAAACGTAATACGTATCTATGTCATGTCATGTCATACAAGACTTGTACACAAATACAACGTTGTTTATATTTTGAGGTTATGTTGTTGAAATGAGATTCAGAATTTATTTTAAACGTTATTTTCGGTAAGACTGTAAACTGTAAGACACTATGCAAACTGAAACTAAAATGTGGAGAAGATATTTAATGTGGTTCGCCCACGAACACATTGATTTCCGTCATGCAGTAAGTTTCGTAAACATTTGAACTGATAAGAATATCCTTTTGAATAAGTAGATGAACTTCTACATTAAATTGTAACTTATTTCAGGAAATGCAAAGTATAATATCGTTATTGAACGTACCGGTAAGGTACGTAGAGAAACCTTGCGTTCAGAAGCCGTATTGTATTGTGGAAATGCCTTCAGAAGATTGTGTCAGAAAGATTGCTTCTCGGTCAGTACTTTTGAAAAACTGTATAGAATTATGGGCCAGAGCAAAAACCGTGTCACAATTACACGCGAACTTGAAGAACTCATTGAAAAATTCGACAGGTAGTTGGGTTGCAGGGGAAAAAGATAATAATGGGATCAGCAATACCTGTTTGTGTCCTAAAGAACTGATAGAATCAAGTTGTCCACTTAAAAAATCTTTTAAGATCGAAGTTGAGACCTTCTGCAAGCACTACTCCATGAAGGAGAAGGTTTCAAAAATTGAAGTAAGTATCGTCCGTCTGTAGTTTTTTTATTTATTTATTGCAACATGTACACACATACCGGTATTGTACTACTAATACAGTACATCACCGTGTTAGGGTGCAGCAATTTAACTTATAAATAATAACTAAATAATTATTATTAATAATATATTATTAACTTGCATTATTAAGTTGCTAACAATTACTAAACAATTTAGGTTATCAGTCTTGTTATGCACAAGTTTATTACTAGATTGAAAGTGTTAACAGTATTTTTTTTTACATTTATAACACATACCTACTTTTGTGCTACAATCGCTTAACTCCACATGCATAAGAAGGTTACAACCTTCAAAATTTAAACAAATTAAAATTAGATATAGGTATAGGTACCTAAACTAGATTACTGCAATTATATTTACAAGTAATCTGCATAAAAGTAAAAATAATTAAGTTTACATTTTTTAGACTTTCAACTACTTACCATTTGAAGGACCGGTAAAACTAAAGAATCCAGATGTGACTTTAGCATATCTAGAATTTTATGGTGTCGATCCAAATGATGTTCCAGAAGAACCCTATGATGTCTTTTTCGGGAAATGGGTAAGAAAAGCTTTACTGTTTTGTTTATGACCACTCTGGTGAATATTTTGTAATAGATGTATGTAGTTCACCATAATCCTGTTGACAGGCTAACAGATTTGGTTCACCAGTTGTTCCATAGTATAGCCATAGTAAGTATAGGGATTCGTTCAAAGAATAACATAAATAATTCTTTAATGAACTATGTTTAAGAAAACCGACTTCAACACCCCTCTTTTTTTGAAGTCGGTTTATTATAATATATTGAAATCTCCTAAGTGTAACAAATACTGTTCTGAAAATTATATCAAATTTAGTTCAGCCTATCGCGATATAATTGCGCACAAATACATAGATACAGAATTACATACATACAAGTCAAACTGAGAACTTCCTTATTTTTGAAGTCGGTTAAAAAATCTTTAGTACTTGACATATTTTATGTTCTTCATGCTAGGTTTACATGTGATTAATATGTAATTGAATCACTGGATGTTATTACGTTTTTCTCGATCGATTGTCTGACAGATAGCAGACGGTCAACGTGACCTGATCCAGGTGCACTCCTTGAAGAAGCGACAGTTTATCGGCAACACCAGCATGGACGCGCAATTGGCCATCATCATGGCTAACCAGGCACAAGTGAAGCTTGGAGACATGGTGCTGGATCCCTTCGTCGGGTCAGGCTCTCTACTTGTTGCTGCGGCACACTTTGGAGGTAAAAATGCTGCTCCTGCTGCTCCAACCGATCAGAGGCCTTAGTACGAATTTGTTTTACGTTTAAATTAATCGTAACGAGTACGCGTTCGGCACTGTTATTGGCCGGCGCCAATGAAGCAACCAATCAGAGCGCCGTAAAACAAACTCGTACGAGCCTCAGAGCGCCTAACGCGGTAATGTTCAATATTTTTAAACGTAACGCAATTCGTAATAAGCACTCAGTCAATTGTTTTAAATTATGTTAGTAAAGTTGTACGTGTATATTTGTAGCGTATGTGTGGGGCTCCGACATCGACTACATGATGCTGCACGCGAGGACACGCCCCACTCGCGTCGGTCAAAAGGTAACAAAGTATGTGTTGCGAAGGTTAAGGTGCTTTTCTATATTATTTTTATATTATACTATCTTCTACTCCAATCCCGTTTTCTCCCGTTCCCGTAGGATTTTCAGGATTTTTTTTCTATCATAAGAACCTTCTCCTAAGCCGTTTACGCGTGACCAAGGGATATAGGGATTCATTTTTTGTATAAATTATTTTACCTACATACATATGTATATATTTTACTTATTCTTGAATACAATAGTTTCTGACTATTCAAATACAGAGTGATTATAATTCGTGGGATGAATAGATACGAGAATGGGGTGAATAGATACTATAAAAAGGTTCCTAGCATCTATTCACCGAAACAGACCCGAGCATACGGTGCGTCGCGTTCCGCGCGCGCCTCAAAGAGCCATCAGACCACCACAGATGCTGTCCACAGGGGCCCAATAGGGCTGTTGCCGATTCGGAGTCGCGGAGAACCTAATGGGTAACCGGGGCTCCGGCTCGACGTGCAGGAGAAGGAACGGGGTGGTTTTTAGTCAGTAATAGTCTGACACTCCCTTCCGCCTCACCCAGGCGGGAGCAGTAATTCGATGATTTTCACCCCTTAAAAAAAAAGCATCTATTCACGAATACGAATTATATTCACTCCGTTTTACCTGGTACTTTTCTTTCTTTCTATACAACATCACACTCACACTCTTATTTCTATAAAAAGATGTGGAAATATTTATAAACAGTAAGTGTAGGTATTGTCAAGTCAATGTATGTACTATATATTTTTGAAAATTTTATTGTAATATGGAAAAGGTGAAATAATTTGTTTGGCAGAGGACGAGAAGATTTATTTGTTTGTACTTCTTGTTTTATTCTTACTGTATTCTTAAATAAACATTTCACAATATGGGGCAGCTTAGTGTCTTATCTATATATTAAAATAAATTGTATATTTTTCTAGTATATCAATATATTTCAGATTCGTACAAAAGAAGAGAGTATACGGGGGAACATGAGACAGTATGGAACTGAATCCAGGTACCTAGACGTGGTTGTCAGCGATTTCTCATTGCACAATTGGAGGTCGGACTTAAAATTCGACGCGATCATCACTGACCGTAAGTGTTCCTTACTGTTTAGGTTAGTTAGGTAATATTTTTAGACACGATGCTTTAAGATATCTCTGAATATCACTACATAGTATAAAACAAAGTCGCTATCCGCCGTCTGTCTCCCTATGTATGCTTAGATCTTTAAAACTATGCAACGGATTTTGATGCGGTTTTTTTAATAGATAGAATGATTCTTAAGGAAGGTTTATATGTATAACACACTAGCTTTTACCCGCGGCTTCGTTCGCGTCACAAAAGGATATAAAGTAGCCTATGTGACATATACCAATACACACAGCGCCATCTATACCAATACTTTTGTTTTCCCTCGGGAATATCACATTTTTCCGGGATAAAAAATACCCTATTATTTAATCCGGACTTCTAACTTTACGTCTTTAAAAATTCAAAGCAATCGGTTTAGTAGTTACGGCGTGAAAGTGGAACAAACAAACAAACTCACTTTTCGATTTATAATATTAGTAAGGATTCATATTGCAACCGTGCGATGCCGGGCCGGGTCGCTAGTAAAGAAATAATCACTTGTTATATCGTACGAAAAATCCACAAAATTTGTTCATACAAAAGTAGTCTCTAAACATCGGAAATTAGTTAGTGACTAACCAATTACTTTTGGACTATTGTAAGCTCTATTGGAATTGGAATCAGCCAACCATCAAACACAGGGACACGACGGTTGTGGGTGCTCTTTTGGGCGGGGAGTGTTGCTTGTGATTTATTTATTTAAAGTATTGCGAGGTAAATTATTTAACTCTGAAATTTTATATTATGTAACTAATTTTGTCGTATTAGGCTAAGTACCTGTGAAGATTAAATTAGCTGTTTTTTGATATAAATAAATAAATAAAAAAAAAAGTGATAAAACGAATGCAACATGAGGAAATGTGTATGCAGAAATATGTAGGTAGATACAGAAACTAACCAATTAACTTTTGGACTACATTGTAAGCTCTATCTGAATAAGCCAACGTAGCAAGGGTTGAGGCGTCATGCACACATAAATGTCCTACAGTCGGTGGTGCGGTGTTGGGTTGATCTGTTCCAAATAAAAAGGTTGACCGCATGATACCTTACCCGCCAGACGTACAGTAAGCCAAACTATTTCGTATGCAGGTAAAAAAATAAAATTGATTCAGTACAGTCTGTAACCTGTACTCGACTTTATATCTATACAATTTAGTATACCAATAGCTATAACTCTGTATTGAAACACTTTATTCTCTGCCTGCATACTAAAAACATTGACTGACTGTACTTTCGGTCACTTGAGTTAACAAAACAGTCATACGTGTCATAAATACAATGCAATCGCATGTAAATGTTTTCAACTATTGGCCAAAAGCCTTTTCTTAAATTGAACAATATGACGTAACATAACATTACTCCTTTTATCCCCTAAGGGGTAGGCAGTGCCATAATATGCACTTAATGCCACTGTATAATGTAACACCCACTTTTCACTGTTTATGTATGTTGAGTCACATGTGTGAGGGAGTGAGCCTATTGCCATGTACTGGACACAATTCCAGACTCCGTGCTACTACTGAGAACTTTTCCTTTCCCGAGCAGGGAATCGAACCGGAGACCCCTTGCTCGGTAGTCGCACTTGCGACCATACGACCAACGAGGCAGTCACATTTATGACTTCTGTGATATGTCCCGACCGAGTATTGTCAATTTGTCACGGTTTTAACTGTACCTCTTGTATTATGTATACTAATATTGTTTAATTTTCAGCACCCTACGGTGTTAGAGAGCCGACAGAGAAGATAGGAATAGAGCGAGAGAACTACACATTATCTGAGGAGCATATGGCGAACCATGTCCCTTCCAAAGTGGAATATGGTTTGCATCATATCTACAGTGACCTCCTCAACTTTGCCGCCACACATCTTGAGATGGGCCGACGACTGGTCTGCTGGTACCCGCTAGTTAGGTAAGTTTTATAAAAGTTCTATTTTTAACTAGCTGACCCGGCAAACTAAATCGTCCCTGGATTTCCACAAAAAATCAAAACCAAAATTAGCCAAATCGGTTTAGCCGTTCTCAAGTTTTAGCGAGACTAACGAACGGAATTTCATTTTTTTATTTATATAGATGAGCTCTATTCTACTAATCAAGCCTTTTCGTTTGATATCCATAATGGAAGTAGTTGTGGAGAAATAGATATTATTGTATGGTCATCAAGATTAACTTCTAAATCGACGATTACGAAAATTTTGTTCATATAAAAGTAGTCTCCTAAAACATCGGAAAAAAGGTCTATAATGAACTAACTTGAGAGCGGTTACCGGTGATCACTTGGGGACTCACAGTGATTGTATTGTAACTCTTGTATGGCCTTTTATTAGTTTCTGTTGTAGGTAGAGGTATTTTTGTAAAACAAAATTAAGACGTAGTTCTTTATGTCATCTTTCTATTACGAAGGTATTCACGAATCAAATTCGTTGAATATTGACGACCAACCGCGGGTTCGTAAAAAGTTTTGTGACACAATGAACCCCTCATTCAACTAGTTGACCGGTATTTAATGAAACTTATTATGTTTCAGCTGCGGAGACATTTAAATGATTACTATAATACGCCAAATATGGTGAATTCCTTTTTATACTAGTTCGTCGCTGTTTAGTGAAATGTCGCTAACTTATGTTATAGGTGCGGATAAATTGAAATAATTAGGTACGAAAATAGTTAAGTCACCAAATTATTAAATTCAAAGTAGGTCGTAACACCTTTTGTCACGAAAATGAATAAGCTCATATCATATTACACTCGATTCCCACCTACGACAAATTATCAAAATCCCCTATTGTGGAGATACTCTGTGTTAAGGGTATTGTTTCAATACCAATCTATCTATGGGTGTAAAAACCAAATTCGAATTAATTATGAGACTTCTCTAGTTACTAAAACTGCGCGTATGACCGAACATCTTATACATGAAACGAAATGAAACAACAATATAGGTGACAACGGCCGAATGCCTCATCGTCAAGTCGACTAACGACCGGAACCCATATCTAGATTCTTATACTAAATCATTGGATTAAGATCGATTTTAGACTTTAATTGTAGGAAGTTTCTGTCAAAAATCTACATCGAGTCAAGTTCCTCTATAGTTATTAGGTATACTCTTTGGAGTCAAGAAACTCCATAAAACATTCATTTTGACCGTAAACAGGTTCATATTAAGGAGATTCTATGTCATAATGGATTTCAAATAATAATTGTGGGTGTTTAAAATAGCCAAACTAAATCGTATTTTTTATTATTTCATCGTTTATTTTATTAATGTGTCCAGTTAGGTACTTTAATTAGTTTTTGTTTTCAACCGTTGTAACTGTAATAAATAAATAAAATAAAAGTATTGCGCATGAAAAATCATAGAATCTATATCCAATATTTTTATCATTACATCTAGATATACCTAGCTAGCTTTATATTTTGGTTAAATATGTTACCGCCCCGCTAAAGTATTAGCGGTGGACACAAGATTTTATTAAGTCGTATAAGATTATTACCTACCACCGCGCCGGCGCACATTAGATAAGTGGGTTAGGTTGTGGGTACTTCATAAAATTCTACAAATTCATCCATTTGTTCCAATGCTGTACATTTCGGAATGTTATGTTGGTAATTTTGTATTCACAATTTTTCATTCCACCCACAAAATTATCGAGGTGTTTGGAATGTATGGAAATACTTACGGAGTTTGATTTATTTATTACTACCCGCTTTGGTTAGTATAATTCTGAGATTATTTAGTTTGAAGTACCATTTGTACCTTAGTACCTTCTTAATGTCCGATAACATTTGTTCATATAAAAGTAGTCTCTAAACGTCGGAAGTAAGGTCTATAATGGTGTCAGAGCGGTCACCGGTGACCGCTTACAATAGGAATAAAAAGACTTACTTTAATAAAACATATGCTGACCAAAATACACCTGTTATTTGTTCTACGACTTTATTTAATTGTAATAAGAAAATGTACATACATACATAACTTCACGCCTGTGTCCCATGGGGATAAGCAGAGACTGTGGAACGCTAATTATACACGATAGAATCGTAAAGTGTTCCGACATTGAATATTTGTAAAAAAAAACTTTTAACAAAAGATCTGCTTATACTTATTACGAGATTAGTCTATCGTAATGTAATATTGGTTTTTAAAGTAATTTGAATATAGCCTCATCAATATCAACTGCGGTTAGAACGCTTTATCATTAACTTATTTGATATATTTTATACCTACTCTTATAATTATGAAGGTAGCTTAAGTTATGAAAATCGACAATGTATTATTTGCCTAGTTTTTATGTTGTTTACAATGTATTATTTACGTAGTTTTTTAAAGTATTCGCGAGCCTAACATTTCCTTTAAAGAAAGAAACCCTATAAGGTTATAACTAACAAAAGCTTAAAAAGAGGTGTCGTTACGTACATGTTACATGATTAAATAAAATTTCTATTGCATATAATACCATGTCTGACTCATTATTTATAGCTTTTTTTCTGTACTGTGGTTGACTTGTAATCTACAGAAACATCATTACGTCACACATTTTAATATCCGAATGGGGAAGCAGTCTCTGCTACATGCACGTGCATTTGGTTGTTTCAGTTATGGTTATCAGTCTTATGTATAATATTTATGTAACACTGCATGCAACAGTAAATTAATTAATTTACAACTGATGTGCGTACACCACGCTGTTACGACGTACCCTATTAACTCACAAATAAGTAATAATTAATTCAATATTTCTTAAATACATATCTACTTAGCTATTGACGTATTATGTGAAGATGAACCTACAATTATATTCTGCTAATATTGTAAAAGAGAAAGTTTGTGATGTATTAATATATTTGGCTCTTTCACGCAAAAACTACTCAATGGATTTTGATGAAACTTAGCACTTAATATAGATTATGATCTGCAATGACACATGGGCTACTTTTTATCCTGGGACGAAACGCCAGGAACCTGTCTATAATTTTATTAATACTGTCTCCAGGGAAGAGTACCAGGAGTCTCAGTTACCATCCCACCCTTGTCTGAAGCTGGTGGGCAACTCGGAACAGGTGCTATCCAAGCTGGCAGCGAGGAGACTACTCACATACGAGAAAATTCTGGATGACGTGCCCAACATGCCGCTGGATCCTAACGCTGGAGTCCATAACTTTAGGTAACATTATTTATTTCTTGTTACCTTTGTACCTGTCGTTTCAAGTTCAAGGTCACACGTAAGTATTTGTTAAAATAATAATAATCAACAATTTTTTATGGAACGAAAGTATTAAAGTATTTTGTTCGTAGTTTTGTAAAGGTTTTTTATTAAAGTTTGTGTCGTAGTTTTTACAAATATGTAGGAGAATATTCCAATTTGAGGTTAAGTCTGTATTTATAATCATACTAATGACTGTACACGTTTTTTACATATCCACCTACCTTACTATAAATACAAAACAAAAAGTTTATACGCTATTAACTAGATTATTAAAAAGATGATTTCTTTTACAGTTTTTATTAACATACCCACTTAGGTACTTATAAAACAAAGACTTCCGTTGTGTTTGTTGGATTGGAAATTTACTCAAAAACTACTGAACAGATTTCTATTAGGTTTACTAGTGTATAGAGTGAATTTCGAGCAATGTTTCATTGTACTTATATTATAATTATGCTGGGTGAAAAGCTAGTCTAAATATCATAGAAAAATGTAGGTACTCATTGAGAGTAACTTTCATTTCTTTGCAACTTGACAGGGAAAAATACTTCACAATGGGCGAGACGACGCGACGAGAGAGGAAAGAGAAGAGGGCCGAAGAGGTCGCAGCCTACCTCGCGAGGAAACTGGAGACCACCAGATATGACCTCACGTGAAACATAATCTCCTTACTCCTGACCATTTCCCAATACTTGGGACCAGTGCCTTTAGCCAAACGCCACTTTAGCGCTTGTCTACCGAGAGAGTTGAAAACTAAATGTATGGGGATGACACTGATAAGTGTCAAATTTCACGTCAATCCCATATAATTTGGTTTTCTACTCTACAAGTAGACAAGCGCTAAATGGCATTTGGCTACAGCTGCAGGACTGTCTTACGACTGAAATTAATAACCGATCCTAATCTTAAATCTTTGAATTCACCTCGACTTTTAACAGAAGTCTAATAGATTTACCGCATGTTTCACCACCTTCATAAAAGTACCCGATAACTTACTTATGTGACAGATAGTTCATACAACTTCTGCCAGCGGCTTTGCCCGCGCTCCTGTAAGACAAAAAGTAGCCTATATGTTATTTCAAACCATAATTTACTGCTGTTCCAAATCGCATCCCTATCCCTTGAACCTGTCGCGGAAAACCTAACGGGTAACCGGAGCTCCGGCTCGACGTGCAGGAGAAGGAACGGGGTGGTTTTTAGTCAGTAAGAGTCTGACACTCCTTTCCGCCTCACCCAGGCGGGAGCAGTCATTCGATGATTTTACCGCCTTAAAAAAATCCCTTCAGGCGTTTTGACGTAATTGAGTAACAAACATCGGAGGGCCAAGCACGAATAACTATCGCATTCGTATCGTAACAGTATCGACTGAGTTAAGCGTTCTGATTGGTTGGTTCACTTGAGCCGGCCAATCAGAGCGCTGAACGCGCTCAAAACTATTACGTTACGATTGCCATAGTTATTCGGCTTGGCCCTCGGTACACAAAAAACTTCGCATTTGTAATATTGGTAAGATATAGCGGATTTGGATTGTTTATTAATTTCGATCGTTGTCTTAATCATTCGGTTCAATCAGTCAGTATTTTTTTTCACGTGAAAGTTACCTGTGAAGATGTTAAATAATGTATGTTAAGTGTTAATTAAAATACAGATTTTAACAACATTTTGTCTAGTTGATTTTATTTATTATCCCTTGGTCCTTGTGTAACTTTGAATGTGGTAGGGTAGTGGAATTTTTTAATATCTATCTAGTCTAAGTATGGATTATTTAATTAAAATTAGTAATTAACAAGTGTACTTTTTTCATTGCAAACTTAAAGGTGCCGTGATTATAGGCAAATGCCTATATAGGTACTTAACTTAGTACTTATAAATAGGTACTTATTTAACTTCATTTGCCTGATTAGTTTATATTATTAGAAAATTGCGACATCGACAAGGATTGGTAGGATTTTTATTTTTAGTAAGAGATAGCTAGATGCAGAAGGCCAGGTTTTATTTTATTCATTCATTTACGAATTTACAATAACCTGTTCTAAAGAAATGTACGCAAGTAAAATATTCAACTACCTACTACTAATTTGTAATTCTCTTTGTCTTGTAGTTCCCTTTTTATTTGATGATACACATAACATAACATCACGCCTTTTATCCCCGAAGGGGTAGGCAGAGGTGCATACAGAAGTAACACCCAGTTTTCACTATTTATGTTACGAGTCCCATGTAATAGGGGATAAGCCTATTGCCATATACCGGGCACATTTCCAGACTTTTTAAAACTTAGTAATACTTTGTCCGACCCTTTCTTCTTCAGTCGCACTTGTGAGTTTTTATTCTCTGTATATAAATACCTACTCTTATGGATAACAGTACCTATAGTCGTTTTCGACGAAGGAGTAACGTTAAGTTTGCAACGATAAAAAAGCATTTATTGGACAAATTATAAAGGGTATATAGTATATTGTTTATAATTAGCAACTCTTGCGAGGTTCCATCCGCTGCTCGTCTCCTATTGACCGTAGCGTGATGTTATATTATTACAATCTAGAAAGAAAAGAAATAAGAAATTCACTTCTAATTAGTAGTTCCAGAGATTAAAAAACAAATAAGTAGAGGTACGGTAGTTTGTAACTGGGCAAATTCAATACTAATTGGCTTGACGAAATGTAAAAACGATAGTTTTCTATGATTACCTATATGTTTATTATTTTTGAAACAAATACAAAGCAAATTAGCATTATACATACAACAAAAGACGTACCTACCTATCAAAACATTTGGCATGTTTTACAAAACGTTAAAGTAACGATAGTGATTGTTTTACTGTATGGAATTTTGAAAAGTTGTATATAATATCTTTACGACTGACAAAACGAGAAAAATATCAAATTCAAATTTTGTGTTTACAGATACCCTCAAGAGTAACTATAAGATAAGTAATAGATAAATACCCACTGAACTATTTTCGTAAATCCAGAACTTTCTGCAATAATGTTATAAAGAGGAGGTATAAAAAAAAATAGAAAGTCAAAGAATTGAAGGTAACATAATATTTATTTAAATTAAATAATAATTACTTCTACCCAACTTTGACACAACCAAAAACATTCCATACACCATGTTCTCGATATTAATATAACATTTGATTTACTTAAATACATCTTCATAATATACATAAATGGTAGTCATCTTTATGTAATAAATAATAACGAAAACAAACACATTTGTTATCTAACTCCCTTCTAACGTAATGGTAAAACGGAACTCGAAGGGTTAGTAGATACAGAAGAGGTATGAATAAATGTTGGGAAAATATTCTGACATCTATTCACCATATTCCATTCCTGTATATTCACTCTTTGAATTCTATTCACCCCATTTTACGGTAGGTGATATTATATTATCTTGCAAACATAATAATGTATACCAGTCTACAAGTCTTTTATGAGATATAGGGTACACAAGGTGATGGATCACCTGAAGCATTTTTTTTAATTACATCTATTTTTTATAAATTAATGGGTTTTAGGGCTCCAGCGGTATTATTTAAAATATGTTTGAAATATTATAAAATTCTTATTTTTACAAGATACTGCATCTTATAATAATTGTGTGTATAAAATAATAAACAAACATTAACTATAGACAAGTGACAATAATACAGGGTGTAAATGGAAAACTTCCGAAAAAGAGTTTTGCTTTCAAAAAAGTTATAACTTAAATGTTTATTTTATAGAGGTATAATAGTAGTTGTAATCAACTGCCCAATGTTGACGTTGCATGAATAAACCGAAAACAAACGATTAAAATTGTAAAAACAACTCTTTTTATGTGCGTTTTCGGAGGTGTTCCCTTTACACCCCATACAGTCAAGTCCTCTATAATATTATTATTAATTATCTATAATAGTGCTATAGAATGTGGTTAGTCAGTGATGGCGAGTGCGAGCATCATCTGCGAGAGGTCGGGAGTGGCCGGCAGGCCGCGCGCCGCTCGCTGGTGCCGCGCGGCCGACGACTGCGCCCACTGACACAGCTTCCAAACCTCCTTGCGCTTGGAACTGTTGCCAGCCGACTTGTAGTGGTTCAATAGGTTGTTTGTTACCTGTCAAACATTCATTAAATGAAAATTCAAGTGTACAATACATTATAAAACGTGACGGTATTACTGCTTAACATTTTAGTGTGTAGTGATGTCACTACACACAATGAGATGACCAATACCATACAAAATAATACTTATTGTGTGTGACTGGCAAAAATAGATATGTACTATAAGTATAACAAATAATATTTTTGACACATTTATGTTACAAACATTAAATAATTATTAGTAGTTTAGATTGACTCTTACCAAAAACAGGCCGAGCAAGGCCCTCATGTTCTCAGGGTTCAGCTTCAAAGCCTGGCAGTAATAAGTTTTGGCTAACTCCATATTCTCTACGCCACCCTGAAAATTAGGTTTACATGCATTATAAAACTAAACAAACGCGCATTCCTTAAGGAGATTAGCAGAGATGCACACTTTACATGTCGGTTGCCTTAATATTATCTAATCTCATCTTAATACAACAAAAAACTTTTGAAATTAAAGGATCCTCGAGTTACCAAAAAGAAGAAAAAAAATGATTGGACATAAGGTTCACATAAAGTAGGTATCAATCGGGTTTAAATTACATCTTTTCACTTTTGTGGATTACAACAAAAATAAGACTTAAACTGTCAAACACCGCGAGGACACCGGTGACTGCAACATATTGTTCTTTAATTGTGTCTATAATGTCCACTTACCATAGTGTACCTGATGTCAGCCAGTCGCTGGTGCATGAGATGGTTGTGTGGCTGGTGCAGGATGAGTTCCTCGGCACAGAAGGCGGCGCGCGAGTACTCCTGCACCTGCAGGTACAGCGAGCACAACTCCTGCCACGCCTCCACGTCTGACATGAACCTGAAGATATAAGGAGTTTATTTTTAAGTGAAATTGCAGATTTTAAATGGTACAGATATTGTGTAGTTTTTTTTATTTGACATCCACTGTGACATTGTGACATCGACTGCCAAAAAAGGCATTTCCCAATGACTTTAAGACCATATAAATGACCAAAAGGTCATAAAGTAAAGGTTGGAGCTATGAATTATTTTTGTGTGTGTAATATTCAATAGGAGTTGAGTAGGAGGTGAAGGCACATGGTCAGTAGCTAATCTATTAGATACATTTGTGATCTTACTTCTTGAGGTAGTCAACAAGTTCCTTGATGGCTTCAGAGGTGAGTCCCTGTGCCTTCAGTATGGCAACGCGCCGCTTTCTGGCCGCAGAGTTGGTCTCATCAGCCTTTATAATACTGTCCAACACCTCCAAAGCTTCATCATATCTGGAACACACATTTTAATTTTTGTTAAGAAAATATATTTTACTTTTATGTATGTTTACAACTCAAGTATGCTTGAGCTTGGAATTATGATGAACATGCTTTGACAGGAGTTTAATGTAGTATTTCACAAGGAAAAACAACAACAAGTCTATACTTTTATACATGAACATGCATGAACTATAATTAAAAGTCAAAGCATTTATTTTAATGAATTCAAGCTCTTTGGAGCATCCAACTCAGTTGATATTCCTTATAGAAACTATTACAAAAACTAAAAGGTTCAAAAAACAACTTGTCCTAACTTTTCTTCAGCCTCCAGCAGTGCTGCCTTGTGCCTCATCACGCGCATACTGCCTGGGAACTCATTGGACAGTACATAGATGCACATGGTGGCCACTCCATACGAGTGACAGTCCAGGGCAGCATATATAACTTGTTCCAACACCAGGTGCTCTGAAAATATAAGGTAAAAGTGTTAGAAGAAAGTTAGTTTATAAGAAAAATAATTTTAGTAAACAATTTTAGCAATTTGCATGCCGCAATGACGGCGAAACTTGTTGGTCTTTTTTTTTAAATATTTATACAACATCTCTGTAATTACCGTGTTTCTGGCAAATAAATATATTATTATAATAAACAATTTGTAACACTGATGGAAGCCCGTTTCTTAACTAAAAGTTACTTAGTGTAATGTAGCAGCTAAACTATCCTCTTACTTTTACTATTAGGTGTCACTTATAGGTTGGTGAAAAACAAAATGATGTTATATCTTAGCTTAGACATTCCTTAAAATTCGTGTTTTCCTTTTCCTTAAGTTACTTAGGATTGGCACAGTAATATTTCTTCCAGTCAAAGTTGAAACATCAATGCGTAAAGTAGAAGTCAACATACAGCTTATCAGTATCACAGGTTCATAGATTAAATAGAGTATCAAAATCATTCCAGTACACTACAACAACCCTTCTATATTACCCTTCCTGCAGCATTATTAAGCTTGTTAAGAACACTTATTGATTCCACTGTAGTTGTCGTCAACATCATATTTTCTTAACAAAAGACAAATATAATTGTACTTACTCTCATTGCCAAGTTTGCTCAAGTCATCACTTAAGACTGTAGTCCATATGTCGATCACATCTTCACTCCTTCTCTCATTATTCTCTCTCCATTGACGAAGCAAGTCTTTGGCTTCTGAAAATGTCATATTTGTTGCAATTTGTACACAGTATTTGTATTATTTAGGGTATATAACTGTTATTGTAGGCATCTATTAATACATAATTACATATATCCATAGTAATATTAACATTATATTAAAAGTTCACAAATTATAGCACTATAAAAATGTTTTCATACTAATAGATTAAAATGAACAAATGCGCCTTCGCTATGATGGTTAGTTAAACTAGGTGACAATAATATTCCTATAAAACTAAATACATTGGCCAAGAGGCACAGAATATTAAAATTAATTATATAAATACCGCTGTAAGTTAACTCTTCAAAGTTGTAAGACATTTTGCTAATTGCGACCTCTTTGTTAATTTGTCTGTGATTGGGATTGACTCCAGTTCACGTGGAAACTATAAATAATAGGTAATTTTGTGAACTTGATTTCCAATTGGTTATAGATTCAAGTTAAAGTTTACACCAGTTTACACTATCGCAATGAGTTGTAGTTGTGAATGTGAAGACTGAAAGAAGGAAATGTCACAATAATTATTATGTCAATGTCACATTTTCAGTGATGTCAATGAATAATGATAGGGTGATTTCAACAATTCAATTATTTGGATATGGGTCTATTATCGATTGTTCACTTTCATTAATTCGATTTGGTAGTTTCTCCATTTTCTCCTCTTTCTTCCGTCGTCTGTTCTCAATGTTGATTTTCGTGACCTTAACGAATTACCTGCTCATTTATTATCGTTCGTCTTATTTCTTTAGTTTCGCTTTAATTATAGTGGAAAATTAAAATCAATTATTATTACATTTATAACTTATTCCTCAATATAGATCTACAAGTCAGTGCTAGGCTCCTAATGTTTGTTTGTCTCGTTTTATCAATAAATTATTCTAATTAGAAAGGCATTGTAAGGTCAATTAGAATGCTTCTTACATAAAGAACAAAATCGATTATTTGTTATTGATGCTGGGGTGCCACTCTAAAGGGCATAGACCTTGTCCAGAAAGGACAAAATAACTACCATAAAGTCATTGACCTATTTAGCGCGTTCCAGCTCAATGTCTCATCAAAAACGATATAAGAAGTAAAGTGATGCAGATTCATTTTCGATGTTAAATTTGACAAGCATAGTTACTTTATTTGTTAAGTTGTAAAGTAAAACACGTCCAAAACTATCATAACAAAACAATAAATCAATTACATTAAAAATAAGTACAGGAAATAAAAATCATTCCAGTTTTCATTCTCTATGGTTAATATCATAAATAAATTCCGTTCGACGCATACCGTGTTAGCAGTATTTCGTTTGTGTAAGAAAAACGTATAGAAATTCGATTATAGCACATCGCCACGAGCGCATATTGATGTTCGGGTTCGTGTATCGGAATATAAAAGTTTGTGTGTGAACGTGAACAAGACGTCTGCAATATGTCTGACTATTTGGAAATATTTTTAGATTTAGCTTAGTCGTAAATAATTAACGGATCTATTTAGAGTAATCGATGTCATGGACTATACATGACAAAAAATATAATAGGTGAGTACTCTTCGTGTGTTTCGGACAGAAAATCGTTATCCAGTTCATTCTTCATTGTACATAATGCTCGACTTTTTTATGTCTCAATGGCCTTTATCTCGGGGTTTTGTTTTCTTTTGTCCTCTGTTTGCACGTTGAACAAGTTTGTAGAATGTGATGTTGTGGACTTAATGTCGTATATTTATACAGAGTATTTTGTCTGACAGATCGATAAGGAGACGACGTGCAACGAAGATATGTATTGTTGTGGGTCGAGCGAGAGCCTTACGTGTGAATAGTAGATATGCGCGTCACGGACATTGTGCGGCCTGCCTCTGCGGACTAAGTGCGCGTGCTGTGACGACATTGTATTGATACGAACGCAACGTTACGCTGCGGGGCCGTGTCGCCATTGCTTTTGTCACCGTGTGAACAGCCCCCGACGGCGACATGGATCAGCTCGCGGTGCAGTGTCCCGTATGTACGCTGTTCCTTCACAATGGGATTACCCTAGAGTCCCATTTGGATACACATCCCAAAGACCAAGTTATAAAAGCTTTGTGTAGTATAGCATCAAACTCTAAAAGCTCCAATTATGGTAGTAGAACTTCTACACCTGCACATTCTGAACGATCATTCAGAAGCAGGTCACGGACTCCTGCTACAGATGACAGTGCCAAGTGGACTGCATCACGGAGCACTGAACATGATCGTTATTGGCGTAGAACACCAAGCAGAACTTCTAAATCAACACCTTTATCAAGTACATCGAGGAATGGCACACCTGACATCAGAATGCTGGATATGGGGTTTGATAACCATGGTTTACCTGGCAGTAGTGTTGGACAACATGGAAACAATCCATTTCTTTTAAAAGCAGACAAGCTTCAGCAATCATTTCAATCTCCTCCAGTTCCAGACTTTGACCAGCAGTTTGTTTACTATCCAGATCAACAAGAAGATAGAGAGATCAAGTTTTCTCGAAGTGCTGAATATAGTGCAATGGATAATAGCAACAATATGTTCCCTTACAATGTGCCAACTATGGCAGCTCCAAACATGAAGTTGTTACCAACAGCAAGTAGGAAAGCAAGTGACCTTGTCAAAGTTCTACCTAAACCTAATAACATTTTACTTAAGACCAACATGGGTGGTGTGCAATATATAGGGCCGGGGGTCAAACCCATGGTAATGGTGCCATCTGCACCTACATTTGTGCAGAAGAATGTGCAAAACAATATGATCATGACAGGAGGTATACCAAACCCACAGATGCAGATTGATACCAAAACTGTTCCACCTCCCCTAGGTAGCAACCCACTCAACCAATTGTCTTGTAGTGGTGCATTCACTCCGGGGACTACAGTTGTTACCCAAAACTCACAAATTATTTACAGAGAAATGGTGCACAATATAGATGGAAAGCCATTCATAACCACAATGCCTACTTTACTTGGAAATGAGAATGTAAATAATTTGTCTCAGGCTAGCTCTATGTATCAAAATGTGATGGTTGTAGATCAGTTTGGGAATACTTCATGTATGTACACAACACCTCAACAAATGATGAGCAAGGCTTGCCCCACATCCATGTATAACGAGCCTGGGGCTATGATACCAAGCATAACAATGGACAAGTCTGTCCAGAGTATGAATGATCCTAAAACACTTATTATTGAGGTAGGCCCACTGGTTGCCCCTGCTACTGACAATATTTGTGAAGAGCCTGGTTCTTCTATGTCCCAACCAGTTGCTAATAGTCCCGCTGAGAGTACTGACAGAACTTCGGAGAATCTTGATCCCAAGTTAGAAATGTCAGGCAGTACTAAGGGCTTAAAGATTTTGAGTAACATCAAGGTCGAAGTTCCTGTGCAACATCACAAGAATATGGTAAACACGGTCATGGATCTTACTGGTCCTAATGAGTCGGACTACCCTGTTGAACGAGTAGATAGTCCTGAAAAGATCCTCCCAGATTTAGAAGATAACAACCAAATGTCTTCTGATGATACCCAGCCTTCAATGTCTAGTGGAGACAGCATGGCATCCCATACATTTTCTGTGATAAAAAATGTTGGTAATCCAAGTAAAAGTTCTGTTGATAATAAGTTGGATACAGACTTTTCAGATAGCTGTCCTGTGCCAGATTTAATATGCAATGAGAAACCATCCATATCACCATGTAGTGAATTGTCAGAAAATGGTGACAATTCTACTGATAGAACCTCAATATCTCCTAAGCCTGTGACTAATCAAGTTAGCCATAGGAATCTAGCTCTTCCCGAAAAGAAGATTCATCTTCCACAGAAGCCATACAGGCACAACACACTAAGACTGAACAATATTTTTGTTAAGAAACACAAGAAAGTTTTGCAAATTAAGAATGCCAGGAACTTTACTGTGAGTCTTTCAAAGAAAATTGAGCAAAGAGACACCATTGCTTCATCATCATCAGCTTGCAGAACTCCTGAAAAATTTATTATGAATAAAATGCACCAAACTGAAAAGACAGACTGCAAAGAAAAGAGTAATCTCTTGCAAACAATATCTGTTGAAGAAATTAAGGAGAGTGATGAGAACAATGACTTTGATGCTGATACAGAGGAACAATCTATGGATATAGAACAAGTAGAAGCTGGTAGTCTGAATCAGTCTGAATTTGGTGGCAACATGGACCTTATACAGGTGAAAGAGGAAATAAACTCAAGCAATGAAGGAGGATTTAGTAATGAGACCATGACTCCATCTGACCGTATGCTGAATTCAATAGACTCATTGCGACCCATTAATGTTATTAATTACGGCAATATGTCCAACGAGGATTTTAACGAGGAAGCTAATGACCGAGAATTATTAAATCTGGAAGGAACATCAAAAACCAAGCAATTTGTCAATATGATGAACGAAAATTATTTTGGGGACAATATTTATGCGGACTATTTTACTCCAGATCGCGTCGAAGCGTTTGATGCGGAACGCGAGGCGGCGTCGTTTAAGGATGGCGGTAAAGATGGTATGTACCTGTGGGGCGAGCCGTCGCAGAAAGACGACGAGTTTGTGCTGCCCAACTTTATACACGAGAGTTACAAGATAGCAGAGAGTAACGGGATAGATTATTCCGAGCTAGGTGCTAGAGACGTGCAGGCGGACGTGGAGGTGGACGGCGGCGAGCCAGACAGCAAGGCCGACGTACTCAGCGAGAGCCGCAGCGACAGCGACGCGCCGCTCAACATCTGCGCCGACGAGCGCATGCCGCCGCGCGGCGAGCTCAGCGGCCAGGAGAGCAACGGGGACATGGAATCGCCCTGGAGCGGGGTAAGCCATCGTCTACTTAACATAAACAATCTACTCATTATAAAGTTTAATCCACACCATGTTTTGTTTAGAGATACATCAAAATAAGCATAACTTAAACCAGTTATATTACCTGCTCTTTTATATTTGTATTTATAAAGTGTATAAACCAATAACAAATTAATCAATTTGGTTGAGACATACCTACATAGTGTGTGTAGCCTAGTTTCCTGAAAGAGATGAAAATAATTTATTATGTTTGAAGTAAAACAAGCATTTCCTGGCACTGCATATTTTTGTAAAGCACTGTTTGTCGAAAATAGAGTTACGTTTTTTTAGTTGTGGCTTGGTATTTCCAGATGTATTCCGAGGTGACGCCCTCGGAGCCGTATGACTTGATCGCCAGAGAAAGCTGGGCGTCGGCCTCCGACGGCTCGGACGTGGACACTAATGACAAGGAGCCTATGTTAGTAATGTAAGTCTCACATAATATGTCTCTTAAAACCTTTGTAATTTCTACCAAAACAATTCAAGATAATGTTTCTATCTTCTAAACCTTCTTGAATATCATATTTGTTAGAAGTTAAATTTTATACTGAATCGAAGACGTGGATGATATTTCTTCTATATTTGTATTTGTTGAGGTATGTATGGGTTGCGATTAAGTTGTTTAATATGTAAGGGTAATGTTTACAGTGACGAGGATGTACCGATAGCAACGCCGTCGCCGGCGGTGGTGAACGCAAACAGGGCCGCTGCAGGGGGTGCAGGGCGGGCGGGGCGCGCTGGTCGGGGCGCTGGGGGCGCTGGGGGCGCCGGGCGGCCGCGGCCGGGCGCCAGCGGGGCTCGCGCGCGGCGCCACACGTGCACTACGTGCGGCGCCATCGTGTCCACGCTGAAGGAGCTGCGCGCGCACAAGGCGCTGCTGCACGGCGCGCCGCACGCGCCTGCGTCCTACAGCCGCCTCGTCACTGCGCGGGCCATCATGAAGGAGGAGAAACCTGACGACACCAGTAAGTCCCCTACCGTCTACGACTAATGCTAGCCATAACCAACCCTCTTGTTTAAATCATGTCAAACATAAGCTTTTCTGATGTCACGAAGGTGTCAGTCACGCCATCGACTATATCACATTTTTCTTGAAGTTACATGTTACATTATTATTCTTCACATTTCAGATAACCTCCTAACGCCGATTGACTCTAAAGATTCAATATCATCCTCGATTCTGCAAGTGTACGAGAATATTCAAGTGGAAGAAGCCAAGCCTAAGATAGAAGTAGACCGTCTGATCAAACAAGAAGTTAAGAGAAAACGGAAAGACTACGTCTGTCCCACGTGTAAAGTGGACCAAGTTACGGAGACATTATTTCACGAACATCTCAAGATACACCCGCTCGAGTGCCTCACGTGTGGCAAATGTTTCTTCCGACGAGCAAACCTCGCACTGCATATAAAGACGCATTTAGGAATTAAGAATTATAAGTAAGTGTGGTTGGTGCCCTTTTTGTATTTTTCTAATTGGTTTTAGTAATATTGAAATAACAATATCAGATTCTGAATGAGTAAGTGAGTGTGTGCCCGTGGTCCAGATGCGAGGTGTGCGAGAAGCGGTTCCTGACGCGGCAGAAGTTGATGGAGCACCACAACGTGCACACGGGCCGCGCGCCCGTCAAGTGCACGCTCTGCGACGACACCTTCCGCCGGTACTCCAACATGGTGCAGCACAGGTACACTACCACTGGAGCCCTCACTCGGAACTTGATATGCGGCAGTAACAGCCTGTTCTACAATTCATTAAGAATACACACAAAGAGGAGTTTAAAATAAGTAACCTTAAGAACTAAGCATATGCTTCGAGATGTAATCTTGCGTCTTAGCTAGTTCTGGTATCAGTGTAGCCAGGTAGCCACTAGGGTAGCTTCGGGCTATAGCTCAGATGACGTAACTCAAATCGAACTCGAACTCAACCTCGAAAGCAGATGGGCAAAGTATAGACAAAATATAATTACGTAATACTTTTTACAACACAAACTCCTCAAAAATATCTAGTTTATTGACGAATTAGATGTCAAATGTCAAGTTTGTGAAATCAATGTTGTCATAATATTTTGTTTACTTGTGTATTGAGATTTGTTTTTATTTATATTTAAGTTTAAAAATAGTTTTAACCATATTGATAATTGTTTAGTTCAGAGAAGTATTTAGTTTTATTTGGGTAAACATTTTGTAATGTGGTGAGTTGATTTTGTTTTCGTAACCAACCACAAGATCGTTATCATTGAATGAAATATACATAAAACAATATATTGAAGTGAATTAATGTCTAATATTGTCGTCGTTGTCGATGGGCTAAGAGAAAGCCATTGATTGTTGAGTAGTCTTGATATCTTAGATGTAGTAAACTGATCGCAGTTTACTAAATCTAAGATCTAACCCATTTGCCAAGGGCGAAGATTATGGCAGACCCCTCTTAGGCCCATAGTCCAGACTCTGACGCGGTTGATGATGTGTGTGTGTGGTGGCAGGGACCGGCACCACCTGCACAAGCGCGGCAAGGTGCGCGACTTCGTGTGCCAGTGCGGGCTCGTGCTGCACTCGCGCGCCAAGCTGCGCTGGCACCAGGAGACGCACGCCGAGCGGCCGCGCGCCTGCGACTACTGCAGCGACAAGTTCGTGCACGCCGCCTCGCTCACGCGGCACGTGCGCCGCGCGCACAACCAGTACTTCGTCGCCGAGCGTCTGCAGGGCAAGCAGGACAACGTGCAGTGCCCCGTCTGCAAACAGGTACGTGCCAGCCTGCCACGCGATATTCTTACCTCTTAACGTTTGTACATGCTCATCAAACATGTTTGCGTACATTACAGGTGTATCTGAGATCCAATCTACGAACGCACTTGCAGACCCACAGCGGACAGCGACCCTTCGTGTGCATCATCTGCAACAAGTCGTTCACCACCAAGTGGAACCTCAAACTGCACCGTTGGACGCACATGTCTCGGTCGGCCAAGCCGTTCAAGTGCACGCTGTGCAAGGGAGCCTTCATCCGGCAGTCGGAGTACATCTCCCACATGAACGCGCACAAGTCGGTGCGGCCGTACACGTGCAACTACTGCGGCTGCCAGTTCATCCGCAAGTACAACTGCCAGCGCCACGTGCGCGAGCACGAGTCGGCCAAGAAGTACGTGTGCAAGGTGGCGGAGTGCGGCAAGTCGTTCCACCGCTCGTACTACCTGGCCGAGCACATGAAGGTGCACAGCGGCGCGCGCCCCTTCGCCTGCGCCGTCTGCGGCAAGACGTCCAGCAACAAGTCCAACCACAACAAGCACGTCAAGATCCACCACGCGCGCGAGCCCGTCGCCACCGAGGCCTAGCCGCGGCCCGGCGCCCGCAGCCCCGCGCCGAGCTTTCTCATCACCATCTACAGCATTGAGGCTCTCGTCGAGCTGCTTGTAAATATCTAGTTCAATTTGAATTTATTGTAATTGTTGTAAATACAGGACCAAGCGTGTACATTTCGGGGAGGACTGGTGTGGCGGAGAGTTTCGAGGTGAGGAGTGTGGCGCACCAGACGTTGTAGACATTACTTCAGCGGGACGTCGCGACATGTTAGTCTAGACGTGAGCAGGACTCCTAGAGGACCCACGAAATGTTTAGAGTGCGTGATCGTACGCCAGTTTGTTTTTGTGCCTTATAGACTGAGCAGTCGGACTCATATTGATCGCTCCGCTGCTCGACGATATAACGGGACTGTACCACGGACACCTGTACAGGCGACTTGTGTTAATGACGTAATGACGTAGCTTTCTCCCCGCGCAGGCGGGCTCTGGTTGTGACATACATTTAGTGCGCGTGTATAACGTGTGGTGCGTCAACCTATGTAATTAAATAGTCAAATTAATAAAGGGCATTTCGGTATAGGTACCCCGCTACACTTATAGTTTTTTCTACTTATATTAAACTTTATTTCACTATGCTTCCATTCTATAAGCTTGTTGCTGCGGTTATGGCTTGCTGCATCTGATCAAGGCGTCGTTATTTTTTTATAACAATGAAAAGTAGATTTATCATATTTGTAACATATTTTAACCAATAACTTGAAATTAATCTAGTTGATATGGAGTGATACACATAAGTATTTAACAACGACTGAATTACTTTAAATACCCGTTAGAGGTAGAGCTCAAAAGCAGGTAATTATTATTAATAATTTATTTAAAAATAACAAAGATACATGCCTTGTCGATGCCGCGCAGCCACGCCCGTCAGTCGCGAGCTGTAACGAGTAACTTTATGAAGATTTAGTCAAATGGACATACCCTAAGGGTGATACTAATAACTCATTGTAAAAGTATTTTAAACATTTACGTTATTTAGATTAATTTATGTAAATATAAATTTAATTACATTTAATTTATTATTATTACTTTTTGTATTGTTACTACGTATTATTCCGTTTTTTACATAAGGTGTGAGGTGATTACAATGTGTGTTCTGAACTTGTGACGCGTGGTCGTGGCCATCGTACTCTCAACTCGCAGTGTGAGGGAGATATTACATCAAATGTATGCGCTCTCTCTCGCACTCGAACTGTGATTACAGATACAATACAGGTTGGTTGTTTTCAATTTGAAGATGTTACAAGATGACGAAATTAACTAAGATTCAATTATTTTGTACGAGTATACAGCTTGAAACAGCTTCCAGTTGAGAACAGGCCGGATACGGGAAGCACATGTTACCAAAATTGAAGCGTTTGAGACGCGTTTATGACATTTTTATTGGAAGGATTTATTAATAATGAATATTTCGTTTCACAAATATTTGTATGTTTACTTCGGTATCTGCCTAAACATTAGACAAGTAGTGCAATTCAGCATTTGTTGTTAACTTATTGTTATTTATCATTGACAAAGTTAACTATGATAGTAACTGCACGGCCGGTGTAATCAGTATTGCAGAGATATAAGCAATAATGTGATTTATATCAATAAATTATTTATTTTTATCAAAGGAGTTCCTCTTTGCTGATGCTGATTACACAGGCTTATTGCGCAATACAGGAGTGTCAAACTAAGGAGGTCGGCACCTCTTCGAGTCCATGCTACATAACAATTTGTTCACAAATGTACTTTAGATATATTTTTCTATAATTTGATATATATTCTGTCATGAATCACACCAGCTGTGTTCATATTGCTCGGGGCGGTACAAAGCGAGGCTCGACGACTAACTAATTTTATACTTTATGATGATAGGACAAGCTTGAAAATCTTTTGATAATATTTGACAGGATGATGAGTTAGCATGATGAGCTGGCATCTGTACTTAGATATTTTAGTTCTTGAATGAACTTAGAAATGTTATGTTGTGCAAAGTCTTTATAAAAATGTTATTCACATGTTGAACCTGGTTAACCTTCGTGAGCAATACTAAAAACAAGAGACCAGAGTCTGCAATCCTGACAAAATTTGGTCGCTAAGTTTGGGAATTTCTTCAATAAATTTTCAACCTTATTCTTTTGCAATAAGGCTGAACATCTATTAATGAAATATCTGTCTTAGCATTCCATTTCTTTCTACTACATCTAAAAGAACGGAAGTTTTCAAATGTCGAGTCTCACATAGCTCCGAGCGAAGTTATAACGGTATATATTTTACACATGAAACAATGATCTCGTATTTTATAAACACAATGTAAAACAAATTGTTTTTTTGTTTGTTTATGTTGTATCGTTACGTAGCGCAGGTTTATTGGCTGGCCACTGAGGAATAAAATGGAAAAAACGTTAAGATTTTTTATATTTAATACTCAAGTTTCAGAAGTGATGGACAATCTGTACGTGATTTTTAACTGCCTACATATCTGTTTTAAGCGAGTTCAATGTACAGAGTAGTGGAGACTGCGACCTGCGCTACTGCTAAACACAAAGTATGCGGTTCTCTTGTTTTATTGCTATTGTACTAGTATACAGCTGTATGTTGTAACACTTGAACTACACAATTTTTAAAAAGTGACTTACAAATTGATCTTTATGTTTTTGGACTTGCCCATTTTTGCTTCTATTGATAATTGATAACTAGAATTTTGCTAAATTGCAGTTAATTTGTTTATGCATAAGGTGGAATTTAGCAATTCGATAAAACCGTCCGCTAACAGTGGAAGAGAGTCGCATACTCTGTGCACAGTTTTGACGACGTAATAGCTGTAATCTTGCTCGTAACTCAGTTATTAGAAGAAATTGGTTATTTATTTTATGTTCATAAGGTCTTAGTTTACTTGTACATAATGTTAGGTAATTTTATAATTGATCGCAAAATGTGGGTGGTACACCAAATTCAGTTCGGCGGGGTCACTGAACTGAACAGTTTGTGTCTGCAATAAATTATTATTAAGAATTTCATTTTGTACGTTTTATTTCTCTTATTGGTGGGTGCTGCCATCTGGTGGGAGTATATCACAACTGCAACAGTGGCAAATATTATTATTGTTGTGTAAGTGATGCATAACAAATATAACAATTTGTTTGCCAAGAGCGCGATAACCAGGAAGTTTACTAACGTTACTTGATTTATTGTCTCGTAATCTCTGGAGCTCTGTTTCCCTTTTCCTATTGCGTAGTTACTGACGACGTGAGATTATGAACAATAGACGCACGCACGGACGCCGCGCATGTCGCGGGCGAGTCCGACCCTGTACTCCTTGCTTACCTACAGCTCTCCACATGCATGCTCGAACTTCTGCGAATTCAATTCATGGATTTCCAGAGCGTTATCATTATTTCTCTAGAGGTCGTCTCAGATATAAAATCGGATCACTGCTACTGATATATAAACATAAATATTATAGTTATAGTTATTTTCCATTAACAATTTTATTTTTAGCTCGTCATGCGACAATAGGCTTACGTCAATGAGCTTTAGATAGTTGCGTGGGCCGACTGTGAGCGGGAAGGCTGACATTAGTAACCGCTCTCTTGGTGGAGTATGGCACTAGCGCCTGCCACCAGCATATTTGAGAGAAATTTTCGGTGTAAAGCATATTCTGCTTCGTATAGTAGTGAAGATGGTTCAATGTTTTTGTTGCTGCAACCTAAGTTACCTACGTAAAATATTTCATATCCGTATGTGTGCTTATGACTGCCGAGGTTGCTCTCAAGTGCCCGAAACAATCCGAAGCAGCCATTAGACTCCTGAAGCCGCCATAAGTGCGTCCGAATAGTACAGAGCCCCACCTTTGCCCACAGACACTGGGCACTGGGCCCTAATGTATCTACTAGATTCCTTAATACCAATTAAAGTAGAAGAAGTACATTACATACCATAACGCCTTTTATTTCCGAAGGGGTAAGCAGAGGTGCACATTACGGCATTTAATGCCACTATACAATCTAATACCCACTTTTCACTATTTATGTTATGAGTCCTATGTAATAGGGGGTGAGCCTATTGCCATATACCGGACACAATTCCAGACTCCGTGCTCTTACTGAGAATATTTAAAAACCCAGTAATACTTTGCCCGACCCGGGAATCGAACCCGAGACCCCTTGCCCGGCAGTCGCACTTACGACCACTCGGCCAACGAGGCAGCAGTAGAAGAAGTAATCCTTAATAAATGTATTAAATTCCTTAAATCAAAAATACCGACTGATTACGAAGATACTTCAAGAAAAACAAAAGCTAAAACTAAGTAGTTCCATACACAACGCGTAAATACGCCCAAATCACAATTCGTAACGGTCACGTCCGCGCACACAGGGGCCGCGACCTGAAACGTATGTAATGAAACAATCCAATATTATAATATAAGAATGACAATTTATTGCCGCAATAAATAAAATCATATCTACAATCGTATCGGGTAACTGACCTCTGAAACGCCTCTGAATAAGAACAAATGCTTTAAAAGTAACGTCAATAGTAAGAGATAACCTCTTTATATGAGTTTTGTGTTTCAATTATCTCATTAAAGACTACGATGACTGCCTCGTCGTGACTTATGTTAATTCATTACTCTGATAATGATTAGCACGCTACACGATAGGTACCGGATTTTTTACATTTATTACGCTTTACTTTATTTAATGACAGGCAATTTAACATAAATTACATTGAGTAATTTGGACTTATCTACTTATTAATTGGTAGAAACTGATTGCAATATGATATTGTTTTCCTTAGTAGCCTAGTGGCTTGGTATCGTGTAATTAATATCTAATGACTAACCTAAGACCGAAATCTATAAAATATCTTCTAAACGTATTAGGTGATTACAATTTAAAATTAACAATATTTTTTTCATTCAGTATTTATGTAGTATTCAGCGTAGTATTCAGAACGACCTATTGTTTATAATACATACTAACACATAG